GACCGCCTGGCCCGCCGACCGTCCGCGGCCAACCCTTCTGGCCACGACCCTGCGACCCCGTTATCTGACGGCCTCGCCCTCCATTATCTAGCCCCGCGTCTCAATCATGCAGCTAGAGGGGGGCTTGGGTCACGAAAACGCAAAGCCGTGGAGCACGGCGGATTTGGTCCAGATTGCGGAGGCGGAGCACTGCCCAGTGGCAGCAGACGATAATTCTCCGACGCATGCTCAGGCTCGTGTTGTGCCACGAAGACTCGAGGCCAGCCGCTGCTTTTTTGCTGTCGCTTTCTCGCAATGGCGTGCATAAGAAATGGGTAGCCGCACGAGTGCTAGAGGCCCGCCGGAACTTGGACATGGACTACGCATGCATCTCCGGATGACATCCAGATTTTGACCCTGTTTGCTTTTTTAGCACCGAGGGTGGCTTGCTGCTGCATTAATCGAGGTGGCGGCCATGCCATGCAAAAAGCATTACATGCTGTAGTGTGCAATCTTGGTCGAGTGGTTGCTAGCTGCTCGCTTTTAGAAGCACTATAACGGTGTCGCTTTCGTACCCACAGGATGCATCGTACGATTGCTGTCGTAATGGTGTAGAAATGGCTCATGTGGATTATTAATGGCGGAATGACAGGACGTTGGCTTGCCAACCACGACTCGATTTTTCGGGCATCTCCGGCCAACATTCTTCTTCCGCTACAGACGCGAGATGCTTGGCGAAAAACCCTCGTTGTGGACTCCATCAGCACTCTCTGCCGATCCAAACAACACTTTTCGTCCACTTGCCGTGTTCTCAGTCTCGGTCGGACGTTTCGCGGATCGACAATGCTTCCGTACATGCTGTATCCCGTATGGCCAGTGGCCATGTCATTCTTCGGGAGGCTATTATCGTAGGAGGATCATATTCTGCGCTTAACGCGCCAATTCGATGGGGCTAAAGAGCGTCCGTGAAGACAAGACAGGTCGCACCCGTAGCGTTGCACACACGCCATGAGCGAACGACAGTCGACGCTTGTTCATGCCCAATGCCCTGTGCTCACAGTCGATCATGCAGCCGGCTACCAGATTCGCGGGTCCTAGCATAGACTTGAGAGTCCGAGCGAGGAAAAGGCAACCATGGACGCACTAGAATGGACGTGCCATAGAGAACGCCTTCCTCCGTGGCAGGTGTAAGGAGCACAGTCTCAACTGTCACGTCACCAAAGGCTGTACAGCATGCCATGAGACGGAGCAGCGGAGGACGCCGACGTGCATGTACACACTGGAGAACGGTCAACCCACATTTGTTCTCCGTGTACGCACATCCAGACGCGGACCATGACTTGTAACCTGCTGCTTGTTACCGAGCCGCCGCACGCCGTTGTCCAGTCGATAGTACATCTACTGGAAGCCGCTCATGTCTCGAATATAGACGGGCGTAGGAACCAATACACCGAGTCGTACCTGTGGTGGTGTAGCATACTCAAACGCAGTGACACATCCGCACAGCACAAAAGCAAGGGTCGTTCTGCAGCAAGCCATATGAAGATGCCCGCCGTGCAACCCGAGTCGTCGGAGATTCCTTTTTCAGAAAGACAAATTCATGGTGAAGGGCAGTGCCGGATACATGCTGACAGTTGGCATCATGCTGTGCCATGTGTGGGGAATTGGTGCTCGGATTGACCAACGATCCGATTCTGTCGTGAAAGGTTCCTCGAATGTGGCTGAGGACGTCAAGCAGCGGCTCGGGCTGCCAGGCCGTGTAACCATGAAGCACCATGGCATGTCCTTTGTGCGGCAAACAAAGTGTAAGCTTCCCGAGACGGCCAAGGCGCGGAGGAGCGTGTGGCCGTGGGATTTGCGTACGACTGCGGCGAGGGCGAAATTGACGGCGCATGCGACGAATTATTACATGCCGTGCATAGTGTGTCGGGTCAGTAGCCATGTTTCGATACTGCGTCCGAAGGTTTGCTGGCTTGGTATCGAAAAATGGTGCCAAACGAGCTCCGCGTTGACTGTCAGCCACGACATTGCCAACTGTGGCAGATACAAAGCCACAGAATCATGCACACACATGTGCTGTCAGTGTCAGGCCTGGAGAGTATATCACGTGATATAGGCGTGTTTCGGATAAGAAAAGCACAGTCTGGTCACCAAGCATAAGGTTCCAAAGCGCAGCACAGGTGTTATCCACCAAGCTGGACATGACTGTGCAGACCCGACCAGGCGGGCACGTGTACAGGTGACGGCTTGCTGCGGGACTGTCACACGGGTCAAACAGCCACGAAGCTTACCGTGCAAGGCTCGCTCCTTTCTTTTCAGCCCAGGTAGCATTTCCCTACTCCAGAGCAAGTATCCGGTGAGCGGCCTGCTACATCCATGGAATCCGGTCATTGTTGCGGGACAATCCTCGTCAAAGGCGAAACACAGCTTCGTGGATGTTGCTTTGGGAAAAGAAACAAAGGCGGCGCTTTTTGTGGCTAGACAAAGCAACTCGGTTCGGACAACGGATGGTCGTAACGACGACGCGTCGGCACCGCAAGAGTCAGGGCTATGCAAGCCCGGTAGAGAGGGACACATGGAATGCCCATGCGCTGACGAAGGAATCGTGTTAGCCCGAGACAGGCATGCATGTGGAGTGAGCCTCAACGTCTTCTGGGGTTGGCTTTTTTTTTTGTTGACATGGTCTCCATTGCAGGCGATGGAGAAAGACCCAGGCCGTTGAAGGACCAGAACAGTCGCCACGGATCGCGCAGCGCCGTCTGAAGTGGCCTCTTTCTGCTCGACAGGCGTCAATCCGAGGACCAAAGTGGATGCCTGTCGACGTGTGTTAATTCAGCCAGCGAATGGACGCGGGTTGTCTCGTTGGGGGGCAATATCGGTGGACCTGGAAGCGGTAAATTAGCGATACAAGGTGTGAATGTCATCGGCATCGCCACATTCGCACAGCTGGCTCGATGCTGCTAGGTGTGCGAGGAAGAGGCTTGCATGCGCAGCAGCTCTGACAGTGGCCGCGGGGTGATTTGCGATGATGCAAAAGGATGGCCGTGAGGGATTTCTTCCTACAGGCTAGCGGCAGAAGGAAGGAAAGAGGCTGCCTGGTGATGGCTGCCACCTTCCCAGCCGCGCGCCTTGGCACAAGTCATCCTTACACCTGCTCCGTCACACCAGTGCGGCTGCACGTCAACCAACGCCATTGTCTATCCACGGCCTTGCAACCGCAGCGGCTCACTCACACTTGTGCTGATTCGCAAGCTGCACACGTGACGAGCATTACTTTTTCTTCGTCATCCCCCCATCCCTCGCGCGAATGATTTCGGATTGGTGGCCGCCAAAACAAACGTCGTCCAACGGTGCCCATCACGATTCCGGTGACGCCCTTTGCTGCAGGCCCAAGTAGCTGTACATTGCACGCGACGCGCTAGGGGGCTTGGAAGCACCGATCGACCGAGACGACATAAGGGCAACGGAGGCTGAGGGGTGTTTGTTGGTTGATTAGGAAACCAGCCAGCTGACCAGCCATGAAGCGAGAGACAAAGAGCCCACAACAACAGTGCTGGCACGACTGAAACATGCTCATGGCTGCTGCCTTGCATGTCGTCTTGCGCGTATTGCATCCAACAGCCTCGTCTGGACCTTGAGGGTTGCTGTACGGTGGATATGTCGATAAACAACAGTGCACCACCACCATCATCATCATCATCATCACCACCACCATCTCGGTTATACCTTCACCAAGTCGCTTGGCCAAGGGCTCTCTGCTGCCATCTAAGCATCGCTTGGCCTGAGCGGCCGGTTAGACGGCTGCTCCCAACACACACCCGCTCCAAGGCATGAACCCAATGCGCCCAGAAAAATGAAAAAAAAAGTCCAGCCCCCGAGACAGACGGAGTCTCGATCCCGCAGTGGTGATCATTAATCGCCCCTCTCCAAGACGTGCATCCGATATCCGTTGACAGCCATGTACGATTTAGACCTGGACATGTGGTTTAATCCTTTGGGCGTTAGGCCGGCGAGACAGGGCGCAACGACGGTCCAGTGATTTGCAGCGAGTCAAGAGGGGCTACTGCAGAGTTGGATGGCTCAATCACGCAGAGGGAAAGGGCTATGCAAGCCTCATGCCGTAGTGGACCCGGTGATTTGCTGTTGGCCCTAGACTTATTGCGGCCATGGCGATGGATATGGACATGGACGACGCCTAAGCCCGTGGAGCTTGGAGGGGGGGGAAGACTAGGGGCCTGGTTGGGCGCGAGTTTGATTTCATGCGCAAGTCCATGGATGTTTTGGGCTGGGTGCAGCATCGGGGTGGGGGGGAGGGTGCAGATGGATGCGTTGTGGCACCTTGCCTTGAGTGGGTCAGCTACGTGGGCTATGAGGGAGCGCAGTCAACAAACGGCGAAGGTATAGCTGTACACAGTGTCAACATCAATCACGAGGGGGGAGGGGTGGGAAAACAGGTCACGATGCTGACTTGAGAAAAAGACGTGGGTTGCTCTTGGCCGGTCGCCTGCAACTGTGCTTGCTGCGGCGCCGTTGGGTATCTTTTTTTTGTGATTTGCAAGTTTGCTCTGAGCAAAATAAATCTTGTCCTTCTTGTGGGACCTACTAGCGTACATTGTTTTGAGCCTTGTGCTCTGGTATCATAGATGAAGAAAAAGTTAAATGAATGTAATAGGCGAGGGTGTCGCCAGAAATAGAGACAACTCCAAGAAATGCCCGATAAAATCCACTCCTGATAACACGGAAAGAAGCCGTATGGAAACAAACTCCATGCCATCAAGGCTGCTGACAGAGTTGAACGTACTAGGCCTTGGTGATGGCCGAAATTCTAAAGGGTTGAGACCAGCGTGTTGTCCGAACTGGTCTAATTTTGTAACGCCAAGGAGAAAACAAACCACCCAACACCGAACGAGAAATCAATGGCTGTTCGTCTCGTCATGACTTTTCGAAAATAGTATAAAAACATGGACAAGAAGCGTATTCGTAAGCAGAAACATCCATGGGGCCATGGACAGGAAGAAAATCTAGTAGACGTGGACCGGGGCCATCATCGAGGGCTGGAAGGAGACATGCTTGACCAGATTGGCGGCCTGGATAAAGGGCTGGAACCACGTGTTGGAGGGAGGCTGGGGAGAAACGTATTGCTGCTGAGGCTGGGGCTGAGGCACGCGCGACGAGAACTTGGGGAGCTGCGACTGGTACGACGAGGTCGACGAAGCAGAAGAGGCCGACGAGCACGCAGAGAAGACCGACTCGCCATCCGAGTTGGAGCTTCCCGACGACGTCGACGACTGGAAAGGCGAAGGTGCGTATGCGGATCCGGGGAGAGGAGCAAACTGGGGAACGGGCGCCTGGTAGTATGGGTTGTATGCGGGGTCCTGGTTGTAGTCGACGGGGCCAAATGAAGGAGTAGGCAGAGGCGTCGAGACGGCCGACTTGGGGGCAGTGAAAGACGAGCATCGGAGGATCATGTCGCGAACCTCGGGAATCGTCGCCCTCTTGGCCGGGTTGAACTCGAACATGCGTCTCAGGATGGCGTCAAGCTCGTCCGAGACGGGAAGAATCGTCTTGAGAAACTTGGGGTCCTTCATGAAGGCGCGGAAAGTGCTGTCGTCAAACGAAGCCCGCTTCCACGGGTTGCGTCCGCATGTCAGGTTCACCAGCATGACACCGAGGCTCCAGACATCGTTGGGCGCCGATGCGTAGCAGGAGTAGGCCTTGGGTGCTGATGTCTGGCACTCTGTTCGGATGGTTAGCACGTGACGGATGCTGACTCATGCAACATCAAACGTACCTGGGGACATGTAGAAGGTGGAGCCGCATCCAAAGTCCGAGGTGACGGGGTCCGTGGTGGCGAGTCCAAAGTCGGCAAGCTTGCAGGTCATTCCATTGTCAGTGACGAGAACATTCTCCGGCTTCAGGTCCCGGTGGTAGATTCCAATAGAGTGGCAATATTCGACGGCATCCAAAACCTGGAGAAAAGCGCGTTTGGCCATGGCATCATTACCCACGTACTTGCCCTGCTCGGTGATGTTGGAGAAGAGGTCGCCCTCTGGGCAGTATTCAATGACAACGTATGTGCAGTCGGGCGCATCCATGATCTTGACAAGCGAGACCACGTTGGGATGGGCGCTGGCCTGGTGGTGCAGCTGGATCTCCCGTTGCTGGAACTTTCTCTGGCGAGGCTCAAGACCAACCTTGTTGAGTGCTTTTACTGCATAGGGGATGTTGGTCTGGATGTCCACGGCCGTGTACACGACGCCGTAGGCGCCAACGCCGAGAATGCCAGTCAGCTGGAGGCGTCCGGCGAGAACCTGGCCTAGGCGGTCTTCCGGCGCGCAGAATCCATTTTGGGAGGGAGATGCTGGGGGCGTCGGGTACATATTGTTAATGGGAAAGAGATGTAGTCCTCGCAGGTCCAATCAAGGCCTCAAGGACAGGGTTAGAGAGATCCGGGAGAGGGAGGCTGGCCTTTGTCCAAGAGCGGAAACAGCAAAGAGTCCCGGGCGGAAGAGGTAGACACGAAAGAAGAACCTATTAGAAAGGATATGTATGTCGTGGGAGCAACCCAAAGAGGCAAGTCAGGTGACTTTGCGGGTTGGGCAGGAACAGCGACTGTGAAGGCTCGGCGCAACAAACTTGGGGAGGCGCGCGAGAGCGAAGCAGAGGGAGAGGATTGACGAAGGAATGTGGTGTCAGAAGGGATGAGCTTGGTAGTGGTAGAGGTAGAGTGTGTGAGAGGAGGAGGATGATTGAGGTGGTGGTGGTGGTGGGAGTAGGGTGTAGGTATAAAGCGTGAGGCGGGCTATGATGTATGTTGTATGGGCACGGCTGGGCAGCAGTGATAAAGAGAGGCGTGCAGCGGCGGGCCCCCTGTAGCGATTGGCCAGACTGGAGACCCCGGTTTTTCGTAAATATAGGGAAGGAGCGGCGCTATGACGAAGACGGATGGGGCGACAGAGCAAGTGCAGGCGGCCATCAGCGATATGCGCCATGGCCTGCCACACACACACAGGCGCGCGCAGCACACACACACACACGCACACGCACACACACACTCTCGCTCACGCCCTCGCTCCCACAGTGCCAGCCTGCCTACACACGCGCACAGGGTGAAGCTAGCACTAACGTCTGGCTCCACTGGGGCAGCGCACCCTGGCTGTGTGTGGTGGCCCAAGCCGCAGCAGCGAGGCAGAGGCAGGGGGGCCGTGGGCCGTGTGCGTGCGTGTGGGCGTGAGTGTGTGGGAGGGCGCGAGTGTGCGTGTGGCCAAGTCGAGGCTAGGCGTGGACCAACAAAGGCCGTCATGCAGCTACCGCTCGGCCGGGGCCCTGTCCTTGGAGGGGGTGAATCATGGCGCCTGCAATCCCGCTTTTGACCGGGCGGCTGCGACCCAGCGGCGAATCAGCAGCCCGTCAGCCGGGCGACGGTGACACACGCCGCCGGGGCTCGACGCGACAAGTGCAGCAGCCTCGAGGCACCCACAGCCGTGCCCGCGCAGCCAGAGCAGCCGGAGCAGCGCGAGGGCAGCGCGAGGGCGAGGGCAGCGCCGCCGTGTGCAGCGGAGCAATGCGCTCTGCCGTCGTGGGGCCTCGCCCTCGCCCTCGCCCTCGCCCTCGTCAGCGCGCAGATGCCGCGACCCAGAGGACACATGTCGCCCGCCCTGCCCTGCTGACGCCGCCCTGATTGGCCGCCTCCCCCCTCCCCCCGGGCCTCCAAGCCTCTCTACTCGTCACGGCCCCCTGATGGCACCATCTGCTTTGCAGTCACCGGCCCATTAGGCGGGCCCACTTGCGAGCAAAACGACCGCGCCGCGCCCCCCTCCCTCCCCCCCAAGCCAGCCACGCCAAAGCATGAGAGATTGCCGCCATCCCCCGTCAGGCCTAGCGCCGCCGCGCCCGCTCAAAGACCATGTGCAAAGCTGACGACGTCGACAAAAGCCGCGAGTGCACGGGCGGCGTTCGATAGTCTGCGCTGGCTGGCTGGCCGGCCGCCCTCTGTTGTTGTTGCCTTCGCCCCCCCCCCAAAAGCCCATGACGAATGCAGCCCGTCCAAACGACGATCTCGCAACGCTGCGGCACTGCGGCCTGCATCTCTGACTGTCATGCCGCCCGCAGGACCTTTCATCCCGCCTACCTGAACCCGGCCTTGTCTCTGCTCCACGGCACACGCCCACTGGCTGCAATCTTCGCCCGTCACGTTTCGGTTTCGCCCTGGTGGACCGCCGCAGCTCGCAACTCGCAGCCCGCCCTGTGCTGGCCCGTCGGGCGAGCGCGCTTGTAGGCGGCCAGCATGCTTTGTCCGCTCGTCTCGTCTCGTCGGCGGCCACTCGACACGACACCCACTCGCTCGCTCGCACCCGGCCAGCGCCAAAAAAGAGCGTTGGCGGTGACACATGGTGGCCGCTGCCCGATTGGGCCCAGCGCGTCCCACGCCTGCCGGCCTTGGTGTGCCGGCCTTCGCCCTGCCGCGGCACGGCGCCCTGATTGGCCCGCGCTGCATATTGCCATCTGGCGATGACTAACCGAACCGTTCGCCGTGGCCTGCGCTGCTCGTCTTGGCCGACGACCCGGCGCCCGCCAGTGGCGCGCTAAGGCTACCAGAATTTTCGAGACTTTGCTGCCCGGCCAATGGCACCCGCCATCATTTTGCACTTTCCTGCCAATCATGACGCCCCTCAAGCTCTGCCACGGCGCTCGACACGTCGTTGGAAGCCTGCCACGGTCTTGTGACCTGGCCGTCACCGCCTAGCCTCAGTCTTGCTGGCTTACCTACACCGGTCATTCGCTGTGTTTCTGCTGTCGTGTCGTGTCGGGGGGCGTGGCGCATTGCGCAAGATGCTGGGGCGAACTCTGGATGATCCATGGGTTTCCAGTCGCCCGCCCACTGCCCATCCGAATGTACGCTCCCCCCCCTACCTACCTAACCCCCCCAGCTGAGCTGTGAATAGGAGCCATTCCCACGCCGCCCAGATCGAGAAGGCAGACCGTTCTAACCGCTCGTATCTCATTCGTACCCATGTCCGTTGCACGAATAGCCGAGACATGCTGTCCGCATATGAACCGTCAGGAGCTGGGATGCCCACCACATTGCAAAGCTTACCCAGCCGCAAGCGAGGCAGCCGTGCCACGACCTGCAGCTTGCAATTCTTTTTCTCTGCTTTCCGTCGAGTTCCGTGCGTAGGCACAGACGCCAATCAGGTCCGCCTCCCGCTGGCTAAACCTACGAGCGGGAGTCTGTGAGTGAAGGGGACCGAAGATCACTCGCGAGCGAAATTGCTGCTCCGCGGCCATTACTCTGTTGGCCCCCCTCGTCGCAGAGAACCGTTCCCAAGAGCATGGCCACGGGTGACTGCTGAGCCACGACGTATACGCGGAGCTAATTTGCCAATGCGCTAGCAAGCAATCTCTTCAACCTGCACATTCTGTGCATACGCTGCCGCCCACTGCTATGCATCTCCAATGCATCAACTGTGCAGCTCCTGGCCTGGCCTGGCCGTCTTTCTGCCTCAGGACCCCTTTGGCCCGCTCCCACGTTTGCTGTGCGCGAATTCGATGCCAGCAACTCGCCCTCGTTCTGATTCGCATCCGTCAATGGCCTCCCCTGCCACCCACGTCGTTCTCCACAAAGCCCGAGCGTTTCAGTAGACTAGTCGAGAGTTACACATTCACCGCCAAATCGCGCCCAGCATGGAGCGAATGTCCTAGCTCCAATCTCTGCGTTTGATCTTATCGATAGCTGCCATGGCAAACTAAACCTGCCCCTCCATGCCAACCTCCTGTACTTTCAAACTCTAACGGCAGCCGTGTGAGCACGACAACATCCAATCGATGCCTTGGTACCCACTGTAACAGCCTCGATGGCTAGTAGAACCTGCGACGTGGCGCCTGCCGCTGGAGCGATACTACACAATGCCAATCACATGGCTCCACAACCATCCACCAGGCATCCACTGCCAAATGTGCCCACTACTCCCGTCAGCCTGTCAATTCCAGACTCTCTTACTCCATGTCAAAGAAGAAAAGCTTGACCATCAGCGGACGGCCACGGCACAGCCAGCTTGGGCTGGCCGTTCGCTGCCTGCGTCTATAACATGGAAAGAGCAGCCGCACGCTATCACGCAAGTGTCCAAAGCACTTTTTCAGCCGCTCGTCAATCTCCACATTATGCTTTGCAGTCAAAGCCGGATGCCTATGGATCGAGATTGTTGTAGGCAAAACATAGTCTACACCGCTCTGAGTCGGACCGCGGCCTGTCAAATCGACTCTTTTTTTTTTTTTTTTTACCATGCAGGCATTGACGTTTCACCTCTCTCCTAACTGGACCAAAACTCCGGGGCGTTCTCTGTTTACTTCTTTCTACTCCATCATGCGTTACAAAGCCTACACGCAGGCCAACAGGCCACTTCGACAAACCAAGTTTGGCCCTCTTGTCGCCTGTTGGCCAGCTGCTACGTCTGACAATATCTATCCAGGCCCCATCACTAGCCGGAGATCTTCTGGGCTAGCTTGCGCGTCTTAGGGGATGACTCCCGCAGCACGGCTGAGCGGCCACAAGAAATGTCATCATACCTGGCAGCCAAGTGATGCAAGACCCTGTACACCACTCTATTCTGATACAAAGATCTAATCCCTACATTCCGTTTCTGACAAAGGCGCGGTCTACGGACCTAGTCGAGAGAAACGCGCGTGCAGAGCAGCATCCAGCTTCGTAATCGAAATAGCGCCCGACGTCTGTCAGCGACTTTCTGGCACTGGATCAGCCGCTCGCGCAACGGTGCTGCCTACGTGCTATGCCAATAAGGAGAATGCCGCCGCCCAAGAGGCTCGTCCTAGCCGCTTCAATGTCTCTATGACACGGTGGCTTGCCCATCAAATGTCAATCTCCAGCACAACACGCCCAGCAGCCTGCGCATTCTGGCCGGCTAACCACTGAATCAGGGAAGAAGAGAAAAAAACTCGTCTGTACGGATGCGTGTTTCGCGTATTCGTTGATTTCAGCGACCGACATGACAGGATCGCATTGTGCACATCCCCCCCCCCCTTAGACAAAGGGCCCGACCACCTATCGTGGCCTTAGTCGAGGAAATAACGATACTACTAGCTCCTTAGCCATGACGATCCGCTGACTTCCTAGATGGTGCAATGGAGGGTTGCGAATTAACAACCATACACACTGCGAGCGGCAACTATTGTCGAAAAGGCTATTGAATGATATGACGGAGCCGCAAAAGGCCCGGAGCTGCTGCCGATTCAATCTCGCGCGAAGCTTAAAAATTTGAAAAAGTTTGGTTCGGTCGTTAGCTGCCGCTGACTAGGAGCTCCTGGACACGTGTGGCCTGATGAGAAGCACAGCCGGGTCGATGTTGGCGGCGGACTAGAAGCGTCTCACAGGCGACACTTTTGAGTCAATGATTGCGCCAGCAAGTTGGGTCCCATATAGAGACACTAAGCGCCGATCTGACGGAGCATGGTGGAGCTCACGGGTGGCTTGAAAGACAGTTTGCACTCGTCAGTCGCTTGTCGAAGTTTCTGCTCCGTGATTTCTATAGCGGTCTTGGCGCGCAAAGTCGACCTGCCAAGGCCTCATGGACAACAACCATTTTTTCTCAACGGGCCTTTAGTGCATACTATAGTAATGTGCTCAATCTTGCCGACATACTACCCAAATCGCAGTGCCTGTCCATGTGTCACCGACATGTTGCTATTTGCACAGAGAAGCGCAGCCGCCATAAGCGACGAATACGTCCAAAGCGATAGGCTAACGTCGCATCGATAGTATCCAAGACGTCACGCGCCAGGCACGTGAACTGTATACACTGGCCCAACGGGGCGGTGCATGTGGCCGTGCTGCCATCTATCCATGGGTAAAACTTTGCAGTCTCAGCAGCGGCAGCAACTCTGCGCACAGCCCAAATCTTCGCTTTCTTCTCTCTCACGTGCCGAGATCTGTGCACGTTCAACGGCCCGCTAGGTAGACCCTGCACAACGATCCCCGCGTCAATACACAAACCCGCGGCAGCCCACTGCACCCACATGTTTCGCCCTGGTATGACGTCCACCAGACACCGCCAGCCCTTTCATGGGCACTCCTCGCCATGGAGCTGGGCAGCTGTATATACATAGCCACGGATCCCCCGTTAGCCGCTCTATTTAAACATCGCCACTTCGTGTCCGCCTCACGACTCGCCCTGCGCTCCACCCATGCCATCAGCACAAAACCAAATATGAAACAGCCTCGCATACGAGATCTTCGGCTCTGCAGTCAGCTATTTTGTTTTACTGCCAGCACAACCCCAGACCTAGTCAGCTGACCACACGAGATGGAGCCCAGTGCGTGGGTTGGCCGCCGGTCGGGAATTTGGTCTGTGATGGCCCAACAGCCTACGGCACAGTGCGCCCCCAACATCACTCATGCGTAACGCCCGAGAGCTGTGTATGAGGCGAGCATCCTATTCACGTTGGACTCGACTTGCGGATGCCAGGGCGCGGCACGGGTAAGACTGCTGCACGCCATCGCTGCCGCTGCGGGGTTGGGCCTGAGAATAGGTCAACTCCAAGGTTTAGGCCCGGCGGCTGCGCAGCGAGCTGGCCACCATCCGTTTCCAAACAGTACCATGAATAGACCGCATCCGGGTTACATGGGCGGCTCGCCCGCCGTTTGATGCAAAGAATTGATCTGGCAATGCGTAGGCGCTGGTGGCACATGCATGGATGTGGCGAGACCAAGGCGGTCAGACTACGCGACCCACCACTGCGATTTGTACTTCTGAGACAGCATGTTTACTAACAGAACAGCATTCTAATATTGGAACGTCATCCGTCTGTACATAGACGCCTGTGGCAGCTGCGTGTTTGCGGCGAGGCTCTCGGAGTAGCCGTCACCCTACCGATACTCGACTTTGTTACAACCTCAACACTTGCCAACACAAAATCTGCCTGATGGGATTGGAGCTTGGAGGCGCAGAAAAGCACCCAGCGGCAAAGCAAGATGCAGCCGTGACGCTCGTGACAGCAATGCATTCACCGGAATCATCACCTTGATTGCACGAGAGAAGCATGGCGCTAGCTATACTGGCCAAGCACAGCCGTGATTGCTAACACTACAGGACAATTTCCATTTAGCAACTCTCACTCTATTCATATCCAGTCTTTTCTCTCCATTCAATTTTTACTTTTTTGTTTCACCGAGCTTCTCCATAAACTTTGATGTCAAGTTTCTAAAAATCGGCCTAGGGTTTTAGGTAACTATGCAAGAAAGAGAGAAAGAGAGTCGTGGAGACTAACCAGTATCTGACACCCGTCTGTTTCACCTCTGCACATAGCTAGCAAGGCTGGTACTTGGGAATTGAAACCACATCCTTGAAGTGTTCTCTTCGCTTCTTTTCTCTTCTTCTTCTTCTTCTTCTTCTTCTTTTTTTTTAAACATTACATTACATTACCATAGGCGACGCAGAAGAAGAATACCAAATATGCCAAGTACCAAGAAACAAAAAGAAGCTTAAACGAAAAAGAAAAACGACGAATAGAGCCGAAAGTCTATACCACATTCTGTACCTTGTACGCTGTTGGGATAGACCAAGGACGGAGGGTTAAAAGTACATTTGAGCATTGTTCTTGATTATTTTTCTTCTTCTTCTTCTTCTTCTTCTTCTTTGCTTCTTCTCGGTAGCCCAACCATGTACCGAGACAACTAAACTAACTACGTACTATACTTTTTTTTGGTCAATCTTAACTGGCTGTCTTTGAAGTTAAATTGAGAACTTTTGCTTCCGGGAAGCGTGGACACAGGGAAAAAAAAACAGGTCGTCGTTTTCTTGTTTTTCCGACTTTTCTCTGCCCCAATGCTTTGTTTAGCTCAGATTCACATATCAAAAATGCGCATACATTATTTTGTTTTTCTTGTTTGGATATAAGTTTTTTTTTTCTTCTTCTTTGGTCTCCTCGGCCTTTCTTGCTTGGCTTCATATCTGAACGTGCTTTTGCTTTACGTCAGCAGCATCTACCTCGTCCAAGATGGATTTCCCTTTTTCTCAGCATCGTAGGTCATACCGCGGTGATATCATCCTTCGGCCCTTGGAATTTCCACACAAGTACGTATTTAGAAAGAATAGCGGCGTCAAAATTCTTCGTTTCCCGCTACATTTGACTTTCAAGAATGCCTTGGACGTCAGAGCAGCAAGCGGGCTACACAGACGCAGTAGACTACAATATAAAAAGGAAGCAATTGCATTTCTCATCCCTACAGTGCCCATGATGCCTTCCATTGTGCATTGCAATCATCAAATAACCCAACACCACATAACGAGCATCACATGATTAGCACCACATAACCAAAACCACATGACCCAACATGCCCGTGGAAATCGTTACCCGAAAAAAAAAGGATTAAATAATATACATCTTACGCAGCAGGATCCAAGAACCCCTCGAGCGTCTCGTAATTTAGCGGCTTGAACAATTCATTACTCAAGTCTGCACCTGAACTTCCGAGGAGACCCTCAAAGTTTTCAAATGCGGCGTCAAAGTTGAGCCAGTCGGGAGATTGCTCGGCGAAGCCAAAGCCCGCTGGCGGACCTGTCATGGGTGCTCTTTCGGCACGCTCGCTGCTCGTGGGGTGCTGGCCGGGCGTCGGTGGGATTGGGTTGAGGAGGCTTGTCATGGGTGAGTTTGCGTGGGCGTGGGATTGGTTGTGTTGGAGGCGAGGGTCAATGCGTGTTTCTACGTCTTGTTGCCAGTGTGGTGGTTGGCTTGGCGGTTGTATCTGGGTGTTTTGAGTGCTCTGTGGGGTTGGTGGTCCGGTCTTGGGTTCGTTGTGTCGAGGTTCTGCTGGGATGGGTACGGGCGTGTTGGCAGTGTTGGTGTTGCGTCCTGCTGCGTTGCTGAGGACCGCTCGTCCGAGATCTGCCGTTGTGCCTGCCGACCACCATGCGTTGCGTAGGCGATCAAGCAGGCGTACACATTGTTTTAGCTCTTCCGTGGCGCGGTTGACGTGAACCTTGAGGCGGCGGGACCGGAAGTGGCGGTACACGACACTCAGAGCCACACCAAGCGCATACGGGACGATGGGCAGGGGCGGGAGCATCTCAGGGGGCTCGGCGTTGAGGAGATGGATGACTCGTGTCGCTGAGAGACTTTGGCGGACGTACGAGGGGGTTGACTTGACTGGGGCGTTGATAGATAGGGACTTGTGCGAGGCCATGCACATGGTATGGTGGAAGAGCGACAGAAGACCTAGACATGTGAGTTTAGACAAGGTAATATCTCAAGGGACTTACTCATGATAGGACCATCAAGCTTGTCCTCGCCGTCTCCAACCATCTCTTCAAATCCCAAAAAGTCATCGCCTTCCCAACCCGTCTCTTCGGCAGCCCTGCCGGGCCTGTAGTAATCAATGACCTTGTCCAACATCTCTGATATTTGCAGCCAGATACCGAAAGGACTCGACCGCTTCTCGGGATCTGTAGGTAGTTGTCTGAGGCTGTTATCGCGGTCGTGCATGAGCAAAGGACGTCCGTTCATGCAGGCATTGATCTTATCAAGACTCCACAGACACCAGAAAACGTCCTCCAGGTTCCCTTGCGACTCGGAGCTCTGGTTCTTCCACTGGTGGCCAAACTGAAGACCAAACGTATGTGCATGGTGGATGGCTTGGGCTAGGTGCATTGAAGCCTGCTCGGCGCCGTCTGGTCCTTCGCAATGGAGAGATATCAGGGCGAGTACTTGGATGAGCACGACGCGGTTCTTTTCGAGCTTTGCCTCGATTCCGACAATCACAGCATTGTACAGTCTCTGTGAGAACTCGCGTGGGTTCATCGGCTGGGCACTGTTGTCCAGATACAGGTGCTTTGCAGCCGTAGCGTGTTTTGATGCCACAATGCATATCGCCTGCATGAGTATCCTGGGCTCTCGGCCATGGTTGTACTGCTCGTAAAACAGGTCCTTGTCCACGAGCGGCAGCAGCGGGTGCACATAGTTGAAGTAAATCTCGAGGAGGGCAGTTTGGTTCTGCCTCGAAGGTAGAATGTCCACGCCGACCGCCTCCAGGTACGTCAGAAGGGCGCGGGAGATCTGAGACTCCTGGCTCGAGTGTGGACCCGTCTCGACAATGCGTGTTGTATGCGGCCCCGTCTGCGTCGAAGTCGGCCGCTGATCCCGCTCTTCTACCCACTGGCCGATTGGAGGGGGCCCGGGCGACGGAGCAGCCTTTCCACGCTCAGAATGCACCTGCTCTCGCAAGACGGCTTCGGGATTCAGATAGCCCAGGAAGTTTGGTGGGGTCTGGGCGGTATGGTCCGAGGCCGGGCTCTGGGGCGGCGGCATTGTGGACTGGGCATGGCTGTGGGAATGCGAGTCCCCACGGGGCCCTCTTGGATCGTGGGAATGATAGTGCCCGCTGGCAGGAGGCCCACGAGGATCTGAGGTTGGGTTGGGTGCGTGTCCACTTTGGGAAGAGCTTCCGATTCCAGTACGGGCCTTGTCGTCTTCAAACGGGGTGGCCTCGTCGTCAAAAGTGTGGCTGCAGCGCTTTCTCCGCTTCTTGCATGATTCGCAAGCGCGGTGGACTCCTGCGATGCCGTTAGCGGGCGTGTTTCTGTGCTGCGCGCCGGCGCTGTCACTCGGGCGCTGGTGTTGTGTTGGTCGTACGTTTGCGCTTCCTGAAAAACTCGTTGTTGGCGGCAAAGGTGGCCAACATTGTCGGCGCGGCGGCTGGGCGGGTTGCGGTCAGCAGGCAATTCAATGCTCGGGCCTGCCAGGCTTCGGGGCGTTTGTTGTTTTCATGAACATGAGGCCGGGCAGGGCTTGGTGATGTGTCGCCGCACGTGACGGATGCGCGCCTTCCGCCTCCGCACTTTTTGTCCGCGTATAGGGTCGAGGTGATTGGCCCAACGGCGTGGCGTGGCCGGGATGGCATCCTTCTCGGGTTACTCCATCGGCGCTTTGCAACCGTTGCCCGCCGTCTCTGTACACCTGCGGCCTGCCCAGCCCGTCACCCGCCCTTCCCATTGCTTGTCTATTTTAGTAATGCCAGTGCCCTGGTCGCCTATAGCCCAGTCCGTCGACCCGTGCTATCATCAGCTGACTTTCCCACGGCGTCTCGAGCAGCCAACATCACACAACGGACACAGTTACACTTGACGCAAATTCATTCCATTACCACTCGCAAAACGGGCCGTCCAACGTGTGCTTGCTGATGCTATGACTAAAGGGTATGTGCGCCGCCTCCATCTTCTCTCGTGGCTTGACACGAGCAGCCTCTGTCCAGGCGTGCCCGCCCAAGTCTCCAACAATGTGATTAAAGTTATGAACATTCAGATTGTGCCGGGAATAGTGCCTTGACCGTGCTGGTCGCGGCGTAAGAATATTTTGTTTGCAAAGGCTGTGGGCTGGTGCCCTAGACCAGACCCTCGATGCCTTGTGCGAGTCGGCTCTCCATGGCCTTTACCAAGACGGGCGGTACCGACTCGTCAGTGGCGCGGATAGTGATGCGGTACATCTGCATATGGTTAGTCTCACCCTACTCTCTATACTTCTCTCCACTTACCCGAGTCTCAAAGTTCGGTTCCAGCCTAAGCAGACATCCGAACTTGCCCTCGCTCGAATGCAACACCGTTGCGCCCACCACGTTCTTCACATTGGGGTCCACGCCGGACACGATGCCCCATTTGAAGCCCTTGACCACCTTTTGCACAAAGTCCGAGTCCATGGTCCTGTTCTTGTTGACGAGGCCAAAGATACTCTGCGCTTCGCGGGGCGCACCGCCAATCTGCTTCCAGCGCTTGAAGAAGTCCTCGGAGCTGAGTTCGGCGCCCTCCATGTACTTGTGGAGAAGCACCGGCAGTTGGAGAGTCAGGCCCTGCAGGGCACCTGCGAGGTAGGATATGCGGATCGTGGGTGGGTCGACAAAGACATTCTTGCATTCAAACATGATGGTCTGCTGCGTCTGGCCCTCGGGCGCTATTGTCGTGTCGGGCAGACCCTTGATGTCAGTCTTGAGCGTCTCCGAGGACCTGTTGTCAAGTGTTGTGGTAAAGGAGCCCATGGCGAACTGCGACTTGTTCGTAAAGTAGAAGATGAGAGCACCCAGCTGCCCTCGGTACTCTGTTCGTAGCCCGACTTGAATCTGCTGGTCCTCGTACAGCACACCTTCAGACCGCAGAAGCAGGCGATTGTATCCAATCTCCCAGTCCGGACTCAAATGGGCGGCGCTTGCGAGGTTTGGTGCCTTGGGCATGCTGTTCGTATCAATGTTCAGATCGAGACCCTCCAAGTCGCTGGAAATGGCGCTGACGCCGTTAGCACCGTTTGTCTTGCCATCTTTCGATACCGGCTCCGTGAGGCTTCGTTTGACACCGGCAGATGTGTTTTGTCTTGCCAGTCCGAATTCTTTGGCATCTGCGTTGGCATCCTTGCCGCCAATCACCCATGTCCGCTTGTCACTAGTGGTGGCGTGTTTCTGGTGTAGCCGTGAAAGTAGGGCCGACGTTCGCTCTGGATACGGTGGCATCTCGTCGCACACGGTCCGCAACAAGTCGTCTGTCGGCATCGTAGCAAGGGTAAGGTATTCGCATGCTCTTTGCTGCAGCTCCGAGTCCAGTGAGTGGCTGTAGGCACGGAATGTTTGCAGGAGCTGTGGCTTGATCTCAGGAAACAAGTTGACGTACTTGACGTAGCACGAGAGGAGTATGGCCCTCGTACTCGAAGAACAGCCTCGCATCTTTGCGCTCAGTGCCATGAATTGCTCAATCGGACTGCACCCTTTGTTATCCGCAATCAAGTGGCCAAACTCTCCAAGCAGATATCCGCCAATCTTGACCAGTGTTTCGTGGCAGTCCGACTTGATGTACTGCAGGATGGTCTGTGCGGCATACACCTGGAGCTCCTCGTTGTTGGTGGTAATCTGGATAACTCGCTGCCATACTTCGTCGCTGACGTGGTCTCCCGCCATGGCAATTAGCCGTAGCGATATGTCGACATACCACTGAACATCCGTGGCGTACTTTTCGGTCAGAATGGCAATCTTCAGCACCATTTCTTCCCGTATCGCGTAGTCGGCCGATTGCAGGTAGCGCAAGAGTTCGTTGACAATTGCCTGCGCATTGGTCGGGTCGCACATGCTGTAAAGCAGATCCAGACCCTGTCTCCGCACGCTGATATCCCTGTCTCTTAACGATCCGATGATGATAGCCTGGTGTTTCTTGATAGGGTCGAGGTTTTCTGATCGGGCAGCCAAATGCGTCATTGCTTCCAGTCCCAAGTACCGTACGTTGGTCTCCCTCGAGGCGATAAACTTGCCGAGTCGCTGTGAGATTTGCACCATTAGATCCTGTTCCGTGTCAAGATGAATCACAAGGTTGATGGCTTCAAAGAGGACAGCATTTTGAGCGTTGTTCTGTTGCACATTCTTTGGCATTTCGAGAGCCGAGTCCATGATCTTCTGTAGAGCTTCACGAATAAGGGACCGGATATGCGAATCCTCTGTTTTGGTTAGCATGAGCGGATTGCAGATGGCTAGGGGGGCAAACCGGGAGGTGGGTAGTACTGCAGCAGTTTGAGCAGCTTGACGAGTATCCAAGGGCAAGGCACCTTGTAGTAAAAGTACCCCTCTGCACATTCATTGTCGACGACAATCCGCTTCAGCCGGTGGGCGGCCTTGACATAGCTGCCCTTGTACTGCTCGGTGTTGTCCTGGACGAGTGCTGTAACTAGCGAGGTGACGGAGAGGGCAACTCCCATGTCGGGGTCATCCATGAGCGATATTATCCGTTCGGCCCACTCATGCTGGACAATTGCAGGATGTTTCCGGTACAGCCGCAGTAGTGTGAGCGCTGCCTTCTTCTTGACAAATGCCTTGGAAGCCCTGCTGGTGTCAGTCCGGTCATTGGCCTCGCTCGGCCCAACTTACGGTGAGATGAGGAGCCTATGAACCTCTGCGCTCAAGGCCTCTCCCAGCTCCTTGCCGCCGACGTTGGCAATCGCATGCAGTGCCAGACAGTTGTTGAGCTCATTGTGGTCCAGCAAGTCCTTTCTGATACTGTTGACGACCAGGTGGAGGAGCTCGTGTTCTTCGTGTAGGAATAGGGTGACGGCGAGGTATCCAATCTGCTTTTCCGAGTACTTGGTCGCCGAGACGAGGTTGACCGCTTCGAGGTGTCCGAAATCGACGTTCCATCCGAGAATGTATATGTACAGGAGCTGCGGCCGTCAGTACAGGAGGGTGTGGTTGCGTCAAGCTGGCGTACCTTGCAGACGTATTTCTTCTTCTGGTAGCCATTCAGTCCAGCATCTGGGGAGAGTCAGAGCAAGTCAAGCACCTAGCGTAGCCAGACAGTACCTCTAAACTTTTGCCTGCAACGCTGTTAGTCTTGCAGTCTTGCTTGGAGCGCGGCACCGTGCACCCACCGTATGTTGGCTAATTCCTTGTTGATCCGCTTCTCCTCGAGCTCGCGGGCGCGGGCATTTCTCAGGTCAGCAATAAAAGACACCAGTCCTGCGCAAGCATGTCAGCCCCCGTGGTCGATTGCATGCGTCGAGTCGCGTATACCTCGCATCGTCGGCACGTTGCCCGTCTGTTCTCGGCTGAACAAGCCTCCACCAGCCCTCGCCGCCATCTTAGAGGTGACCGAGGCCGCCATGCTGGTGGTTGTGGTGGTGGTGGTGGGAGGGCGGTTCCCACCTGGTAGATAGCCCGACAATGCGGCGGCGTGGGTGCGCTATGCTGTTGGGATGGAACGGTACGGGCCTCGAAGCAGGGTTTATGGCCGGCGTGCGCGCTGCGGAGCGGAGATGGATATAGTGCGCGAAAGGGGTAGCTGTCGGGTGCGTCGGGAGCCTGGCTGCAGAATTGGGGCGCAATGGAAATCCAACAAGGTGGCAGAGACACGGAAACACGCCTCGCAGTGCTGCACGCGGCTCGACAGCTGGATGCTTGCACGCTCTGGTGTTGGCGGAATGGATGCATGCTCTATTACACATGAGGTGCCAAGAAGCACAGGGTCTAGCGTGCGTCGCTGGTCCCACACGTCCGAGGAGGCCGCAACTCTGACAGCACCGGCACCAACCACCGTCTGTCCACCACAACCACAGCCACAGCCACAACCACCACTGCCGCCGCCGCCCTCGCAACCCTCTCCGTCCTGCTCGGCTCGCACAAGTGGCCTGCCCACGCAGATCCAGCATGCCCAACGGATCCTGTCCATGGCTGCTGCACCCGTCCTGGCACCGTGCACGCCCACGTACATATGCGGCCTTGTGCAGAGCCGACCTGGCTGTGATTAGCGGAGCACAAAGGAGGCCTGAGCCGAGACCTCATCTTGCCAGTGCTTGGGCAGACGCATTGGATGCGGAGACTTGGCAATACGCTCTTTGCACAAATGAGCCAAGGTGGTCAAAAACAGCCCTTGATTCTCAACCTTCCTAGTACATACATGCATGTCCGCGCTCGCCGACACGTAAATTCAGCCCAGGTACCGCCGTCTCACGCCTCACCGACGCCCAAACGCCCAAACTTCCTCCGCATGTCACATCCCCGCCGCTCAAATGCAATCCCCAACGCCTCGTTGCGCAAACCCATCTACCCCTTGGTGGTGAAGTCGGTTTCGAGGCTGGATGAGCCGCTGTTCTGGCTGCGGCTGCAGTTGCAGGCGTCTGCAGTGTCTTGTCAGATAGGCTCTAGCACCCATGTCCATATTGCATGCTTACCTTCAGCGCGCTTTCCACAGGCACAAGTCGACTCGGGGAGCTTGTTCTCAGTGGCGGCCTTTTCGCAGGCTGCATGCATGTCAGCACTGGCCGGTGTCAGGTCGATATGAGTATACGTACTGCACTGAAGCGCCGGCTGCTTTCCGCACGAGCAAGTAGCCTCCTGGGCGCATACACAGGCGCCGTTGTTACGTCCGCAGCAGACCATTTTGAATGTGTAGAATGATAGAGTTGGTTGAGTGGTTGGTGGTTGGAGCCAAGCAATGATGTGTGGATGGTGGAGTGAGGGCTGGATGTTTTGGATAGCAAGCAAGAGGCTGGCTCTGGCCCTTCTTTATACCGTCGCTCTCTCCGCTACGTAGTTGTCGCGGACCCTGGGATGTTAGCGGTGGAGTCGCGTGAGTGGCGGCGCTGGCCAATCAGAGCGCACTTGATTACGCTGCAGTCACCTGTTTAAGCCCTGAACCCTACCCTGCTTATTCACTGCCTTTTGCGTGCACCCTATTTGCTGCACATTCTCCCATTATCGCATTGATACCGCCTGCACACCCGCTGTGCATCTGTCATGTCGTGGAAAACCGGCTGAACAAGTGGAGAGTAGTATTAAAAGGTGTATATACAAGCCGTTCAAAACATTAAGGTCATGATGTCAGTGCTGTGCCGGTACGCTTCATCCCCTTCCCCTTGAGTCGCTCCGTTGCTGGCGATTCCTTGATTGTCTTTGGCGAGATCTCCTCAATCTCTCCAATGGCCTGCCGGACTCTCACCGGCGTCCTCGGACGCTCGCCTGTCGACTCTCCTACATACGTCGAACCTCTTGGCCTTCCCGGGGTTATGGGCATATCCGTGGCCCTCCGTGCCAGCTCTCTGACCCTTCCCGGGGAATCTTTGCAAGGGCTGCTCGTTACACTAACGTCACCCGACGATCTTCGTACCGAATTATCCCGTTGGTGCTTTGACAGAGACTGCCTAATGCGCGAGTATTGCGTCCATTTGGTCAGCCTGGAAGTCCTTAGTACTTCCCCAACGGCTTCTTGGAGTTCTCTTACCGCATTGTTCTGCAGCGCTTGGAGCAGCACAATCGCGTTCTGGTGGTCTCGGCTGGCCATTGAAGGGGCTTGCTGCGAAAGCCCCTCTTCGGTTGCATTTGCATGCTCCTTGATAATCTCAAGAAGCCCGCTGTCTTCCTTGATCTCTTCGGCAATGGCGGCGGCGCCCTCAAGCGTCTGTGCCAGCAGGCCGAGCCCAAGCAATCCTTCGGATCGGGCTTCGGGGTAGAAGCGTTGACGTACAAGTCGGGCAATCGGTCGGGCAATCTGAGGTACCTGTAAGATTTGTAGTTGTACTGCTTCGACGTCTTTTTCCGCGTTTGGCCGCCCAAGATAGCGGAACATGGCGACAATGGTGCGGCCCAGTTCAATCATGGGGTTCTTCATCGTGGTGCTCGGGAGCGGCTTGGAGGGGGCGAGGGCCTGTTCGACAATGTGTGAAAATATTACAGTGTCCGCTGAGATGGCCGCATCAGCTGCCTCGGTGTCGGGGCCAACCGTCTCGTACATGACCTTTTCAATGTTGTGAAAATTGCCCGTGACGAGCTTGCACAGCATGGCTGCTGCCTCGCCACGGACAGAAGGATCTTCGAGTACGAGCATGCGGCAGCATGCTTCCATGAGCCCGGCATCTGCAAGCAAAGCCCTGTTAGCCTCTGGGAAAGTGAGATGGCGCATGAAACCAGCCGCAGCATACAGAAGCGCAGGTCTATCGCTCTTCTTCAAAAGCGTAATTAGGCGGACATGAAGCTCCATGATCTTGACCATGTCGATGCAAATCTCATCAGACATGGCCAAATTTCCCACCATGACACAAGCGCATATCGTAGATGGTTGTGCGCTCTCCCAGGGCGCCCGCAGCTTTGCTTCCAGTCTTTCAATAACAGGGCTTCTGATATTGAAACTTTGTGCAAAAACATCTGTTGCGGAGGCAGCAGACAGCAAGCCAATCAGCTGAGCCATGAGAAGAACCTGCGCCTCGTCAGATGACGTGCTTTCTGAGCTTTTGCTTGTTGCAAGTTCCAGGAACACGGCCTCAATCTCGTCCGGCTGAAGTCGTGCCTCGAACTCTAGCATGAGGGTGACGAGATCGTCTAGTAGCTTTGGCGTTGCTATCCTCTGCTGGAAGTCTGGGTCCTGGAGGTAGTGTACCAGGATAGCGATATACTCGAGATAATGGTCTTCGTCGAACTGGAGCGCTACATTTAGTAAGCTCTTGAACGTCTCAAGGGATACTTCGTCCTTGAATTGAGCATCGTTGAGGTTGCTCGTAGTCCAGCTGAGCAGATCCGTAGCATAGTCGAGCCCCGCCTCGGGTACCCTGTCGAGAACGAGCAGCGTGGTTATGGTGGCGTCCAGTCTGAGCGTGGCCACTGCGGCTTTGGCCGGATCTGTCTGCATGAGCTGCGTGTCCGGAAGAGCTTGCAGCCGTGCTCACCAAAGTCGTTGCAAAGATTGAAGAGGACGGCCAGTGTGGTCAAGCGTAGGTCTACCGACTGTAGGCAGCTAACGATGGCCTGTATTTCTCTGACAGCGAGTTCTCTGTTGGTGTCTTGACTCGAGTCAGCCTGCGTCGTAAAAGGTCCCGTTCGGGATACAGTACCGTTGTCGGCAACAGCATTGCCAACGACTCTCAAGCACTGCTTCGCGATCGGTTCCTCGTGGCGGAGAGCGGACAAACCGTCGAGGGCGTAGGCAAGAATGCCGCTGTCTCTGAACGGAGTCTGCCATCTTTCTGTGACCTGTTAGAAAAGACGAGTCCAGCGGGATACAAAACATACTGCGGCCTCCGACGGCTGTGCCGAAGAGTTGTAGCGTCCTCTCTATGGGTACATGGTCCCCACTTGCTGCGAACGCTTCGAGCTTATGCACGTAGTCCGCAAGAGCAGCGGTCTGGCCTGCAGGGTTCCCTTGGAGTAGGCGCTCCAAAGACGCTACGTGTTCGCCAAGCTCCTCATTGGATAATGGCATATCGGATATGTGTGATGATGATGAGGAAGAAACGCAATCGCCCCGAGAGTGGTGGGAGTGACAAGATCAGGTGCTCATGGCGGCGGCGGCGCTCGAGGGAAGATGACCAACGGCGTTTGCTCCGAAGCAGAAGTGGAAGTGTCGCACGAGGCTGTACGAGGGCGTCCTTTAATGAATCGCAATTGGATGAGATTTGTCAGGTCTCCTAAAGTCTGCAGGAAAAATTGCCATAGTTCAGCCACTTGTTTTTCCACGCGCGCAGAGGCGGGCGAGTTCCTGCGGCAGTCGTGACCCACCACCCGGCTAGCCTTGCCTCGTTCGGCTCCACTGGACCCCTGGAACAGATGCCTTGGCGACAGTTGTGCGATCTGGCACCCAACACTCAACACCAGACGCCGACGACTACCCTACGCCCCTAATACTGCCGACCAAAGACTCTCGTTCAACAGCTGCAATTGCAATACCGCCAAAATGACCCGTGCTCAGCAGACCATTAGCATTGCGATGCTCCTGACCTCGGTACGCAGCCCCTTGTGCCATGCAAGACTGTGCCTGACATGTAGCAGATATACCTCGCCCTGTTCCTCCAAGTCGTTCCCCTGCCTCCCAAGATCCAGGAAGAGGTTATCCCATACGTACGCTTCCCGCCCGCCCGCAGATATCCAGCTGACCACCGTAGCTTCCGTTCTGGGCTCTTGTCTCCTTTGGCGCCTATCTTCTCTTCAGCCTTGGCTGGGGCGTCTTCACCTTTAACGACGTGCCCGAGGCGCACGCAGAACTCATGCAGCAAATAGCAGAGGCACGTAAAGACCTCAGCGCAAAGGGCGTGGATGTTGGCGAGGATTAGACGTGGCAGATGCGCTAGGGCTGCAGGAGGGAGTTGAGGGGATAATTAAATGGGTATTCGAACAATGTCTAAATAATTTGCAGCTAGGCAAGGCAAGGCAACTTCCGGGTCTTGCCGGGCTTAAGTTTACGCAGAAGCAGCAGTCTCTGCCTGTTTCTGCGCCTGTTTCAACTTCTTTTCTGTTTTCATAAATTCTCGAATGCCGACGGGTATGTCTGCAAACAGCTTGTCCTTGTCTGTGTCGTCAAGACCGCCGTCCCAGTTGGTTTCACTGCCACCCCCGTCATCGTCCATACTGGTAGCAACATGGCTCGGCGTTGCCTCTCCTGCCACCATACTGCCAGTCCCCTTTGCTTCTTGTCGCTGGGCTTGCATTGCTGCTCTCGCCTGAGCGTGCTTCTCTGCCCACTCTTCCATCTCGTCTCGGTACATGTCCCACACGCAGTTGACGCAGCCGGACATGCAGCAGTTGTCTGGTTCTTCGGGGCGCGGAGGGACGAGCACTCCCGCAATGTTCTGCGACGATTTCATAATCTCTTGTCTACGTTCCTCGAGCGCGGTTGTGGAACCGAAGATGATTCGCGCTTTTGCAAATGTTTCTTCCTTGGGAGTTTTCGGAGGCTCTTTGGGGGGCTCGGGACTTGTATGGGACAGCGATTGAACTTGGGAGAGGGGCTTTTTCAACATGTCTAGAGCTGTTAGCGCGAGTACTAGAACAATGTAATGACACCCAACCTTCATAGAATCCAGTAATGGGCCTGGCCTGCTCGCCTTCCGGTGCTATGTAGCCCTTGAATCGACGCTGTATCCGGTTGCTATTCTGTAGTCCCATCTGTCCGGCGTCTGTTGAAGCATGCGACCTGCGCCATGACTTCAGGCATGAACCGCACAGCCTCTGTCGCGCAGCCTTTGATGCCGACTGCGCAATGTGTTCCATTGTCCCAATGCTCAATAATCCGCTGTGTCTGGCTACGACATGTCGAGATGGCTAGGATGTGGGTTGTAGAGTTTGACTGACATCCATCGACGTCCGACGTCATTTTGCGCCGCATTTCCGAGGTCGGCAAAAGCTCCAGCGAACGCCGACAGGGTCACAACACGCGACGCGTCGCATTCACACGCTGCAAAGCCCCGCCTCGCACGTACATCTGGACGAGTATTCTTAGTACAAGGACGATTCCAGGACGTACCGAACCTCCATTTCTGCCCATCTGATTGTACACCCATATTGGACGTTATGGATGAGCCACCGCTCAAGCGGAAGAGGACCCACTCACCCGACGACCGCGCCTCGAGTCCTCTGAGACAACCTCCACGCCGTCCGTCTTTCGCGTCGCCTACAAAGACCAGCCTTGCGCGCAAATATCCGAACCTGCCACCTACATCCACGTCCCGTCTGAGCGCATCCCCCAGACGCAACGGCCGAGATGTGTCGCCCGGTACTGACAACACCTCGCGTGCGCAAAAGGCCGATAGGAGTGCCCCTGTGAATGGGAGAGAGGATGAGGAGCAAGATCAGCCACCTCGAGGTATCCTGTTTTCCTCACCAAGCAAGCGCCCTCCACGCGCCAAGAATGCTGCAAGACACTCACCATTGAAACCGAAAGCGCCCGCAGTACAATCGGACGATGTCACACAAACTGTGGAAGACGGACCAGCAGAGGAAGATGCACACGAAGGTGCTGTGAAACAACCTCCTGACCCAGAAATTGAGTCGAGGAAGCAGGAGAAGGCACAGCTCCAGCGGGAATTGGAGATACTGGAATCCCAGGTGTCGAAATGTGTCGAGGAGATTGATAAAGAGCAACGGCGAGGGCCAAATGAGGCGCTATCACCTCAGGAGCGTAGAAATCTGAGGTGAGTCAGGCAGCGACGGAATTGCACCAGTGACTAACCCAGCCAGCAATTTCATCACTGAAATCAGCGGGACTGATACAGAGCCGGAAAAGCCAACAATAGCAAGTTTGCTTTGCTCATTTCTGCCGTTTTCTGCCATGCCCATTTCTCGCCCACGCCCAAAACAGAAAGATAGGCCAGTCCCTTCGCACCGTCCAGTAGAGGTGGCAGATCCTCTGCCTTACCTCGAAATGTTCACGTCGTTCAAATTCTCAACCCAAGTCAGTCTGCCCCGGCGTAGGGGGGTGTTGTCCAGACAAGCCCAACAGGAGCACGTTATCGATATCACCGGGCCGCAGAAACTGCTCACAGCTCAGTTCTCCGTCACAATCGATGCTCTGGCGTCCGAAATCGTAGATTCGCAGGTGCTTCGTATCTCCCCCTGGGCCGAGCCGGAGTTGGGCGTGTTTGTCCGAGCGAGAGCACAAGAGAAGGATCTCGGCAACGCTTCGTGGGCCATTGACTCGTACTGGGATATTGCAAGAAAGCGGGCACAATACTGGCACAAGTGCGAGACGACATTTTCCCATCTCCTCGAAGGTCGCACACAAAAGGACATTGAGAACGCCCCCAAACCCCGGAAGAACCCTACAAAGTCCATTTCCCGCAAGGACCTGAATCGAAGTCTGGGTCGTGACACGCTGGTATTGCAGGATAAGCATGTCCTGCTGAAGCTGAACTGGCGAATCGGTTTCGATTGGACTGGTGAGGCCGAGTCGGACGTCACCGTAGAGGCTGCCTTTCCTCAAGTTTGTAAGCCACCATGGCGATGCCCACAGGACACAGCAGGGCTAACTCAACCAACAGGGTCCGAGACAGATACATCGGCCAGTCTGAAGAAGGTGCCGGAAACATTTGCCTCGCTGCTGCGTAGCAAGGGCGCGTTTGAAGCAACGAGGGTCATGGTGGCTTTGTTGTTTGCGCAGTAGATGCTCAAGTTCAAGACATGATGTTGAAATGTCATAATGCTAGTCTCATTTGACTAGCCCGAATGGCTGAATGTCCGTGCTCAAGGTTCTAGACTGCGCTGGTGAATGTTTACAGTGACGTACGTGATGCGGGGTCTACCCCACAGAGCCTTTGGTGTTCCCCGCTCTACCCCAACACGGACAACAACAAGAACAGCAGCAATACCAACGACACGCCGCTCTTCACCATAATGAAGGAACTCTATATTATGCCATCTCATTTCAACGTGACACACCCCCAGCACAGCCGCCTATTTACCAAGTTTTTTTCTCTGTAAATAAAGCCCTTGTATTTCAATTTTATCTACTAATTGTTTCATAGTTGTAGGACTGGTTTAGAATATGTAGCCTCCCTTACCATCGTTGCCACGATACTTCACTTCCAGCCTATTGAACCGGGCAGTGAGACCTTCGTGTCTTTGTATTAGGGTGTTGTGCTCGGAGAGAAGACCCCTGTCGCCATCCTCACCCTGATGTTCTGTCTCCAGGCGCTTGTACCTGGCAGCCAGCTCATTGTTCGCCTGCTCCAAGGCGGTATACCTTGAAAGCAGTCTTTCGTCGCCCTCGTACGCCTCCCTGAGGACCTGGTTCTCCTTCTCGAGACGTCGGGTGATCTCTCGCAGCCCGGCGTTGCCGCCTTCGCCGTCAAGCTCCTTCTGCAGCAGAGCGCATCGCTCCTCTGCTGCGTCAATCTTCGCCTACATCTTTCCAGCAAACTCCAGTACCAAGCCGGCCGGGCCTGGCCCAGTCGCAAGAGGATCCAGCGGATGAAGCACATTGTCCCGTATAAGCGCCGCATTCCGTTCCTGCAAGTCGGCCAATTCTTTCTTCTTCGCGGTCAATTTATCTTGCAATTCGAAACCAAACACCTTTTCGGCGACGGCTTGTCGCAGCCGCAGCTGGTTGTTGTCCATGTCGCGAAGTGCTGAGGTGCGGGTTGGGTAGAGCGAGAGGACGAGCCCCCAAACGATATTTATTCACTCGCCAAGCCATCGGGTAGCTAGCCGAAGAGGCTTTCATGTGTGTTGGCGCCGTATCGATGACGTTCACCGGTGAATGGAGCTCCTCGCGTTGTGACCTATGAGGAACAGTTCGATCTCACCCCTCCTCTTCCTCCCCCCCCCCCCACCAGCTCGAACGGCTCGTGATTGGAGCCCGTTGCACGGGTGCATAGTTCACTAAACTAACAAGTACACTCGTACTCGCATGGCTCATGTCTACTTGACATGTGCCCCATCACAAGGCTAGTAGCTGCCCGGCCAGTCTGTCCGCTCCAACAAAAGGGCCATATGGATCATAAAGCCCTGAACGTGTAGCTCACAGGCGATGGGAGGCTACAACACATGTCCCAAAGTGCCTCCATGAACAACAATACCATAGTTTCCTCTCTCTAGCTCCACATTTAACTCGAGATACGATGATCCACTTCGACCACCCTCCAGACTATGGCTCGACCAACTAAACACTCACGACCCTTTAAGTCACACTGAGCAATGTTCCCGGAATGGGTAGGACTATGATTAATATGCTTCAAAGACACGGGCTGTAGGTATCAAGAATAGCTTTCTTGGAGCTGGACACTTATAAGGATATTGGACAACGGTGAAGAGCATGCTAGACAGTTGGTTTGAGACATACTCGTGCAGTCAGCACAATATCCCTTCGTATCATCACTGCGGTTGTAGCTTTATAAAGCTATACGACTCCCTCTGAACATCCTTTATGTTGGGCCACTCTCTTTTTCGTTCTATGTCCCATGCATATTAGTCTTGAGAGATACCGGTACTCAGGTTAGCTGCACAAAGTGTGTCGGCTGCCTCTCGCTTTCCATAGTAGATACATCTAGTTTGAGAAACTCGGACTGTCATTTCACAATGCAATGGTTGTATTTTATGGTACTGAGAAATCAACTGAATTACTATCATACAGCCTTTCGAGGGCTTCATGTGCTTACAGCTGCAGGCAGATTCATTGGATGTCGAGTGCCAGGAAACCCCCGACAGTCTCGGAACGACCATGGCCCGACAGTATCCGACCATTGTCTTAAAGTAGTTTGTACTCTCGCAAGCATACAACCTGTCGAGAGCGACAATCTTGAGATGACCAAGGCCAGACAGTATCCGACGATAGTCCATCTCTTGCCATCTGGGAGGCAACCTCCCAGGACGGTCCCCATTGATATGATCGACCCCAGGGTAATCCCTGATGCCAATCTATGTCAAGCCCTCCCGGAACAACAGCTCAATAGCCAGCAATCATGCGAAAGACCCAGGAATACCTAGGCCTCTCACCGGATCCTTGGGTAAAATGGCTTTTAGTTGTCACTCCTCTATCTTGATATAGGTGCTTGAAGAGCCATCATCAATGACATGCTCTTGCTTGATTTCGCCACTAAGAGTCTTCCCGCGGGCGATTGCAAGCTCTGCTTTCAGCATCTCATTCTCTCGCCTCAGCTCCTCCACCTCCGCTTTGTAGTCGCGCCGTTTCTGGGCAGCGTCCTCTTGGATCTGCGCCAACAGCTCGTCTTTCCGCATGGATGCTGCTCGCAGAGACTCAACCGTCTTCTCCGCCTCCCTCTTCTCCCGCACTGCACGCTTCCCGAATTCCTCAGCGTCCGACACCAGCTGTTGTGTATCCAGCACCTCTCTTTGTGCCTGCAAAACCTGTGCCTTGTACTGTGCCTGGAGCTTATCCGCCTGCCCCAGCCTCTCACTGTACACCTGCACTTCCACCTCATGCATCCTCTGTCGGATCTCTTCATCCAGGCCGTCGTCTGCCCCACGCTTCCGGCTGAGCAGTGGTTCCTCGTCTTCCTGCATATCCTCGACCGGCTCGGGGTGGTCGCGAAACCAAGGATCCTTCTCCGCAAGGATGGCCCGCTGTGGCGGAGTTGGTCGCAGCTGTACGTTTTCGGGCGCATAGCCATGGTGGTCCTTCCACCACCTCTTGCTGGCCCAGATCTGAGTGCAGACCTCGCCCGGGTGGGCATTGGAATCGCAGACATCGCACTTCTCTCTGCAGTCGACAAATTTGGGGTGGCCAACCCCCTTGAACTTCCCGCATCGCAAGCACTTTGAGTACTTCCTCATCGAGCCGCGTCCATCGAGAGTCGACTGGTCGCGGTAACTGCCCTGCGGTGGCTTGAACTTCGCAGGGTCGAGGTCGCTTGCTGGAGCGGCAACTGGAGCGGTGACTGGAGGGTTGGTAGTTGCTGGGGGCTGCCCACCACTGCCTCCGCGCCCTGCATGTGCGGGGGTATGTCTGCCCGCTTGTCCACCACGCCAGATGGGAACATGCGGCCCATGTAGAAATGGCCTTGGCTGGAAGGCCGGTCCTCCACGGCCTTCCATGGCGACTGGGCCCGTCGGCACACCAAACATGGCCGCTGGTTGCTGACCACGTCCGCCTGCAGTCGGCAGTCCGCCTCGAACGCCTCGCCAACCCTATTGACTCTGTCCGCCTCCCCAGTTCGTGGGGTTGTGGTTCTCTTGCACTATTGCTATTGTAGCAATGTGATGTGGTTGTGGTTGTGGTTGTAGTGGTGGTGGCGGATTTGCGTGGGAAGCAAACCATTCATATAAACAACGCCAAGATCCGTGCGCCCTGCCCTGTAGCTGGCGCTCAATTCATCATTCACTCCAAGCAAATTTTGCTGGTGAAAGCAAAATCTTCTTGTTGGGACGCGAGGTGGATCGGACATATGAGCAGTGAATCAACAGTGAGAAGCTCAGACATATAGTTGAAGACAAAAGACAAGGAAAGACTAGTATCAAGAGTATGACAAGAGACGTCTAGGGATAGCTACAAAGCGGATTTGGGTTAGGTCAATGCGGATTTGCTTAGGAGGCCTTCACTGTCATCGCGCTATAGGCTGGATCGTGCTTGGGTCTCATGGGAGAGTTTATGAAAATTCACTTACCGCGTGATTGTAGGCCCAAAATAGCTGTATCTCACTACGGCGGTGAAGATGACTTCGTAGTCATGACTTCCTGTTCGGACGTTGCCTGTACTAGCGTCTCACGTGACTCATGAGTGGTACTTTTGCTCTCATTTTCACCATCTCTTGCCTTCTCGCTTTTCCTCTCCACCCCATAATCATGGAGGACAACGAACCCGAAGACCCATGGATCACCATGCTGAGGCTGGAGGAAGAGATATGTGAGCAAGAGATCCGAGACTTTGCCACAAGGACGCCGCAGCCGATGTCCAACGATGAGCTACTGGCATCGTTGCGAGAAGGGGAAGAACGCGAGAGCTGGAGGTGAATACTCGAGCTTCTGAAGCCGGTCGAAGTCAAGGAGGAGGAGGATGCTGCGGCCTTCATAGCTAGGATTCGTCAATAAAGGGCGAAGGCGAAGGACCAAACCGAGCCGAACCATCCACCTCTGACGTCCCAGACCAGCGGCGTCTTCGGCAGTGGTGCAGTAAGTCATGCTACAACCTAATTGTCTTCGAGGATGACGGAGCTAACACATGGTAGAGTGCGTCCAAACGCTCTGGAGACTCAGCACCCGGTTCGATCCCCAAACGAGTCCAGAGCGGAAGAAGGGATGCAGGATCGCCTGGGCTTCAAGATCCAATTCGTCCAAGGCCGAGTGTGGGACCGAAACCGGTTTATGGAATGGGTCAAGGTTCACCACAAACAGGGCAGCCATGGGGAATACCTCCACGCAGCCAGTATACGGGTTTGTCATCGGGTTCTGCTTCGGTGCCATCTACTCGCGAGAGTCGACCCAGTGTATTCCTGGCTGGACTACAATCAGGCGTGGTGCCAGGATCGGTGGTTGTACCGGTCCAAAGGTCATCTCAAGTGAAACAGCCATCCATTAGATATAGCCCAAGGCGGTCAGAGTACGGGTTCAGCATTGGTTTCTCGACCGGTGCCAGGTACTCTACAGGAAGGTTGGTCCGGGTCATGCTCGGCTGGCCATGATACGAGGTTGGCAGGGGGGAGTCCCTTGACACCAGCACCTCGGCAGTTGGAGGAATGGAGGTCAACGGGTCGTGACGCGCCTTCGAATGCGTATGTCGGATATGATCCATATGCTGGATCCAGCGGTCTGGGAAACCATGGTGGACACAATGGCCCGAAGAGCTTCGGTGCATTCGGTGCTCGCGGAGGCTATGGTGCGTATGGACGTAGCAGTTCGGGGTCTTTCAGTGAGTACGAAAGACCACGGGAAGGGCGCGAAGCAGAGATGACTGTCCCAGAGCAGTCGCCAGATGTGACGCCGAGCCGTGCTCGACGGAATACTCGCGACGTACCGACTGCCGGACGTGTGCAGAATACGTCTAGCATGGAACTGCCAGAGTCGGAGCGTAAGCCATTGCGGCTGTGGGTGCCGGATGAGCAGGATACGGAATCAGGCGGTGCATGGAAAGCGGAACGCGAAATACTAGCGGATCTGCTCGAATTCTTAAAGGAAGAAAGCCGGAATGGCGCCCACGCGGAAGGATAATGGGGGAGGGAGTTGGGATTCTGCCGTTGCCGGATAGCGAGAGGAGCGGGCTGGAGTGGACGGACAAGGGGTTTTGGGTAAATCGTGCGGGACGCTGATGAAAAGGTTGGAGGATGGAGGTTACAATAATCATGCAATGCAAATGAAACATTGGTATTTCGGTGCAATGAAAAGACTTTCTGATGGAATGAGAAGACTACATGAAATATTGGAACACAAACCATAGCCTACCATGACTTGCACCAGATGGATTGCTGCAGTCAAGCCTAATGGAAGTACCGATAGCAAGGCCGATACCCAATGAGCTGAACATGTGCCGATGGCTTAAACCGACAGGTCGTGAAGAGAAGGAGAGAGCATGATACCCCAGCGAGACACCGATAGCAAAGTCAATACTCGATAGGAGACATACCAGCAGAGATGTCAACAATCAAGCTCATCAAGCCGAGCTAACGCGATATAGTAATGATTAGGCCTAAAAAAGCTAGCCTATTACTGTATCAAGTTAGCTCGGCTTGATGAGCTTGATTGTTGACATCTCTGCATACCAGTGGTTTACCCTGATAGGCTATGGGAAGAAGGCATTCCGAGGAGCCCCCGACATGCCACGAAGGAAAATCAGAGGCATTGGTGCAAAGCCCAAATATCTGTATGAACCATAGGAAATCAAAAGCGACTCGCCACTGGGTCTGTTCGCAGGGCTTTGTGGTTTCGTTGTCCCAGTGTTTGTCCTCATCCTCTGGCGTATGTGGCGTTAGGGTCGGATGTGGTTGGCAAACAACCTCATCCATGAAACCGGCAAAGTATCCCTCGGGTGGGTATTTACCGAATAGTCGCGACAGGCATAGCTGGGAGTCAGTAGCCAGATCAGCTCGATACCAGAGTGAGTTCTTGTTGCGCAGCGCACCCGTGATCCTTAACCACATCACCAATTTCGACCCAGGTTGTATGGATGCCGTGGATTGAGCTTCACACACACCCTCAGTGGCTGAATGATATAGGGCGCAGAGGGCGTGTTTGTAGCGTGGTCCGTCATGTCACAAAGAGGTTCTGGCTTGTGCTGCGAAGCCCTTCCCAGGTTTTGTGGTCCTATTGTGATGTTAGAACTGCACGTCAAGAGAGAAAGAAAACTTACACCAAACTGTCACCCCATTGAAGCGCTTTGGCAGATCCTCTTCAGTGAACCAGTCAGGAAGCCGGTAGGGGAGACCATTTCCAACAGACTCTGAGTCTGGCTCGTCGGCCCAAGAAATCCTTCCACGAGCATGCATGCTCTTGAAGCCAAGCGATTGATTCGTGGAATTCTGCTTGGCCTCCACATCCTTCTCTCCCTGCATATCCCCCTGGGCGGCCTCGTCCCTGCGTTTCTTCGCCTACTTTCTGCTCAGAGGCGCACTCTCTGGCGAACTTCCCCGCGCATCTGCAGCTTCCTCTCCAAAAGAACCGGTATCCGTTTCTTTCAGTGTTCCGAAGGGACTGCCCTTAGGCAGGATCGATGGATGCTGTTTGACATTGGGCTGTATATATATATGTAGGTCTGCGTACGCGGGTGTTAATTTGTATATAAGTATGATCGAAGTGCTGATGTAGCCTGTTTTTATACAGGTGTATAGGTGTAGGTGTTTGTTTAAGCAGGTACAACCAACAATGCATCGATTGTTCAGTTGCGCACCAAACCGTGCGCTAAGCCAAAGTGGTGCTAGCGTCCGGGCTACCACCAACATCATGACCAGCGATGGATAAGGAAGGTATCGAGAAATGTTACCATACTCACATGGCAAATGGTGAGAATTCGGCAGATATAGCTCAGTTCTTCTCTTCTGCCTCCTTCTCCTTAATAACAGCATCCTTCTTCGGCGGCCTTTCCCCAAAAATATCGCTTCCCACTCGAACCTCGTCACTGCCCATGCGAATCGCGCCCTCAAAGTCCGCACTCATACCCATACTCAACTCTAGTTTGCTCTCTTCCCAGCCAAGCTCCTTTGCGACCTTATCCCTTGTCTCTCTCAGTGTAACAAAATCCTCGTTTTCATTCTCCGGTGTCGTCACTTTGCTTCTCGCTATCGAGCCGATGGTCATGAAACCCGCGAGCTGCAGATGTGGACATTTCTCAATGATATGTTTACATAGAGGAAGCGCATCCTGCGGCTCAACTCCCGACTTGCTCTCCTCGCCTGAAGTATTCACTTGTACCATTATCCTGAGCTTCTCTGCGCTGCCGTCTTTTTCCAACAGCGCTTTGCGTCCTTTCTCCAGCTCATTCGCCTTCTTCTCGCTGTCCACACTGCTCACGCACCACAGATTTGGTATTTGCTCGGCCAGTTGTTTGCATTTGTTCGATTGCAGACCACCGATCATGTGCCATCGTATCGAGCGGGGCAGGATCTTTGCCTTTTCAAGCAGTTCTTGGACGTAGTTTTCACCGAAATGAGTTTGTATAGGATCGGGCGGCTGGTGCAGGGCGGTGATATCGTTTGCAGGCTTCAGTTTCGAGACAGCTATGAGGCGGACCTAATGTACGTTGTCAGTTGTCAGGTATCAAGGTAAAGAGTTGGGCGCGCGCACCCGCTTGTTGCCTTTGCTCACGGCATTGATGCGCGAGGATATGCTAGCGACATTTTCGGCCAGCTGCTGTGCGCGTTGCGGATTTATATTCATGTCTTCGGCCATTGTTGATGCGGGGCTATGCTGTGGGTGTGTAAACTTGTGGCCGGCTTGAGTGAAGACGTCAGTTCGGCGTTAGGGCGCTATATCCGCTTAGCGCGAACGCTAGCACTGGCCATCTCGCATGACACACTTCTGTTCCTCCATCAACACAGGTGCGGTATGAACATTGGGTGCAATTGAGAACTAACGTTAGGAGTTGCTTTCATCCTCTGGAGCCTTCCATGTCTCACTGACCCGTTGGAGCCATACATCGCTGGCGCCAAATGCTGGGTCCATCAAGAAGTTGTGCTCTGTGCCTTTGACGTCCTCACCTCGATACTTGTAGCCTGTGCTAGGCACCCAGATGCTACTGAACCACTTCTTTCCTTTCTCACCAACCATCTGGTCTTCTTCGGCATGGAAACAGTCAATGGTCCACACTCTATTGCCTCCATTATCCTCGCTAATGTGTCTCGACAGGAGCTCCACGGCATCGTCAAAGTCATTCCAGTCGATACCAGAGGCGTTCCACGGAGCAGAGCGTTTGAGAAACAATTGGGCATCATGAGAGACGCCGTCCACAGACTCAGCATACAAGAACTTCATAATATGCGTTCGAACTTCGTCGACAACCTGGGGATCGTCCAGTCTGATATCTTCAGAGTCCATATCGAAGCTGTTTGACGATCTATCAGAGCCGGAGCCAGCAGGTGCTATAGGGGCCGGAGCAGCATTGGAATGCATCAAAGGATCGGAAATGCCGTGAACGAACCCGCCGCTCAAGCCTACTAACGGAATGATGTTCTGGTTAACGAACCTGCCGACCGCTCCAAATTTCCCTATCATTGACGCGGGAAGTAACTCGGTGGCCAGCAAGTTGGTCATCCTCGAATGCGAGTAGTGGACCCATGGGGCGAAGAAACAAACATAAGGATGCTCTGGATGTAGCAGATGCGGATACGTGAGGATAAGATTCATGAGGTAGATGTCGCCTCCACTGTGACTGGCGACCGACACATGAGAGACGTTGAGATGTGCCAAAAGTTGGGGCACCATTTCTGTATATGTGAGCCAGGAGTCTTGCATAAAGGTAAGTGTTACCAACCAAGCCAGGTCTGTATGCGCTTCTCGGGCTCTACCGCTTCGCTGCCGCCTACGCCGGGTCGGTCTGGATGAATGATTCTGACATGGTGTCTCTTCGCCAATTGATCTAGAGGAGCATAGCACAAGCGGGGACCAAAGAGCGCACCGCAGAATAGGACAACCGCGCTGCTGTTAACGTCCCCAAAGTCTGCATAAGTTGTGCGGTAGGGCCGCTGTCTGCCAGCCTCAGGATTTGGTGGCAGCACAAAACTCCTGTGAAACTTCAAGTCGCAGATGAATTCGAGTGCTCCCATGGTGGGTGTTACTGGGGTTTAAGCTTGGGGTATGCTGTGTGTCAATGTTAATGGTACACAGCTCTTCGGATGGTCATACGACTGCCAAGGCGGTCAGGCAACCACAGGAGAAGCAGCACGTGACATTCAGCACACCAAGGAGTCCGAAACTGGAGCCAGACAACATACTAACGAGCATTGAAAAGTGTACGAGTGCCATTGAGAAGATGAAAACCGCACATAAGGCATGTGGTTGCTGGGCGTGTGAGAGCTGGTGCATGTGACGTGGGTGGAGGGAGCAAGGAATCCCGGCCTGTCGACCCACATGGCAGTTGAAACGCGTCCCGCACAACCGACCCCGCGCCTTGTCCTCCACACTCCATGTGACACCAGCTACTTATTCCGTCCAGTTACGACTACAAGATGCACCGAAAAATATGCTCCAACCACGACTAGGCTCTTCGGTACCGCTATAAATGTAGCGTCAAATTTCAGACAATCTACTTTATATGGCCAAGGCCCGACTCAGCCCGAAGTACATCCAAATCTCCGTGCGTTCATATACATGGGCCGAATCCTGGCAATAAACATGCATATGCTCCCGAATCGAGTGTTTTGCCCTTACGGTTACAATGTATAAAGACACACGCGCCGCAGTTGAGGTACTTGCTGATGCCAGTTCTTCTCTCCCATCGGCGTCCTTCCCACGATGAAGTACCCTTTGTTTGCAGCTGCTGCAGTGCAAAGTGCGCTCGCACACCCCGGATCCCCTCAACCGGATGCGCAAGGGAGATATACTCTTGAGGCGGAAGGAATCAGGGCACAATTTATCCCATACGGCGCCACCCTCACCAATCTCTTTGTCAAAGGTAGGATGCAATTGTTGTGTGCGTGAGCGGCGCTGACTGAGCCACAGGCTCAAAGGGCCAAGAGTTGGACATTGTCCTAGGCTACGACAACACATCCTACTACCGTAAGCGTTGTGGCGCCCCTGACCAAGCTCCGTCTGACATGACACAGCCGTTGATCCTGGACATCCAGTCTATAACGCGATCCCTGGTCGATATGTCAACCGCATTGGAAATGCAGAGTACTCGATTGACAATGTTACCTATCACACGGAGCGGAACGATGGCCCCAACACCCTGCATAGCGGTACCAACAACTGGTCTTACAGGACGTGGAACGTTAGCCGTGTGACCAAATCGTCCATTACATTCTCCATTCGTGACGCCTCCAACTCGTCGCTTGGCATGATTGGTCGCGTCGATGCAAGCGTCACGTACTCTGTGTCGAAGAACAAGTGGCACATCTCCATGGATGCTACCTCGCCGGAAGCGAAGACTCCTCTCATGCTGACGCAGCACACGTACTTCCAACTTGATGCCTACACGCGACCCGACAACCGCACCATTTGGAATCACACAGTGTACATGCCCGAGGCTAAGCGCAAGATTGTCAACGACCAAAACTCCCTACCTACGGGCGAGATTGCGCAAGTTGCCGTAAACTCGATTGATGATTTCTGGTCGGCGCCGCACGAGCTTGGGTTTGCATCAGGCAGCACCGAGTTTGAAACGCACTGCGGTACTGGATGCCACGGATACAATGGTGCCTGGGCGTTCAACGAGGGTAGAGACAAGAAGGCGACGGTGCTGACGCTATCGAGCAAGTACAGCGGTGTCGAGGCTAAGCTGAAGACTGACCAAGACGCTGTTGTTCTGTACACGTGCAACTGGATGGACGGAAAGGGCGAGTTCAAGAGCACCCAAGGTGTTCGAGGACAGAACAAGCTTATCCCACGCGACGGCTGCATTGCGATCGAGGCGCAGGACTATCCCGACGGCATTAACCAGTAAGTTGCTGTGACGTCGTACATGGCCCAAGCTAATAGTGTTGAACAGTCCGGAGTGGGGTCGGCTAGACGAACAAATCACGGGCCCGGGCAAGAAGTACCACTGGGAGTCGTCGTGGGAGTTTGGAACGCTCTGAGAGGGGATGGGAATTGGCGTGTAGCAGCAGAGCGAGACGGGGACGGGGCCAGGCACTGGCGGCATGTGAAGGAACTGGGAATGTACATAGTAGTAAGCCGAAAGTTATGCAGCCCCCATTGACCGAGAGTCGTGTGTCCGGAGCCCCGCATTCAGGCGGGGGGGCGGTCGTGGGCGGGCGCCGTCCAGCTGTGAGCCGTGGCAGCAAGCGTGAGGGTCGGGCGGCAGCGTCATGGCCGGGGCGAAGTTGGCTGAGACGCGTATGCAGGCATGCAACAGTGCTGCGAGGATGCGTGTGGGCGAGCAGTGAATGGGCGGGTGCCGAGGAAAGCTGCTGGTGTTCCTGGCATCGTGGCGGCGCGGGCTAATCGGCACGCCTGAACAAGTCTTGGCATCTAGCCCACCGGCTGCATGCTGGTGCTGGTGCTGGTGCTGGTGCTGGGACTGCTCGTCAGCCTGTTTGCTGCCTTCGAGCGTCGCCCTCGCCCTCGCTCTCTCCTTTGCACGCACTGCTCGTCCTAGACACTCGTTGCAGCGGGGCTGACATGACTGCGGCCGTGCCTGGAGCCTGATCTCTGCCCACTTCGGCCCTAACAGCAGACCCCCCCATACGCAACGCGGTTTGCGATCGACACGCTGCCTTGCCGCCAAGCAACGACATCATCTGGGAAGCCCTCCTCACCACCAACCTCTGTCGCCCACGCTGCGCCCACGATTGCAGCATCCCGCACTACTGCTCATGCGCTCCTCTTGTCGATCGCGACTGCCATCACACTGCGGCCGCGTGTCCTGAGGCGTCCCCAAGGCGAGGGCCACCACCGCCCAGGTCCCCCAGTCTCCATGTCCTTGTGACGTCCGCTATCGCCCACCAGACTGCCTCACCACCCTCCACCCGCCAGCGTTCGCGATAACAGCCCGACCCCTGTCTGCACAGACGCCAAAACTGCTCTTGGGCATCCACGGCCCGCCCGACCACGAGCCCGGCGCGATCCGCCTCTCCGTCCGCCACCACCATTTCTCCCGCCATCTTTGCTCGCCATGGGCAACTCGCAGGGCAAAGAGTCGCACTCAGACAGGAGAGGCCACGGCCGCCGCTCTAGCGCACACCACATCCACTCTCCCACCACAGGCGGTCCCGGCCACGACCGACCGGGCAACAATCCCTATGGCAACTCGAGAAGCCACAGAGGCAGCCGGCCAGACCTGTCTATCCTGGGCTTCCGTTCAGGAGACCAGGCCGAGCGAGATCCTGCACTTGAGCCGCGGCGCGAGACAAAGGCCGAGAGAGAGGCCCGCAAGCTCGAAAGAGAACGCATCCTTCGGGCGCAGGAGCGAGAGAGAAGTCTAAAGGAAGAGGGCGTAGATGGAGGCTATTTGGTCACGCTCGGCGTCTACACTGGACCTGAGGATTTTAGCAAGCCCATGGTACGGCAGTTGCAGGTAAAATATCCCTGAAGCCCGCTCTGAAGCAACTACTTACGCATTCTAGATTGAGCGCCGACTGGCTCCCTTCTGGAGAGGTCTCGATGATCATCAAGACACTTGGACTGAGCATCAACTCGTCGAGGTTGTAAATGGCCGTCCACTGCCTGCTGCCGACGCTATCCCCGTTGAAGAGCTGCCTCGCCCGAACAACAACCTCAGCCCAGCGTGGAACCCCCGCAGCTCTGAGCCTAACCTGAACAAACTCACTGTGCCCATGGGCTCTCGATCCATGTCTCAGGAGCCAGAGCGGGCGGGCAGCTTGTCACCTTCGCACCCAACCTTCTCCCTGCCTTCGCCTACATCCCCAATCTCGAACAATTCCTCCTCGTCGCCCTTCTTCCGTGGGCGCGCCAAAACCCTCGCTTCTCTCGCAACCGGCTCCCGCAACGCTTCGCAAGCAGACATGGCACCCCGGGAAATACAGTTGCCCAAAGACCCATATGTGAACGGGCAGCGGGTCGAGGCTTTCCTGTATAAGAACGCCTCCGAGTGCCCCATCTGCTTCATGTATTACCCGCCTCATCTGAACAGGACACGGTGCTGCGACCAGCCTATTTGCTCAGAGTGCTTTGTCCAAATCAAGCGCCCTGATCCGCATCCACCAGAGCACCACGGAGAGCCTGGAGCTGAAAACCCGCCAGCTGAGTCAGATGAGGAGATTCAATTGGTGTCAGAGCCTGCTGCGTGCCCATACTGCACACGGACTGAGTTTGGAGTCACATATGAGCCACCACCTTTCAGAAGAGGACTGGCCTACAACGGGCAAGGCCCAAGTAACCTGGATAGCGGAGCACCTGCAATGTCATCCACGTCGTCTTTGAACTCACCAACCACACCCGGATCAGGGCGAAGAAGGGCCACATCGCTTGCAGTCACTGATAAGACGGTAGTCACAACAGACATGGTGCGGCCCGACTGGGCAAAGAAGCTTGCCGATGCAAAGGCCCATGCTCTACGAAGAGCTGCAGCAGCCACGGCTCTGCACAATGCTGCGTATATGATGGGCAACCTGCCACAAGGGGAGAGCCGGTTTGGTCTCGGCAGACGAAGGCGATTGTTTACCGGCGATAGTGGTGGTAGCAGTGGAAATGGAACACCTCGACGCGAAGGGGAAAGTTCCTCAGGCCAACCAGGGGCATCGAGCGATATGCTTCCAAATCGGATCAGTTCGAGGAGAGGCAACAGACTCGATGATCTGGAAGAACTCATGATGATGGAAGCTATTCGTCTTAGCTTAGTAGCCGAGGAAGAACGCAAGAAGAAAGACGAAAAAGATGCGGCTAAAGAAGCCAAGAAAGAGGAAAAGAAGAAGGCCAAGGAGAACAAGAAGGTCGCAAAAGCTCAGCGCAACATTGGCAGCGGCTTCCACCCCATAATCATTGATGGGAATGACGATGCGGAAGCCAGTAGCTCGGCTGCGGCAGGCAAAGGCAAAGGAATCGACCGATCTGGCGGTGCTGCAGGTTTTGGCCCCATGTCAGAACCGACGTCGACTCCCAGTACTGCCACTACAAAGGATGACCCTCAAGGGCATCTTGAAGCCAGTCGTGCGCAAATCCAGCGAGAGACATCCGACTCCACCAATTCTGCAACATTGGACCCGAACAGCAACGAGCACCGCGCTATGCTTCGCAATCTATCAAATGCCTCTTCATCCGCGTCATCATTCTCCGAATCTTTCCACAACTCTTTCAGGCAAGAGAGCCAGCATAATTTGGCACCTGGTTCATCCTCCGAGCCCAGTTTGAATGCCTCAGGCGCGTATTTGGGCCAGAGCGAAACCCCTCCACACGAATCCAACAGTACAGAGCCCATGTTCAATTTCCAGAGGCTCACAGAAGCCATCTCTCCTGAAGAAAAAAAGAACGACAACAAACCTCAGTTTATTGAGGATGTCGGTGAGAAAAAGGCCAAGTCGGGACTAGACGCCAACACTTCCAAAGATTCGGGCGACGCTGCCAAAGTGTTGGATTCACTGACCGAGAGCACGGCGACGCTCAAGCCAAATGATAATGTGTCGAAATCGCCTGGTGCCCACGAGAATCACAGCGACGAGATCAGACCAGCGCCTCCTGTTCAGCTCGTTTCCGGGGAGCACTCTCACTTTGACCAAAAGCATATCGGGGAAGTCAGCATGGCACATCAGGTCAGTCACCATGCCACCCAGTAGTGTTCGCATTTCAAATCCAACGTTATTTCCTATCATTTCACATCACTCCCATGGCTTGCATTCCCATCGGTATCTATACGGCGCGGCGGAGTCGTGGTGCTCTCCCATTAGCAACAATCACTATGGTTTCCTTGAGTGGAGTTACATTCGCACAACATGTATGGATATGGATCAATGCATCTTGGATGAAATTGTTATCGACATTGAACAAGGGCAAGCTGAGGCGACGTGGACCCACGACGTGAGAAGCACAGATGTCTGTCAGCAGAGCAAGCGGAGTGTCTCGGTCGACCGTTTTGTATTGGTTCACTAGGCATCATTCATTTGTACAAGATAGCAACAGTCCATGTAGGTTGAAATAGCATTCAATTACCTCTCATGAATGGTTGAAATATTGTTTGGCATCTCTATCGTGCACAAAGCACCGATTCCTTGGCAGGCATCCTGCAACGGGATGATGACCATCTCGATGCCAGGAAAATAGTTATAGCGACACCAGGATACAGCATCTCACGTAATGGCAACAACGCCTGTAACCGTGCCAGCGTCTTGCACAGCCAAAGGAGTGCCGCACGTACTCTCGGTTCTTTCACTCGATCTTACGCATCTGCACCACAGATACTATATAGATTGGTTAGCAACAGCTGCGTATTGGTGTTTGTAGGAGACGCACCTCGTTTTGGCGAGCCTCGAGTACATCGGCTGGTAGAGCGGTTGCTGTACCAGCAACAAAAGCCAAAGCAGCGGCTGAGCTTAGCTTCATGGTTTGGATGGGGTGACTTGGTAAGGCGGATGGAGTGTTTTGTGGGTAGGTGAACAAGCACGGAGGTAGTAGATGTTGAGCGTCAAAGGAGCAAGAGTAAGCATTTATATTCATTCAGATGTTTTAGCAAAAGATCCTCCGCCGCTGAGTTAAGCCGACGAGCGCTGTGCTCGATGCTCGAATGTGAGTGATATTCGACGACTTATTCCTGACAAGGTTACACTCGCCGAACAACTTGTGGTTGTACGAACAACTGTCCCACACACAACGGTCCTTCTTTGCTTGGAGCCTTGTTGTAGCGGGTCAGCCTCGCGACTCGGTTTAATGCTCGGGCCGGTTTCTTCACCTTGGATATGTGTTTCTTCTTCACCAGATAATCGCTCTCCTCAATTATCAGGGCTCGGCCTTGTCGGACGGTGCTTCTTTATAACGTGGTTCAATCTGCGTTGCGTAATATCTCGTAATCGTCGTAACCGTGTCGTTGGTATCATGTAGTGTCGTGTTCATTTCTTCGTGCCATGGGCTCCTCGATGATGCGCTCACTCAGTACATCAAAGCCTTGATTTCATTGTAGCTGAGCAGCGCATTGGACTGTCGTGTGAAATAGATGGATACTAGATCCATTGTTGTACGGATGACGGCATGGGGCTTGCCTGGATGCAACAGGTCCAGCAGGGTAAGAGACCAGCAGGCGATTTGCACAATGAGGAGAAAGGCGATGCAGATGCGGAAGGAAGATTCTTTGCCCATGGTGGAGGCTGTTTCGCAGCGGACTGGATTTGCGGGGAGACTTGTTTTCTTTTGTGGGGGGTTGGTAGCGGGCTGATGATTCGTTGTTCAAGGGCCGGCGTTGGTTCGCAGGATGGCTTGTGTGTCTTGCCTGTATTTTTGGTAGGAAGTTGAGCGAGGAAGCAAGCAGATAGGTGGGCAACGTGAACGGGGATATACGCTGAAGATAGCAAAATGTTAAATGGCGTGTGCGTGCATGTGTTGGGAACTTAGTATTGCGCGTACCGACAGGTATAAGTTATGCGTGCACAAGAAGGTGAGCAGGAAAGCAAAGGTAAAACGGGCGACGCTGGTCCTTTTTTGAAAGCTAAGTTTGGTCAATACGGAGGGGTAAGTGTCGGTGAGAATCCAGGTCTGCTGGCAGAATGCAGCGTGCTAATCCCAATTGCTCTTCCGCCTAGGAGTAGAAGAGTCCAACGGCTGGGGGCAGCGAAAACAGGGAAACAAGAAAAGACGAAGAAGAAGAAAGAAAAGGGTGGTATTTGAGGCAGCTCGTCGTCGCGCTGCCAGTTCCGTCAGCGGCGTCATTGTCGCAGTCACCTGGCAGAAGGGAAGCAGAGCCCTTCGACCACGCCGTGATGTAGCATGCGGGGGGCCGTAGGGCGGCAAAATCGTGTGATGAATGTCGGTGTGTTGCGAGATGTTCGGCTGTGAGTAGCTTGGTCTGTTTCTTGGAACTGCATTACCCACCTGCACTAACCCCGTCTGGGCTTGGATCAGCTCGCCCGCGTGAGCTTGGACCCACAACTGCCAGCGAGGCTACGCATGCATGTCCCGCCCGCTCCTGAGGGAGATGCTTTTCCTGCAGGGAAATACTGTATGCTTTTTGTTTTCTTGAGAGTACCGGAAATATCATATACTCTAGAGAGCTCGATGTTGGTGAGTTGCAATATTGCGGTAGTGGGGGGGGATTGCGCGGTCATTTCCCGGAGATGCGTCGCTACTTCCGCACGGGCAATCGCAATCCCCTCATGGCGGCGTGTCAGATGCCACTCGCGGCGGCAGCTACGCGTGACCAAGATCGACCTGACCAGGACGACCCGCCCTACGCGGGCTTAGAGGTTACCAAGCTCCTCCGTCTGCTCCTCCGCTTCATGTGGCAGACTCAATGGGCAATCTCGAGGTTACCACCATGTTCCCTGGACGCAGCAACACGGGTAGGACACGGATTGCTTGCATGGACCATGGAAAAGCGCGGATTGCTTTGTATCCCGCCCTGCAATACACTGCAACACGCTACAAACCTCTATTTTTGGGACATTGGAGCCAAGGTAGCTAAAAGCTAGGATGGAAGTGCTAAAGACAGACTGAAGGAGAACTAGGGTAACATGATACTGTCACTGTGGAGCTGACGAGTTTTCCAGGCATACTCTGTGCCTAGCACGTGGCAGAATGCACATGTTGTTACCCTGCGATGATGCGAACTATTCTCTCCGCAATGAGTGGGCGCTATGGCACAGGAATCATACCACGTGTCAGGTTCGGATAGATTCTGCATGTGGATTACGGGATGGAAGTCATGTCACGTGCTGACTGCGATTGCAGGCATGATTGCACGTGACGAGCGAGAAGCGACAGGGATCCTTGCGCCATGCATCATCAGGCTGACTTCTTCGCACATCATTCTTCAACATCACGCCTTTCTCCGTTAGATGTCAGCCACCGGGTAGCTATCAGGGCTAGAAAAGGCCTATTTCGCCATGTATCTGGTGCCTGCACAGAGGGATGACTGGTAGTATCACAGCTGTAGGAGGCCTTTACGACACTCGAGATGAAATTCGACACATTGCATCCCATTTGGTGTGAATCATGTCGGGGCTCAAAGATGATGCATTCGGTTGCATTTCCTTTAGGCTAATGTATTTAGAACAGCAAGTACTACTGAGCGTGTGGCCTTTGTTACATCATGCAGCGTCTTACTCCTACGTTGAAAGTAATAGACACCAGCATGTTTTCGGCACTCAAAAGAGCCTGAATGCAAGGATACCATCAAATTCGAACACAGATACGGCTTCGGCGCGGTATCCGGGCGAAAACCCACCATTCTTCCAATGGTTGCTTGTAGGTTGTTCCCTCACGTGTAGTGCAGCTTGTGCTAGACTTTGTATCAGAGGACACAGTTATATGGCCAGCAGCTCGACCTTCAGTTCTTACGGCCAGGTGAGATGGAATATGCATATACTAGTCGAAATATTGAACGGCCGTATTGCTAGGAAGGTAGAGATGTGGGGTTGAGCATCGTGTGCCGTGACACCCATGGCATTTTGCGGGAACAGCTAGATGTAGTATGTGGAGAAGTGAGCAGTACCCAAATGGGCCGTGAGATCTGCGAATGGCGCAAGTGATGCTTACCCCACGGTGCCAGCTTCTGACATCACCGTGTAGATAGCGGGGGGCGATCGTGGTGCCCGGGATCGTTTGTGAAGACGTGAGAGGGCGCGAGCGGCAACGATGGCGACATGCATCCCGGTTGGTGGATACTCTAAGCGGGCGATCGACATATCTTTGCCTCGGGATCTGCAGAGCTAAGGGTAGGGCAAGCAGCACCACTTGATGCTTCCAGCATGCCTTGGACGTACCGTCTGTATTGCCGCTGTCAGCAGGGTACAAAGAGAAGAGGCGGTTCTCGCGGGATACCTACGCGCCACATGGCTGCAGCCAGTCAACGGCAGAGTGTACCTGCAGGCGCCACGGTGTGGCTGAAACAAGCACGCGATGCGCCTTAATAGGGGGCGATTACGTGGACTGCCCTCGATTCGGGGGCGCTCCACTCGGGAATACACGAGCCTGTGGGACAAGATGGTGGATTGCGCAGCGGACTCCTGGTGGCGAAATGGCTGTTGGCGCAGGTTTTTTTGCCAAAAGCGTGTGGGCCGTCTCTTGTTGAGTCGGCATATCCCCTACCACCGCAGAGCACCCGTCAGCGCGCATTGCGCCGTATGATGGTGCCCCAATCAAGCCAGGCTGTTAATTTACTCTGCTCCGAGGTTCAAGCCGACTATGTCATGGCGTGGGTCGATTTAGGAGCATCTGTACAGGTGGCACGGCGGTATCTGAATCGGTGTGCATGATGCTGGTGAGAGGTGGGTGCGGGCATGGGCGTCGGGAATCGACATTTCGACATGTTGGGACTGAGGCTTATCGATAGGCGGTCTCGCCGGCGCTCCTTCCACTGCTGCTTGGACCCGATCAACACCGGGGTGGGCGATCCTTCGGTTCGCAGTCGTAGTCGCATGTGCATGTGGCACCACCGAGGGGTCGCCAACACTCGTTTATCCTTTTTCTGGACAACGTCTAACACCCGTCTCCTTTGGAACAGCAGCCTCAATGTTTGCCGGCTGCTGCAATGAAACCCCCGGCCAACGGTTTGATGGGCAGCAGGCGTTGGCGATGGGCCTTGCCTGTGATTCGCCGTGGCGGGTGCTAGCGGGGTTTCACATCCCTGCCTGTGGCTTTGCCGCTAGCCATCCCTGCGTGTCTGGTGTCGGCCTAAGGTCTCGACGCCATCAGTGGCTCCTGCCTCTCTTTACTTGCTCTTTCCCCTTCTCCGCTGTGCTTTGCAGAGCTTTTCCACTCGTTCCTATTTCCTTTTTTCCTTACCTCTCGAGACCCTGACGGCAGGCCATCACTCAATTGCTGTCTCTGACGCTCTCCATCACTCGCTTCACAGTCCGCATAGTGAAGGTGCTTGACGCATATTCACCCGCGAGACGTCCCTGCCGACCCAGGCCACAAAAGCTTTTTCCTACTTACGACCACGCCAGCACCTTGCGGCGGACGAGTTGCTCCCACGAATTCCTCCTAGACTCTCTACATGTCTAAGCGATCTTCCCGGAGGTCCTTCCGACTCTCGCACCAGGGCTTCCAACCTATAAACAACGCCACCATGGAAAACCGCACGACGGACATACCCCTCGAGACTGTCATCAGTCACACGCCTTCGCAGTCGCCCTCCGCGGCCCATAATGAAAAGGGCGACCGAAGCCACATGTTCATGCGGGGACGCAGGAAGCAGGTTGCCATAGACGAGAGGACGGGCGCGCCTCTGCCGCCATCACGCTCTGATACAGACAAGACGGCGCTCAACCGCATGGGCAGGATCTACACCAAGATTCTAAACTACAGCATTGTCACGCGCTACATGATCTACGTCGCTCCCATTGCTCTTATACTGGCTATTCCTATTATTCTCTCACAAACCGGCACCATCACTGGCTCGATTGGCGGAACAAACCAGAAGAAGTTCTGGATCTGGATCGAGATTATCTGGCTGAGTTTCTGGGTCATGAAGATTGTGGCCCACTTTATTCCCAATGTCTTTGAGTTCTTGGTTGGTGTCGTCAGTCCTGGCGTCAAAAAGTACGTGCAGCTGCTGAGGGCCGTCGAAAAGTCGCTGTCGTTTGTGTTGTGGATGGTTGTGAACCAGGCCACATTTCCTGCTGTAAGTGATCCACAGTCAGTGCCGTGAATGTGCTAATTGTGTATAGCTTGTTCGACCACTGCCTGACAGGGTTGGTGACAAGTACCCCGACTGGATCAACACGATGCAATCGGTTCTGCTCGCGCTCCTCGTCTGCACCATCATCATCCTCGCCGAGCGCGTCCTGATCCAACTCATCAGTATCAGCTACCACCGCAAGCAGTTTGATGACAAGATCAAGGAGTCAAAGCGCAACATCTACCTTCTCGGTATTCTCTACGACACTTCGCGAAACCTGTTTCCCGCCTACTGCAACGAGTTTTCCGAGGAAGACTACATTATCCAGGACACTATTCTCGATCTTGGCTTTGGCAGCAAAAAGGGGTCATCCAAGCATGGTCGCTCTGGCAGCCGCACGCCCCTGCGCCTTATCCAGGAAGTCGGCCGTGATGCTGGTCGCATTGGTGATAAGATCACATCGGTTTTTGGCACAATTGCTTCTGAAATCACTGGCAAGAAGGTGTTTGACCCCAACTCTGCCCACTCGGTTGTCATCACTGCCTTGGAGAGGAACAGGAGTGCCGAGGCTCTCGCCAGGCGCATCTGGATGTCCATGGTTGTCGAAGGCAAGAACGCGCTCTACATGGAAGACCTTGTTGAAGTAATGGGAGCTGGCCGTCAAGAAGAAGCCGAGGAATGCTTCAGTGCCATTGACCGAGACGGCAACGGCGACATTAGTCTGGAGGAGATGATCCTGACCGTGACCGACTTCGCCAGGCAGCGCAAGTCGATCAACTCGAGCATGCACGATGTGGACCAGGCCATCAACGCCCTGGACGGCCTCATCATGACCATTGCCCTCATCATTTGTCTCTTTGTCTTCGTCGCCTTCCTTGCCCCGGCTTTCCGGGCCACTCTGACTACATCGGCGACTGCTCTTCTCTCGCTGTCCTTTGTGTTCGCGACGACCGCCCAGGAAGTCCTTGGTTCCTGCATCTTCCTCTTTGTCAAGCACCCATACGATATCGGCGACCGTGTAGATATTACCAAAGAGGAGCTGACTGTCGAACACATCCAGCTGCTCTACACCGTCTTCAAGCGCGTCGCCAACGGCAAGACTGTGCAGATTCCCAACATTGTGCTGAACGCGCTGTGGGTTGAGAACATCACCAGAAGTAAGGCTATGCGGGAACAGGTCTCTGTCTACTGCGACTTTGGTACATCTTTCGAGGACATCAATCTGCTCAAGCTGGAGATGCTCAACTTTGTTCGCGAGCCTGCCAACGCCCGCGAGTTCTATCCTGATATCGACATTGAGGTTGTCAGCATTGCGGAGATGAACAAGCTGGAGCTTCTGGTGGAAATCCGACACAAGAGCAACTGGTCTAACGAAGCTCTTCGTGCTGCCCGCCGATCCAAGTTCATGTGCGCCTTGGTGGTTGCTCTGCGCAAGGTTCCTATCAATGGCCCAGGTGGCGGAGATGCTACTCTTGGCTCGCAAGACAAGCCCACTTGGTCTGTCGCAGTCCCGCCAGAGGAGGCCATTGCTGCATACAAAAAGTACAAGGAGGCCGCTGATGCAAGCCGCCTGCAGCCAGCCAACCAGCCCAAGAAAGATGGCAGCGGTGCATCCACTGGAGTCGACTACTTGGGTGCTGAAGACCATGCCATTTCTTCACTTAACAACCGCAGGCCGGGCCACGATCCAGTCCGCGATGATACTTGGGAAGCGCGCGGCGACGACGCTAGTACGATTGGTCGCCGCAGCACAGATCAGAGGCCAGACCTTGACGAAGTCCGCGGTTTGCTGCGCAAGGCGAGCTCTGTAGGCAAGCGCAAGGGCGGGGCATCGTTGTCGCCATACGGCATCCGCCCGTCCATCGACACCGGCCGCCAGAACCCCCCACCGCCGCTACCACTGCAGGTAGTGCCATCGGCTAGCCAGACATCATTCGTGTCCCAGTCATCGGGGCTGGCGGCAGCGCCTTCTCGCGTTACTGGGCCCGCTTCGCCTAACTCTATTTCTACAGGCCATGTAGAGGAGTTTACGTACCAGACCATTGTGCCCCCGCCCCGCTCGCAAAGCCGACCCCGCGGACCGCACACGGAGGAGGACGATGGTGAGGGCGAGAGGCGATGGGAAGTCAACTCGAACAATCCATTCAAGGGCTACTCGTCACCGGGATCTCAGACACCGAAGCGCGACTAGCGGCTTAGCTGGGAGCCGACGGGGGCAAGTTCTCTTTGTTGAACAAAAAGGTGACCAATCTAGGAGTGATTGACGTCGCATGTGCATTTTTCTTCTCATGTAATGTATAGCAAATTGGGGCAAATAGTTTGGCAGGGGAGTGCCTGGGTGACATCCGTCTCTCCTGTTGGCGTTTTTTAGTTTTGTTTTTGCATGTAGATATTCGTATTTGTCAAGGCCTCAGACATGAGCTAGGAAACCCAGTCGATTACCACCTATTTACAGGAGAAGTATAATTTGACGTTTGTTTCGGCCCGTAGTCGGCTCTTTGATGTAGCAGTCTTACAGTATCTGCACGTGATGGGAGTAAGCTATGGCTCGCAACACGTGCTCGTGATTACCCGGAGTTCCTGGAATACGACTTGGCAGCTGGCGGGCCGGAAAAATAGGCCAGAGGGAAAAGGAGAGGGTAATCTCCTCCCTGCACGTACCCATGCTGTTATGGTTCCAAAGAAGAAAAAGAGGGAAGGGCAACGGAAAGAAGTAATCCCGTGGCGAGGATCCCTTTTTCTTTTCTTTTGGACCGGAGCAGGCGCGCGCGCACACACACACACAGGGGTGAGTTCTGGATTACGATCTGCAGTCATTAGGTTTCTGATCTACAACTGAAAAAGGTTGAGTGTACGGTAAGCCAGACTAGCGGAGTGCCGCCGTCCGAGAAGGGAAAAGGAACAGAGGGAAAAAGGGTGGCGACCCACGTGGTTGGGACTGTACTGGGGTGTGGGGATTGATGTACACGGCCTAGTGTCATTTTGTTTTGTTTATTTGCAAAGGGACGGCGGGCTGGGCTCGTGAATGTGCGCCCGCCGTATCTCGGCCAAACTCACACGTGCGAGATAGGAGGGAAGCTGGCGACCAGGTCGAGTCATTGGCCTGGCCTTCTCGAAGACCGACTAACGAGGCCTGCACTGGCGTTCTTGTGTGAGTGTGTGAGCGCGTGCTTCCTTGTCAATAACAGAGCCCCATTTTGCAGATCCGGAAAGCCTGGAAAGGCCACGCTGATTTGCGATTAATTATCATGGGCCACTCAGGGTGCTTATTCGACTCTTGTCCAGAATGTCCATATGCACTCGACAAGGCCCGAATACCGTCTGGTCCCGGCGGGGTAGATCTTTCTCAAACGTGGATGGTGGGTTGCATCCATCAAATATCGACATGTCAATCGATGCATTTTTTGGACTTTGGTCGCGTGTCCGAGAGCCCAAAGGACAAGCGTAGGTGAGAACCAAGAGGATCAGCGTTGTGACGATCTTATGAGAAAAATGATGCCGCTTATTACAGCCTGCAGGCAGGCATTATTCTTGACATTACAGGGTGCTGGGTTGGTATCCAGCCTATGCCGATAATTCAAACTGCAAATGCTCGTGGATCTTGCGCTGAGGACAAAGGGGCTGTGAACAGGAATGACAAAAGATGATCTAGAGAATTACATATGCTGCGCCGATAAATGAATCCCTGTCGTATAGCTCTCGCAGAGGCTTCCGGTAGTCCGTCATGACACCACTCGGTTGATGGCCAGTGGTTTCCCAGCACTGTCGACTCTGTTTCCGAGTTCCATGTACATATCCCATAGAAATTTTGTGCTCATGGCGGTCTTGCCTTGCATTTGCATGTCTCCAGCTGAATCCATGGGAAATCCGATTTTGAGGTCAATGTACGGTGGTATTGCTGCTAAGAGTTCCCGAAAAAAGGCTTTGTGTACAAAAGGGGTTGTGGTCCAGTCCATCAGCTCCGGATAGGCCCATTCGTAATAGCGTGTATGTAGAGTCGGGACGATACGTAGAAACTGCAGAGACGAAAAGGCAGAGAAAAAGGATGCCCAGTCGACGTAGCGGTTCATGCGTATTGCGTCTTTGAGTTGAACCTCGACCTGAAGTCGTTTGATACGGGAGAGGTCCCAGCCCGGGGGAATTTCGAATGTTGGTGCAGGGAGCTTGTCGAGCGAAATGGCAAACCAGTTCTTGGAGTACATGCAGTCTGTCGCTTCATCGGCCAGTCTCTGCGAGGTTCGAAGGAGGTCCACGTGTAGAATAGGATCGGGATGAGTTGCCTGTGGACATGTTGGGCGCTTTCCATCTGAAAGTCGTTGTTGGTTGAGGCGCTCCCGCGTTTTTCGTGCGGCCAGGCGTTTCTTGCGGTTCCTCAGGATTGTTGTTGCGTCGAGAATGGGGGGCGAATGTGGTGTTTGGCGGACTACGAGGTACGAGTATACCTCGTCTCTGATTTCCTGAGGCAGCTCGAGGAAGCGGAACGGACCGTTGTGGTTAATGCTGGGCGATCCGTGTGTTTTGGAGGCATGAAGCTGTCGGTGGGACGTTGTCGACTTTGCTCGTGGCGTGCATGAACTCCTCTCAGTGGGCTCCGATTTGATAGTGGGCTTTGCGCTAGCAGGTTTGGAGTCGTGTGCCCCCTTGACGGTGAGGAGGATTGGTAGTAGCTCCTCGAGCTTTGAGCTTCCTCGTTGACGTCTTCGCAATGCCATAATGATCCAATTGCATGAACAATCTGCGTCCATCAGCCGCATGTTGGCGAGAAGTTTTCTTTATGAGGAATGCAGAGAGGGAAATTGGCCTCATCTTACCTCTTCTCAATTAGGCCAGCGCTTGAGACCCAAATGACTGACGGCAATGAACACGTGCTAGCGAGTGCGCATGGCACGAGAGACCGAGATAAGAAGCGCGCAGGCACGTTGCAGATGGGGAGGGGGGGGGGTGTGGAGGTCGAGGTGGAGGGGAAATTGAGGGAGGGCTTCCATATGCAGCATGGGGCAGATCGCCAGTGCTCTCCCCCTGCAGCCAATCCATGCCCCCCAAGCCCGCATGCAGCCAGCCGCTCTGCCGGCTCGGGCTATGACGCTGTCACCGAGCCTTGCTGCCAGTCTTGTCCCAGACATGCCACTCTGACAGCAGGCAGCACGGTGCTGCAATGGATACGCACGCATGCAAAACAAAACAAACACCACACACCAGAGCCGCCGCATCCTCGTCGGCGGGGGGTGCGCAGCCAGCAACCCAGCATAGCCCGACCAGTCCGCCTGCCCACAGACGCAGCGAGCCTGGGGAGAGTATACTCGGCTCAACGAGAGCGTCATCATCCATGGCGAGTGTGTTCCGCCAGAGCCAGGGTGGCCGCCAGAGAAAGGGCTCGCTGAGAAAGGCGGCCATGGCCAAGATGCGCGAAAGAAGCAGCTCTCTACGCAAAGCCGCCAGACCGCCCGTTGCTGCTGCTGCTGCGACTCCGACGACGGCAGACGCGCCTGCCACTACCAATCCAGGACGCTTCCACTATGACAAGGCGCTGCTCAACTCGCCTTCCGACAGCGGCTGGGTGCCTGTCATCAACCTCCCTCCCTCATCGACCGCCCCTCCTCCGTCACCGCCGCCTGTACTGCTCGAGTCGCCCATCATGGCCAGCACCCTCGCACCCTACGCCTCCACCACAACCGATGACGACGATGTCATGTCCTTCTACCGGCCGTCAGCAGCCAGCAGCGACTACTCGTCGTTTGCCGCACCCAGCCAGGGTCCCGTCACCTCTCTCGCACACCGCCGCTCGACGCGCAGCAACCGCCGCACCTCGATTACGGCCCTCGTGACACCTGCCGAGATTGACTCGGACGACGAGTGGGATTACAGTGAGACCGAATGGTGGGGCTGGGTCGTGCTTATAGCCACCTGGATTGTCTTTGTTGTGGGAATGGGCTCTTGCCTCGGCGTTTGGAGCTGGGCGTGGGACGTGGGCGAGACACCATATGCACCACCAGACCTCGAAGACGACGCAACCTTGCCAATCACCGGATACTATCCTGCATTAATTGTCTGCACCGCTGTCACCAGCTGGGTGTGGGTCGTGGTCGCCTGGGTGGGAATGAAGTACTTCCGCCATGCCAAAGTGGGCGTAGATGGATAGCCAGCCAGAGTAGACTCGCAAACCCACGATTATTGTCTACACTTTGCATGAACATACCCAGACCGCCGGGACCGCCTTTCTCTATTCTGGGCTCTTCGCTTAACCGTTCTGCTGCACGCTTAATCTGTTCTTTGGGGCTGAAACACTAATCTATAGCGCCGCTGTTAAGACGCCTCTCGCAGAACTCGCCTTCTCTTAGCTCGGGACGCTCCTCGACGGCAATACTCTTATTTTCTTATACTATTGGAACTCTTAGTCGCCCGCATCGGCATAGCTTGCTGTCCAAGTGTAGCAAAGGCGCAAAGTCAAGAAGGCAATAAAAGAACCGCCGTTATGCCGCCCTTTTTTTCTTGCGTCACCCACCGCGATTCAGTGGCTCCAAACTCAATTTCCGCGCCTGAGCCCCCCCCCCCCACTTGCGTGCTTGACCCCGTAACTCGGGACAAAGGCCCTACTGAACATGGTGCGAACACCTCCAAGACATTACATCAGCCTGCAACCTCCGATCCTTCTGTGCTGGGGCAAGCCAGTACCCATGGACTCGAGAATGCCACCGCCTGCTCCACCACGCACCCCTACGCCGCCTCCTGATGAGGAGGAGCCGCAGGCGGTTGGCCTAGGATTCGAGCACCATCTATCATCTCACGGAATGACGGCCCACAGCAACGGGCTGCTGTCGCCCATGTCTGCCACGTTTCCCTCGAAGCAGTATGCCACGCTCGCGCCCAGCGACTCGGTCTCGCAGAGGGCCTCGCCCGCCACGCTGTATACGCCCGCCAGCGCGACGTTCCCCTACACGCCAGCGACCATGGACACGGACGGCCCTTCGTTGAGCGGGTCTGAGAACCCCAATCCGTTCAACTTCCAGTCGGTGACGTATCAGCCAGGGCGACCCCAGGCCAAAAGCAACGTGCGTCTTGCACCTCCGCCCCCAAAGCTTAAACTGACATTGACAGGACGTCGGACGCAGACGAGGACACAAGTACAAGCACAGCAGTGTATCGCACCAGATCTTTCTAGAACCCGCCCCCCGCGCGCCGCTCCAACTGCCCGCCTCGCTGCCCATTCCCACGTTCAAAGAGTACCGTTCATCCATGTCCAAGGACCAGAAGCTACGGCTAGCATGGTGCTTCTGCCACTTGGTGGTCGCCGGTCTGGTGCAATGGGGCGCACACGAGTCGCTGGCGCTGACGGTGCTGTCCCGTCTGCTCTTCTACGATGCGCTGGGCGCATTTCTGTGCGTGGCTGTAGACGTGGGGGCAAACTTTGAGGTTTGGAAGCGGTCGAGCATCCGCCATCCGTTTGGATTTGAGCGTCTCGAAGTCATTGCAGGGCTCGGCATGTCGGTGGGGTTGCTGTTCATGGGGCTAGATCTGATATCTCACGGACTGACGCACGCGCTCGAAAACACGGGCGGGCACCATGCGCACCATGGCGATGCGCACGAGCGGGTGTCTCCCGGGAGCATTGACTTGGCTGCGCTGAGCGGCATTGTGTCGACGCTGGTGTCGGCAATGGTGCTCAAGAACCACGCGCGCATCGGCAAGGTGATGCGGATGGGGGCCATTGCCAACCTGCCGTCGGTGCTCAGCAACCCGTCGCACTTTCTGACGCTGTCGTGCTCGGCGCTGCTGCTGATTCTGCCGCTGCTGAGCATCCGCATGTACGTGTGGCTCGACAGGAGCGTTTCCTTCTCGGTTGCGTTTGCCATGGTGGCACTAGGGTGGATACAGGGGTGGACGCTGGGCAAGATGCTGCTCATGTCGTACTCGGGGCCCGGGGTGGCGGACGTGATCCGCGACGTGGAGACTGATGCGGCGGTCGGGAGGGTTGAGGAGGCCAAGTTCTGGCAGGTTCACTACGGGCTGTGCCAGGCGAATCTCAAGGTGCGGGTGCGGAATCTGGAGGAAATTGGGCGTCTCCGGGATCGCATCGGCAGCATGGTGCGAAACCGGTTGGGCGGCGGATACGGCAGCGGCGGGGGGCAGAAGTGGGAGGTGTCGACGCAAATTGTGCTGGAGCAGGATTAAGGGCGCTGGGCGGCAGGGCAGCACGAGGCAGGTGTGGGTGTAGGTGTACCCACCGTGCCTTCCTACACCACCCGACGTGCCTTCCTGCGCTGCCCTACGTGCCTTCCTACACTGCACTGCACTACGCTACCCTAACCTACTACCCTACACAGCCCTACATACATAGGGTTGTGCGAATCAATGCCCACAGCCCCTGTGGCGAGTCATATCGGTCGTTCGGCGAGGGCTGCCCAAAGCACAAGCACAAGCACAAGCGTGGCGCCGATGGGGCGGAGCGAACGGCTGTGCAAGTCTGCAGGGCAGCAGCAGCGCTTTTTTTTCCCTTTGCTTTCTTGCTCGTGCGCGCGCTGGGTTGGGCTGCGCGAGGGGGGCGGCGGCGGCGGCAGCGGGGGCCGTTTAGCAGCAGCAGTAGCATGGCAGTAGCAGCAGCAGGCAGCGAGACGGGGCGTGCAATGGGCGATGGGCGTGGGCTGGGCTCGGGCTGGGCAGGGCGTGGGCTGGGGCGCGCGAGACAGGTGGCAGCCCGTCCATCGCCGCCTGACGCCCCCCCTGTCGGCACTAGCAGCCTTAGCGAAAAGCCCTGTGGGCGCTTTAGATCAACAGGCACCCAGTGCGCGCTCACCGCCGGCGGCCTGCCCCGTGCGAGTGGTCCGTCTTTCTCTAATCAGGGTTGGGCTGCCTGCAGGTGCTTGCTGTTCGCTCGTCACGCCCACCGCAACTCTCCACACACCCGTTCGCTTTTGTGCGTCGCCTGAACAGCTGCGAGACTGCCTGCCTGCCATAGCGTGCGAGAGCCGGTGACCTGCGAGGCTGGCAGTTGGCAAGTCATTACTGCCTGCAGGTCCACGCCATGGGGATGGCCAGGCTTCGCGATGAGCGAGGCGCCCGATACCGCGACCGCGACGATGAATATTCCGACGACCGAGACCGCAAGCACCGCCGCCGTCACAAGGACCACAAGCACGACGACGAGCCCTCTGCATCGACGCGCGAGCGACGGGAGCGCCGCCGCGCCGATGACGCCCGCAGACAGGCAGACGTGGACATTGAGGAATTGAGGGCGCGCCGCGAGCAGTACTTCACCCGCACAGAGGCCGAGCGGCGGCGAGACCGCGAGCGAGACCGTGAACGAGACCGCATGGCCCAGGACACCCGCCGCGACAAGGAAAAATCCAGGAGCAGCCGCGACACCGCCCGCCGCGACACCACCCGCCGCTCGTCGAAAAAGCGAACTGTCATTCCCGAGGATGAGGACTTCGTCTTTGGCCGGCCAAAGTCGATGGGCCACGTCGATGACGTCCCCGCCCGCCGCCCCTCCACCCGCAAGAGGAGCGAGGAGGGCGGATCGTCAAACAGGACTGCCTACACGCCCGTCTCAGGTTCAGGATCCGCCTCTGTCCGCAGGGCTGAGGTCCCCAATCTATCCAGGTCAGAAATCACCCCACTTGCACCCACCCATGGCTGGGCTAATGTCAAACAGAAACGCCTCTGTCCGTGAGCCAAAGGCTTCCGCACCAGCAGCACCCAGGCTATCAATCCGACGCACAGGCACCGTCAAGTCTCCTGCTCCGCCCACGCCGCTCACCAGGACCCAGTCCGTCAAGGATGCCGCCCGCCGGAGTACCGGAGGAATCTTATCCAGCCTGTTTAAGCCCGCCCTCCAACGGACAAGCTCTTCCGCCCACAAGGAACACAAAGAGCACAAGGACCACAAGGAGCACCGCGAAGTCCAGAGGTTGGTCGCTCCTGCCAGTGGCAAACTATGCCATGTATTAACTCTGTTTAGGGCCGACTGTTTGGTATGTATGAACGACGACATCCCTATCCACAAGACCGCCAAGCTTGCCTGTGGACACCGCATGTGCTACTCCTGTCTCAAGCGCCAATTCACCCTTTCGGTCAAGGATCCCCAGCACATGCCGCCCAGATGCTGCACTTCGGAGCATATTCCCCTAAAATACGCCGACCGTTTGTTCGACGACAAGTTCAAGGTGCTCTGGAACAGAAAGTTTCAGGAATACACCACCGCCAACCGCCTGTACTGCCCGACCAAAGGATGTGGCCAGTGGATCAAGCCGTCCAAGATCAAAATGGACCCCACCTACGGTCGAAAGTACGCGCGATGCAGCACATGCAACACAAAGGTGTGCGTGCTATGTAACAGTAAATTCCACACAAAACGGGAGTGCCCAAAGGACGAGGAGACGAACCGCGTGGTGGAGATGGCCAAGGAGCAGGGCTGGCAGCGATGCTACAGCTGCAAGGCCGTCGTCGAGCTGAAGGAGGGCTGCAATCACATGACCTGGTAAGTTCAGGTTGCATTCCCTGCACAATCAACATCTAACCATCCCCAGTCGCTGCACGGCCCAATTCTGCATGGTGTGTGCTGCTCCATGGAAGACCTGCAACTGCCCTTGGTTCAACTACCAGCACGTTTCCGACGAGGACCGCCTCAACGAGATGCGCGTACCCTACGCACGCTACCCCGACGTCGAAGTGATTGAGATTGCCGAGCCGTCCCCGCCACTAGCACGCCGCTCGAGTGTCCGCACACGTGAGCGCCCCGAACGAGACCGCGATTACGACCGTGCCGACCGAGTCCTATCCGGACACCTCCGCAACTCGCTTCATGTCGCCAGCCCAGCAGTATCGTCAGTAAGACGCACGGAACCCGAGGTCCAAGTCTACGGCTTGGGCAATGCTGGCGGCCACCACATGAACGAGTCTTATGCTATCCGCTCCGTGCCCACAACCTCCCGCCCCGCTACTCGTCAATCCACACCCCGGAATTCCTTTTTCTCTAGCCGCCGTGTTTCAGCTCCCACTCCCTCCCGCTCTGCCCCCCCTCAAGCTGCCCCGGTGGTAACTTCTTCAGTAATGGCTGGACTCTCAAAAGATGGAAAGAAAGTTGGTGCAAACCGCGTAGGGACATGGCTCAACCATGTCCAAATCGACCCCGAAGCTACCGCCACCGCGGCCGAAGACGTCGAGGTCGATGACTGGAGGTGCGATGGCACCATGATTGGTATTGATTAAAATTTTGTTGTATATATGGAGTTTGGGTGTTGTCTTTTCCCATGTTTTTTGGTTCTCGGTAACTGGATGTACACGTATGGTTGGTAAAGGTTGTTGTTTTTTTGGATAGCATTTAGCCGGCGAGATACCCACTTACTTCTTCGTTAATGACGCATATTCGTTCTGGATAGCTTAGTTTGTTCAAAAAATGTTACGTTTTTTTTCTTTCTCTCAACACCGACTACACCACACTCTCTCGGCCTAATCTTACTCCCACAAGAAAAAAAGATTCACTCATGCCCAACACCGGACGAACACACAGACTCCGATCCGGTCAAGCAAAAACATGGTCCCTTGCACCCTGCATCAACGCTCAAGTCTCAGCCTCAAGCCTCAAACGGCGGTCACGAGAGCAAAAAGAATAGTTCGAAGAACCTTGAGCAAGCTCAAGCACGATGTCCCCTTCGTGGATCGAACACGATACCTCCAGATTTTGTGACCAAATTGACTTCAGTCTGGCGCTCTCCCAATTGAGCTAAGGAGACGGCTTTTTATTGGTGGGTTGGGAGATTGGAACAACCATATCTTTCCGGTTCTGCTCTCGAAGGATGGGAGATCTTCAGAACAGGCTAAAACATGCAAACATCACGGTCGTTTTGCGAAATAGTGTTGTGTGGAGATGAGGTTGTATGCTAGCGCGGATAAGGCTTAGCGTACCGAGACCGCCCATCCAGGGTCCGATAGCTCGAGAGCTTCACACTCAACCTCTTCAACTGCGAACCCCGCCCAAGAGCAACAGGCTTAACCCTGTTCCTGCACAATGCAGCTCTCACCGCTTGCGAACCCGTTGGCAACCGTAGCCCAACTCGAAACGTCCGGCTCGCAACTCGATGGCATCCCACCCGATCTCGAAGACTCGATACGCTTCGCCGGCGCAAGACTTACCCAAGCAGCTGGGATACTGTTGCGGCTACCGCAAGAAGTGGTTGCGCAGGCCATTGTCATATACATGCGATTCTGGCTCGGGCCTGAAGGCGGAAGTCTTGCAGAGTTTGGTGCAGAGCAGGTCTCAGCAGCTTCGCTGTACCTCACCACCAAGCTGTCTGCATACCCCAAGTCGGCACGAAGCCTCGTCAACGTATACGCATACCTCGAATCGCTTCCCACAACCTTCTTCAGCACGGAAGATCTCCAGCAGAAGCAGGACGCGCTCGAGTTTTACGTCACCGAAGGAACCTACGAGCGCCGGCGCGCAAGCCTCTTCGCCGTTGAGCAACGCATTCTGCGCGCCCTCGGCTTCAACGTGCAGGTCCAGCTGCCTTATACACTCTGCATAACCTACCTCCAAGCCCTCGATACTTTTGCACATCCCCGCGCACCAGAACTCGCCAAACGCGCAATAGCACACCTCAATACCGCCCTACTAAGTCCCCAGTGCCTGTACTTGACGCACCAGCCACCGGCGCTGGCTACCGCAGCAATTTACCTAGCGGCGCGAGAGACGGGCATCAAAATGCCAGAATGTGAATGGTGGGAGGTGTTTGATACAGACAGAGAAGTGCTAGGGTTCTTGTGCGTGGGTATGCTGAGTCTGGAGGGCTTCGCCCAGGAAGAAAAGAAGAGGTGGGAAGGGAGCAAGGTCCCGATGAGTGTTGAAGGTTTGGAAAGGGAAATGAAGAGGAGGAAAGAGGTAGAGGGTTAGCATGAGTCGTGGAACAGTGTTTCCAGGAAATGGGTGTCCTAGCCCAACCTTTCCCCCGATCCCTGGACCTTATGGTGCCCAACAAGTCGCACAATGTTAACGGTACTAAAGATGCTTGTAGATCCTATTTATTGGTAACATCTGCTTCAACAAGCAACGTACAGCTCTTCAGGACACCGTACGACAATCGGGTGGATACATTTCCAGATTGATGAATATACGCTCAAGTGCAGTATGGAGGCAGAATCAGCACATGAAAAAAAGGATCAAAGGCGACTTCAATATGAGACGCAACGTCCAACGGTACATGGGGTGCAAACAGTGAGTTTGCAAGGGATCAGTACGGATTCGACATGTCATAGACAGGTACGGGGCAGGATACTCTGTGCATTCAGGTACATGCCTTAAAGGCCCCTGGTCGGCATCGTACGCTTAGGAGAAGTATCAGGTATTTTCGACAACGTTGGTCGGAGACACGAGCAGAAATACTGAAACTTGACGGACTGTGCCGATGGAGCCGAACCGCAAGACAGCTATCAAGAATAATATCAGGGGAAACGCAACGAAAAAGACGTAATGGCAAGATTCTCAACACACTTCCATGACAACTTCAAGCATGCCCGGAGCCCCGGAATACTCCCGGGCATATACCAAGAGCGCGGAAATGTGCCAGGGGCAATCAGTAGCTTGAATTACGTCTTGCAATCTAGGCAACTATTAAGCTGTCTGCCTAAAAAAAAGTATATAGCAAGGTACCCGCAATGGCCCAAGGTGGCATGTCGCGTCGGCCTACAAACGTTAGTCTAGCTGAAACGGTATCTGAATCAAAAACAATCATTCACAATGCAATGCCTACTACACCGCACCCTCTCCTGATGCCCCTTTTGATTAACCAGGGCGTGTACGAGACCGAAAGGCCTTGTTTGACTGCTACACTGTCTTTTTCTTCCATTATCCATTCACAGCGCACAACCGTCTATCTGGACACAAGGATCGCATTTGCCTATTCAATCTACATAATCGACATTTTCTATCCTCAAATACAACTCAGCTTATCCAGCAACAGTATACATTAATTCACAACAATGCCCCATAGCGTTTCGACAGGCCGTGACCCAACATGGACTTACATGGTTCCCAACGCACCCCGTCCGTCTACCCCGGCATCCCCACGACGTGACTCGGCGGAAATATTGGTCCGTACGCGAAAGCTGTATGAAGACCTGTCTGCGATCAAACATTCTCTTGAAGCGCGCCTCCTTTTCCACAACCTCGGCGAAAAAGACGGTCTTTACTGTCTGAACTGCACGCACAAGTTTACCAAAGGAGCTTGCGGCCCCTCATGTCCGTTGCTCCGGCCTAAATCCCGGCCGTGGAATCTAAGCAGTGACAGCGGGAATGCGAAACGAGCGAAACTGTTGCGACAAGATGTCGGTACGTATCGTAGTATTATTAGTGACATAAAGGCCCGCGGTACGGCTGTACATGTCTCAACCGTGTGGCACTGGGAGCGGGCCGTTTCGGCGCTAACAGGAAGGTGTGAGGTGCCGACGGAGCACTACGCGAGACATGGATGGCCACAAGTGCGGCGCAAGAAGGATTCGAGTACCGATGAGGTATTCAAGGAGGGGTGGTCGTTTGAGGAGGCACAGGCCCAGGGACCAGGAATCGAGTTACAGATTATGCCCGAGGTGAGAAGTACCGGAATGAAAAGGAAGGCCGAGTTTCGAGAGACTGGTGTATTGCGGAAGAAGATGAAGCTGATATGATTATCTGGGCATCCCACGGCCAAGCATATGCCCTATTTCTTGGCCATCTTCTGTCGTCGATAGCGCTAACGAAGTGCAGCTCATCACCATCTAGGCTCTCAGTCCCGAACGCTGCATGAGTTGTGTGATGCTGAGAGATAAGCGTCGGCCTACTAAAAATATTCCCTGAAAAGATCGAATTCGTGTAGCGAAAGGAATCGGGAGATGCCAATTCCAACTAATGTGCTATTCGGTTACTGATCGCGATGACTCGTGGGGTGGCAAGGAGGATGTCGGGTCAGGGTAATCTGGAAGCAACGTAAGCGGTTGACAGAATGCAGCACATTGTATACCTACACCTACTTGGCTGAATCCTTCATAGCAAAAGCAATCATCAATGCAGTGTTGCCAACGTGCATTGGATGTGACGTGCGGTGTCGATGCAAGAACGTGGATCTTAGAAAACCATGACGTCAAGGGAGCTAGACGGGATGTCGCTCCAGACCTCCAGCCACTTCGCCTTCACCTCTCATACCCTAGACACTGATTTCTTTGTCAATTGTACTTTCAACCCAATTTAATCATGAGTTATCTCCGCCAAATGTCGATGCTGCGTTCAACAGCCCTGCGTCCCGCAGCACTTTCAGTAGCACCTCGAGCCCGCGTACAGGTCCGCTTTGCAACGCAAGACTACGGCTCGGGCAAGGGAAACCCAGCTGGCGAGTCACCGCAACAACAGGGCCAAAACCCCAGTGAGAACCTGGAGCATCCTGGCCCCGAACCGCCCAGTGTCGCCAAAGGCAAGTCGTCGTCATCGCCAAACAAAGACGGCAACTCGAACCAAAACGACTCGCCCAAGCCTACCTCGGAGTCGCCAGCCCCCTCTTCAAGCCAGGGCAAGCGTAGCTTTTCGACATGGACGCGCCGGATGAAGGACAGCAGCGAGCCAGCCGTCCAGCAGGGCCAGCAATTGCAGCCTGACCCCAGCCAAGTCAAAGGTGCGAAACCAAAGATACTAAACGAAAACCCTCCTGCAGCCGGAAACGAGAGTCAGGAAGTCCGGGAGCACAACGAGGACATGAGTAACCGGGCGGAGCAGGCGCATGAGCGGGTCAGCAACGAGGATGCCGAGAAAGACAAGGTGCCCAGTAGCTACTGGAAAGGTATGGTAAACGTTTGTATTGTGTGGAACGCATGGCTAACAGCTGCACAGGTGAAGGCGGACGCGGTGGTTCTGAGGGTGTTCGAGGATGAAGACTAAACACAGTATGCGATGCATAAAGACTGTGATGTATAATTAGCCATGACCAAAACTACAAGACAGACTTGCACATGTCAATGCTGAGCCAAATTACCTGTTTACACGTGAACTGCTAGCCTTGCCTGCACCTGTGTCCCGGTATGGTTGTGTTTCATAGCTGTTGTGCATGTTTGGGTGATGACGTAAAGGGCTGAACGCGTTCACCTGCCCCGCTATTTCGCAATGGGAAATTTCGAAATGCCATGGCGACCCACACTTTACCTGTGTCTGTATGAAGAGAACCGGCGAGAGACGTCAGTGCCGCCACGCTGATGGGCGAATTCGCAAGAATGAGCAACTCATGTGCAGGGCCGCGGCGTTGGGAGGATGCAGGTCGTCGAGGTTGGCAAGGCCCAAGACGGCGTCACAAAGACGATCTCACAATTGCGCATCGAGGCTGCCGCTGGTCATAGCTCCCCATTGGCCGCAGGGCGATGCGAGCGGAGGCAGGCGCGTTAGAGACCTTGTTTGTCCAAGCTCCAAACGCGAAGACCTACGTCACTCGCACGCACTCGTTGTGGCCGCCATTGTCAGTGCCTCCCCTCATAAACTGCCTCTCCACCACCGCCCTCTAGACCCTCATACCTCTTTTGCCGGCCCTGCCTCATACCCGCAAGCCCTAATCCTTGCTTCATTCATCGGTATCTAACACAAACATCCACGTCGATCTCCGCACAAGATGAGGTTCTCTCTTACGTCGACTCTTGTGGCGACGCTTGCTGCTTCGGCAACGGCCAACAGCTGGTTTGGGAGCGCTGGTGCGTACAGTACAGGGCCCTTCTTTCTCAACAAGCAGCAACATACTGATCAGAGCAACCAGTGTACGACAAGTGGCATGAGTCGGAGCTTGAGCGCTGGCTGAGCGACCACGGCATCCCTCACCCCAGCCCCTCGGACCGCAAGAACCTTCAGTCGACTGTCAAGGCCAACTGGAATGACAAGGTCGTTTCTCCCTACACTAGCTGGGACGCGCCTACGCTCCAGAAGTACCTGACTCTCAAGGGTCAGCAGGCGAAGAAGGGCACCGAGAAGGACGCAAAGAGCCTCGCCGAGCAGGTCAAGGTATATTGGACCGAGACCGAGGACTCTGCCAACCAAGCCTATGGCAACGTTAAGGACTGGATCTTCGACACGTATGTAATCCAGACAATATGCTCTCGTGCAAAGCTAACTTTCTGCAGCTGGTCTGACTCTCAGCTCAAGGCGTTCGCCGACAAGCATGGTATCCCCGTCCCCCAGCCTCGCCAGCGTGACTCTCTCCTTGCAGCCGTCCGCGACAACTACCAGTCGGCTGCTGAGAAGGCCAAGGAGACTGCCAACTACCCCGGCGACTGGCTCTACGCTTCGTGGTCCGACTCTGATCTCAAGGCCTGGTTCGACGAGCGGGGCTACACCGTCCCCCAGCCCAGCACTCGTGACTCCATGATTGCTGCTCTCCGCCGTCAGTCCCGTCTTGCGAGCATTCAGTCTCAGGACGCGTATGCCTCGGTCTCTTCTGCTGCCGCCAACGCTCAGCAGAGCCTCAGTGATGCTCTCCTCGACTCGTGGTCTGACAGCCAGATCAAGGAGTGGGCCGACAAGAACGGCATCAAAGTTCCCCAAGGCTCCAAGCGCAACGAGCTCCTCGCTCTCGCTCGCAAGCACCGTGCCCGCCTCTACGGTGACAGCCTTTCTGCCAGTGCCGAGTCTGCTTCTGCCTCTGGTGCTTCTGCCTACGGTGCTGCCACCTCCAAGGCCGGCAACCAATACGCTGCTGCTACTGCGGGCTTTGCCTACTACACCGACTTGGTCAAGCAGCAGATTGGCCTTGCCCAGGCCAGTGCCGCGTCTGCTACTGATGCTGCTGGAGCCAGTGCCAGCTCCCTTAGTGGATCTGCTTCCAAGGCGGCTTCGTCGTCGTCTTCGTCCCTCTCCAAGTCCGCTGCCAGCGCCTCTACTGCTGCCTCCAAGTCTGCCAAGAGCGGATACGACGCGGCTGCCGCCAGTGCTTCCTCTGCTAAGCAAGAGTTGTAAGCGATTGGCTCTCTTTGCGGCAACCGACAAGCAGCGTTCGGCCGTATCATGTTCTTGATGCAGCTGCCCGACGTGGTGTTTCACGACCTTACGATCTACGTACGGATAGGTGGAGAATGGAATGAAAAAGGTAATGCAGTCCTGTAACATTAGCATGATGTTGATATGCCCTCTGGCCTCATGGTAGGTTTGGGAGGGTTCGAGCTTTTCTTATTCGTTTAGGATTGGGAAGGATGGCGTCTCGAGTAGCTTAGTGTGAGCTTGGTAATGAACAAGTAAAAATTATGATTGATAGTGCCCTGATGAGGATCCCGTTGCCTTGATGAGTTGAACCAAGGAGAGATTGTCGCTAGGAAGAAAGCATATTGGAAAAACTACCATGTTGGGTCAAGTCCTCTCCACACGTATTGAAATCACGATTTGCCCGGCTCCAGGCTGCCAGCAGGCGGTTCGGCCACGTCTTTTCTCACGAGCATGCCTTCTATGGCTGGTCCGGCGACCTCCTCGCTCGTAGACGTCGGCTCGTTGGCAGAATCCAGCTTCTCTACGGGGAAAGGGCCATGGTCACCGGCTGTCTTGCTCGCCTTTTCCATTCGAAAGAGGACATGGTCCGAGGCACGCAGTATCACCCGGCCGTCCTCGGCATCCTTGGTCCACCTCTCTCGCTTGTCCTTGGAACATGCAGCGTCCATGCTGCCTTGCTCGAACTGCTGCACCTCTGCATCCACCTGCCGCTGCATCTTTACAATCTCGAGGGTTGAAAATGTGGGCTTGTGCGTGGCAAAGCTGATCCACCGGGGCTCGGGCAACCAGTCGGCAACCTGGTCGTCTCCCGACGGCTTTTCCCATGCGGCCTTGTGCCGGAGCGACATGCGCCATTGGATGATTTTGATGTCCAGCGCATCCGCAGCATTGCGTAGGCGGTTGTATGCTATATCGACGACATGTATCTCGCGCAGCCGTCTCTGGCGCTCGTCGTGATCCATGGCGCCCATGTGGCAGTACTCGTACCGCTGTTGTGCGTTGAGACACAGCAGGTACTCTGCTTCTTCGAGTAGCATGGCCTTCTCGACTTGCATCTCTTCTAGCTTATATTTTGTGCTGTCGACGTCGATTTGCTTGAGATCTGTGGCGTAGTCGATTGGCTCCGAATAGAATGGCAACTCGTGGCTCTGCTCTACTGTCTGTACTTCCACGGTATCAACTTGGTTCGTCGGCTTCGTTGCAGCGTTCTCGAACTCAACCAATTGAGTCCAGACATGGTCCCTTTGCTCAAAGACGTCATCCGGCAACAGCTGTGTGTACCAGATACCGTTATGCCGGACGTAGTGCTGCATAATGGGACTTAGCCTGGACATGAGCTCCTTGTTCCAGAAGATGGGCCAGAACTCGAGTGATCTCCGCTTCCGCAGCCCGTCAAGGCGACGGTAAGCCTTTTGCCGTTCGCCAGTGTACTGGAAGTAGGCATGGGCGCCCACCACACCCGTACAGGCGCCAATGTTGGCCATGCCCAGACATCGCGTCCAGCGCGGGATGGCAGGGCGGCGCATGAGCAGCATAGGTATCGAGGCAGACAGTCCGAGAGCAGCGCCGGCCAAGGCGCCGTCTTCGACCGTGTATCTCTTTGACCATTCGTACAGGCGCCACTTGGTGCGCTCCGGCACCTGGTCTTCGACGACGACATTTGCAAAAGCCGAATAGTAGTACCAGTTGACGGCGGCGCCTGCGAGGCCAGCGGCAACGCCCAGACGAGCAGCCGACCGCACAAAGAGGACAGTGGGGGATATTGCTTGTTGGGGCGCTACTCTTTGGTTGAACGTCGTAGCAAACGAAGTATACACTGCGGCGAGCAGCGTCGACGAAACAACAGACGACTGGAGCGTGGCATTTGCGCCAATGGGATCTGGCCGTTTGGGAACCAGGCAATGCTGGCCCTCGCCTGTTGCATGGGATTATCAGCACCTGTCGTGTCTCGCATGGCTCCAGTCCAACCGATGACCTCTGTAGCTTACCAGGCGGTACAAAGAGTCGTAGCACCATGTGTGTGTGTGTGTGGGAGCGGATACCTTTTTTTTTCCTGCCTGGACCAGCGGGCTACCGGTGCATCGTGGAGCTCATATGGCGCGGTAGCAGTGGGCGGGCGCAAGAGGGTGTGCAGCGAGGGCGAGGACGAGCGCGTGAGAAGCCCACGGGGCCGTGGATGGCAGCCAAGGGTGCGCGGGCCTAGGCGCTGAATGGGCGAGGCTGCTGGTAGTCATGAGGCTGAGGTGAAACCTCGTAGCACACGGCAGCCACCACGGGCGGCCACGGGGAAGGCGCGCCCGCAGCGGGCATTGCATATCAGTGCCGCATCGGGCCAAGGGCGTGAAAGGGCTGTTGAGGGGCCGGCGCGTCAGGAGGGGAGCGTGTGCGACGGCATGCGAACGTTGCAGGGTTCGGCGAGCGCACGTGACGACGTGTGGGTGATCATGCGGCCAGCCCCCATACACATGGGATACTCGTGCTCGTACATGTAGTGTGCTCGTAGTCCGGTCCTGGGCGTGCAAGGGGGCGGCACCACTTATTTTTAGGCTACACTGGCTATGCATGCTGGTTCAGTCTTGCTTTTCTCTCAATACTGCGGCACAAACTCCGGCATCCTACCTACGCCCAAAAAAGACCGGCCCTGCTCCCTATACGTATGCGCCCCTGCACGCGCCAGCCAGCCAGCCATTACCACCCGCCACATATACTGCGACCGTTGCGCGGCTCCTGTCCCCGACCTATTACAAAACTCTTATCTCAGTCTACTAAAACATGCGGCGTGAACAAAACTAAAACACTGGCTTTTCCCAACCCTAGGCGGGTATCTGAAGAACAAAAGAGACGAAAACGCCATCGCTAAGGAAAACGCCAACCAAGAGAATACCCACACGGGCCACCCACGCTACAGTAGTGCATTAGTACAACGTGAGAAAGATGCAAGAGAATCCAAAAGAAAAGAGTCGTTGAGAAGGTTCCCGGCAAGCTTACACCGCTCGCGTCTCTCGTCTCTGCATGACAATTTTACTGTCTTCGTTGCGCAGAAACTCAAACACGCCGAGCTCGAGCCGTGCCAGGCCGTCCTTGAACAGGTATTCGCTGCCCTCGGTGTTGGTCATGGCCTTGAACGCCATGCACAGCAGATCTTCGGGGCTCATGCCGTCAATCGGGCTCATGTTCTTCCACTTGAGTCGCATGGCTCGAAGATCATTCATCGCCAGCAGGCGATCCACAAGCCCCACGTGTGACACGCCCGGATTCGCTGCCATTGAGTGACGTAGTGCTGAAATGGCCTGGCGTTCGTGCAGCCACGCAGTCAGAATCTTGGAAACCAGCTCGTAGTGGCCTGCAAGCTCACTGCGGAACAGCGACTCGCCATGGAACCATAGCGCATGGAGCCGCTGCAGAAGGGCTGTCTCGTCTGGAGGCATTGTAGTGCGAGGGAAAAAGAACGTAAACAGGCCGGCCGTGACTTCGCATTGGAGAAGGCGGAGGTCGGCTGTGGGGACCGCTTGCCGGGTAAGTGCTGAAGACGGCTGCGTCATGTGCGGCGGCTCCGGGTGCTGGCTCTTCAGCACGGCTTGGTGGGAGGCATGGTGGGAGAGAAGTGGTTGAAGATGGCTCGGAGGTGCTCGGAGGTTGCTTGGGGCAATTGGTGGTACTTCCTGTGAGGGAACCAGTTGTATTCCGTAAGCGCTTGCTGTCTGTACAGAGGATACAGGCGCCGGCTGCGTATTAGGTGCCGTAGGTGGCTTATTAGATGCGGCCTGCGCATGGGGTGTACTGGATCTACTGCGAGGATGGGGTGCAAGAGACCGACCAAAGTGGTGTGTTGAAGCATTAGCTGGACTCGGGGGTCGAGTTGAAGACTGTTGGGGCTGAATATGCGGATGAGATGGAAGCTGGCCATGCTGGGTATGTTGCGCCGGGCCGGGGTGTAGCACGTGGTGCAACTGCGGGCTTTGTCGTTGTGACGGTGGTTGTGACGGTGGCTGCGGAGCGATGTGAGCGTGCTGGACATGCTGGAGTGCAGGTGATTCCTTCTTGGGGTGCCCACTGGTTCCATTAGTAGATGCCGTTGAGGTTATAGGCTGGAACACGTGGCTGCTAGAAGCAGTAATGGGCGTCGCCGGCGGCACAGAACGTGGAGGGTCGGTAGCAGGCCGGTTAGGAGCAGAGTTGTGCGGAGATGGCTCATACGGACTCGTGTAGCTATTGCTGTGGCGATGGCCGGTTGCAGGCGAGGGCCGCGGGAGCTCCTTGGAGTTTTCTCGCGAAGCTTCCCGCACTGGATCCCGGAGAGGCTCCTTGACGGGCGTTGTAGTGTTGACCGCAGTAAAGCTTCCAGAGTTGACGGCTGTAAAACTCACTGGTGCCAGGCCCTGGGAAATAGCAAGTGGCCGAGATGCACCATTGAGCTCGTTGTTTGAGAGAGGAGCAAGCTGCGGCCTGCTGACTTCGGGCCCGGTGCCTGGTGCCGGAGAGAAACGGTGGACATGCAGTGGCATTGGCGGCATGTTCTCCATACTGCCCGAAACGGCGGGGTAGAGTGATTTGAGTGATTTCCTCGGGCTGTCCTTGCGGCTGATGGGCATGGTGCTGTAGGGCCGCTTGACAGGAGTCGCGTCCAGCATCTCCTCGTCGTCCGACATGGTCAGATGGGCGTTGCTTTTGCGTTTCTTGAGATTGATTGGCTTGACTTCCAGGTCGGCTCCAGTGGCGGTGTCCATGTCTGGTGGAGTAAGCGACTGCGGTGTGCTGTGCGGTGACTGCATTTGATTAACAAAGCGACGGTATCAGACGACGGTAATAACGTACTAGGCCTTCAGTGTCCATGTCGGCGAGCTGGTCATATTCATTCGCACCCGAAGGTCTTTTTAGCTTCATGTTGCGAATGTAGTAGCAGGCCTTGATGATGATCCATCGATGCAGGTGTATCTTGAGGCTGTAACAAGCTTAGCGCGCGCCCACACACACACCCACACCCACACACCCGTCGACACACACCCACCCCTCCCACAAGCACACACGTGCATCAACAAAACTTACATGTCCTTGTGCTCGGGCTCCTCGTAAAACAAATCTTTGTTGTACGTCTTCTTGGTAGCATCCGGCGTCAACAGGCAGCTGCGGTCGGTATCCTTGCCCCAAATAGCGGGTCCGTAACTCGCTAGCAGGTCCTCGAGCTCCTGGTCCAGGGAATGCGGGTCCGCGGCAAAATCGAGCAATGCATCTCGTTCTTTTGGCAGTTCCTTGGACAGCTTGGTGACTTCGCTCGACAGCTTGCGATAATCTGGGTTGTCGAACTTGGGGATGCCGCGGTTGGTGGTCGACGACGAGGCCGACAGGCCAAGGCCCAGGCACTCGGTGACCTCGCGGATAGTCGGGTTATGTGAGCTGAAGACGGAAATCCAGCGCGCGCGGTCCCATCGGCGCACGCCGTGCTCAAGATCCAGGGCCAGGTTATCTTTTGAGCTCATGGCGCTGCATGGATAGTACGTGGAAAAAATAGAAGAAGGGGAGAGGAAAAAAACGAGAATGGAAGCGTAGACGGATGGGAGATGACAGACGACAGCGCATGCACACGCGCCAAAAGGTGTGATGGGACCAGGTGGGTTGGGTTGAGTTTGGGGGGGGGGGTGGGAGGGTGGGATGATGGCTCGGCAAGGTAAAAGGAGTACGTTCCACTAGACCGTCTTGGAACAAAGTTTTTTTTTATTGCCAGCTGCCTCTTCCAAAAAAACTTTGTCCAGTCTCAGATGCCGATCGTGCTACTCAGCAAACAAAGAACATAGGACCCCCTGCACATAGAGGCACAAGGATGACGGCAGACTGTGCAGCAGCAGCAGCAGCGAAACGGGTCGAGCAAAAGAGGGTGGTGGTGGGTGAGACGGGGCGACAGGAAGGATGGTGGCGATGACGGGGAGCGAGGGAGAGAACAAGTGGGTGGGTGGGTGATGATTGATGATGATTGATGCCGGTGACGTGTAAGAAGCGACAGAAAGTATGCTGCGTCGAAAAGATACCCAGAAGAGACGTGCGTGCGCCCAGTAGCGAGACAGCAGTGGTGGCAGGGGCCGCAAATAAAAAAAAACATGTGCATAGGTAATACGCGTGTGCATCCCGAAGGTTAATGACTCGCATGCCAATAATTCCCCATGAGGTGTAATGATAGTACCGCGCGGCCCTCATTCGTCCAGGCGGCGCGGGCCCGTTCGCACTGGGCCTGTTGATAGTACATTGATATACGACGCTTGCACTATGGGCCTGTGTCTATGGTCACTGGGTTGCATTATGCTAGTCATATCTATACTTCCTACAACGCCCGGCGGTACAGGTGCTTTGGTCGCTAGCCGCAAAATCTCTTACTCGCCTAGGCCAAAATGTCCGATCCTCTTACTCAAACCAAGCACTGGCCGCCGCCTGCTATCAGCAAATGAAGCGCACTAGCCACGCTTCCGTATAGCCCGCTGCTCGACTGCTTGCTCTCGTGGTCAGGAGTTACAATTACACCTTGCATCTATGACGTGCTCGTCCCTCTCTTCTGCCTGCCACTACTTACTACTTGCGTACGTGATAAGCGCAAGCCCCTCCCCCCCCTTTGTGCCCCTCTGCCCTGTCCTGTCCTGTCCTGTCCTGTCCTGTCCTGCCCTACCCTGCCCTACCCTGCCCTTTGTGCACCCCCCCGTCTCCCCTCCCCAAGTATCCATGTACTAACCAGTACTGCAAAGCATCCGCTCGCCTCGCATCCCATCACATCACATGGCATCGCGTGCCTCTGGCTGCCTGTCGCCCTGCACAAGTCCGCGGCACTGTGCTCACTAATCGCGGGCGCCCGTCCACCGTACTCTAAAATAAGGAACGTGGCATTATTAGGGACATTTACGGCGCAGTGCGGAGCCAAACCCACGCCCCTTGGCCGCAGGTTACATTAAGCGAAAGAGTACTGCGAAGTGCTGCCGAGCCGTGTATTCGCCCGGATACTAGGTGCCGAACTATTGATCGCTGCATACTTGCGCTTATTCTTGGCACTACGTGAGACGTTGGCTTGTTTAATCTCTGGATACTCGTGCCCACGCCGCTCTGACCCTGCCCATGCCGTGTTGCATACACACACGCACGCACACGCTAACACACTCATACACACTCTCTCTCGTATACACACACACACTCATACATACGTACATACGTACATACATACATACATACATACATACACACACACTCTCTCTCTCCCACCTTGACGCACACACTCTCCCACCCCACACGTCTGCAGCCTGTGCACCCACACATGCAAAAGGCTCTCCGCAAGGACATGCATGCACAAGTGGCACAGCTAAGCTAGTCTAATCCTACACGCTCCTGTAACAAGAGCGAGTATTAGCTGAAACCATCCCACCCCCCCCCTCCCCTCCTTACGGCTGACCTACCCGAAAAGACAATTTTCCCGAATGGGGGTACGCCTGGTGGGCCTTTCAATTCTGCCCGATCGATCGATCCCTGACATGCTGAATGCCTGTACGGTGTAAGATCCGCGCATACAAACTTTACCACTATAATACCGACATATAGTGTATAGAGGCACGACACGAACAAGAGGAGCAAAAAAAAGCAATGCGACAAACTTCGGAGCTATGCGGCATGCCAAAGCATACCCTTTCCGTCCTCCTCTTCCTCGCGACGGAAGTTCTCCAGGTGTTCATGCAGCCACGCCATGGTCGCCGTAAACTCTACTGGCTTCCACTGCATCTCGACGGCATACTTTTCCCCAGCCAGCACTACCAATGCCTGTCGTAACAGCTCGTCGCGGTCAACGGCCACATTAGGCCCGAGCCCAAAGCCCTGGCCCACATCCTCAAAGTTGGCAATAATCGTTTGCGTACACCCCATCAGAGTGCGGTGTTGCTGGATCCGCCGTTCAATCTCGGCTGCCGTGTGTCCTTCTGCTGACCAGCCTGTAGCCACGCGTTAGTTTCCACACACGCACATAAGGTTGCAAACGCTCAACTTACGTTCGTTGGCACGCTGCAGCGCTGCCAAATGCCGCTTGAGTTCGACCCATGTCAGGAATGCCCGTTCTCGCGCAATGAAAACGGGAATGTTCTCAACCATTTTTTGGTAGTCGGCACGGACGCGCTCCCGCCACGTCTTCTCCAATTGGTTGAGTAGCGCTTCCTCGTCCACTGACACCCCACGCTCTTCTCCGTAGACGTATTGCCGCAATGCACGCAGCCCGTCGTAATCCAGCCCGCGGTACGGTATGCTGTTGTTTGGCTGCGGAATCTCTTCTCCTGCCGCGTCATCAGAGCGGAAACTGGCCACCAGCTTGGCCACTTCGACGCTGATTTGCCGGTCGACAACGGCTTGGTTCGTGTTTGCAATCTGCTGCTCTACCGCTGCTTTGCCTTCTGCAGCGTGCGTACCATGGCCGTGTGCAGACGTACTGGCGTCTCGTGACCTGCTTGCTTCCACGGCTAGTCGACTCCACACGCCTTCAACAATGTTCTGCCGCTGCTGTAGCGATTGCGATTGATGTACTGTAAAGGCGGGCGTTAGACCCATGTCCCCCGTTGAACACTTGTGAAAACCTACCTGCGTCCCGGGGACCCATGATGGGACTCTCACCCGACTCTGGGGGGGTAAGCATGGCACTGGATGAAATTGGACTGCCACGTGACACCGTATCACCATCGTGCAAGACCGAGTTGGGCGCAAGCGCAACAAACGATGCTGGCGTTCCGCCCTCCTGCTGGCCAGAATACTCGGCCTCGGCTCGCGCCTGTCGATTCTCTGCCTTCTTCCTCCTTTCGCGGTCAAGCCGTTCGCGCGCAAGAATGACATTGCATGCCTTGAGGCCAATCCACCAGTGGAGGAGCTTGTGGATTCTTTGTGACAATCAGCATTCGTCCATGGCCATGCCAGTCTTGGGTCGCCAGAGCAGCTTCGCTTACAGTTGCTTGTCCTCGTCGTTTTCAAAGTACAGATCCCTGGGGTAGAGGCCCTCTTCGACGCCAGCTTCGTTCGCCGTGAGAAGATGCTCGCGATCCCCCACGCGCCCCCAAACCTTAGCCCCATGCTTTTCGAGCAACCCGTCAACCTCCTCTTTCAGGCTTCCCTCGTCACTCAAAAACTTCATCAACTCGTCCGGCTCTTTCGGAAGCGTGGACACCACCTCGCCCATATCCGCCACAAGCTCGCGCACCAAGGCCGATTCAAAATTCGTCTTGCCGCGCTTATTCGACGACCATTTTGCACGCAACCCAAGACGCTCAATCAGCTCATGCATGCGCACCTTGGACCGGTTTTTCATGATATCGAGCCAGTCCTTGGACGTCGCATACGCGATTGCCGAGCTGTCCATGGCCGCCTTGGGTGTATCAAATGCCGGGAATCGCCCGAAAGACCAGAGATGAGCTACTGCAGCTGCTCCGTCCGGATGCTCGGGTGCTGAGCGTGGCGGGGTGACAATCTGTAAAGAAACGTGATGTGTAGTGCTGATTTTGTTCGGTATGATTACATGCAGATGCGCTCAGGATGCAAAGGGCAAACAATGGACACTAGCAACGGGCCCGATCAGTGGGTGCCTGTATGACAGCAATTAGAGTAGTACGCGAGCCAAGCGAGCGACAAGGGGAAGATGATAGGAAGATGCGATAGATGGCAAAAGTACAGATGAAGAAACCGTAGCGCCGTGTACGGAAGGCTCGTCTACAGAGTCAGCCGCGCCAGGCTCTGAAGGGAAGGCGGAAGCGTCGGGCAATTCTCGCCTATTGGCCGCAGCGGCGCATTAGCACGCCGATCTTCCAAAGACTTACACAACATTGTGCACGTTGCTATTCATCCGCCAAGACACGTATGTGCCTGGAGGCGCTGCTGAGAAGCCAGCGACACAACACTCAACGCCGCCTGCAAACTCTGCCTAGCCTGTCGACCCGCCCGCTGAGCCGTAAGCCGGCTGACGGCACTGGTGACCTCGGTAGTGGACATCGCTAGGTAAGAGTGTCGGGGAGACCTTGGAATACATGCTCATCGACCAGGATAGACGTTCGAGCAACGCAAAGCACCTCAAATGAGGCCATCCGTCCCAACGTGTACCTGCAGCCAGCTCTTGGCCTCTGCGTAAAATGCAATTAGTACCTACCATATTTAGAGCCTGTCCAATCTCCAACGAAGCCAACGTATCCTGGGTATATGTAATCTAACGCCCAAACGCCATCGATAAGCCCGTCATTCAGGAAGCATTCCCTGCAGCGAGGGGCCCTTTTCTAGGCGGCACATGCGGAATCCGGTCGGCTCAAAGATTTCAGTTCAACACGAACTCGACCCGGGAGACTGGTGCTCCAAAGAGGAGCTTGGGCAAGTGCAGTCTGCAGTTGGGTAAACGGAGCTTCCGACTCCCTGCGAGTAACCAGCGCCTTGCTTGCGCCGTCACCTTCACCAACACAGTAGCTCAGGCACCATATTTTTGTGCTTTTCAGCACCTGACCAATGGCCGGTATAGCCTCTGTATCCTCTTCCAGCATCGCGAGTAAGCCTGCAAACGATTTGCATTCAGCCATCGTGTAGATAAACTCGTATTCCGTTTCCTGGTCTTTGACAGACCAAGAGACATGTATGCGGTCCGCTTGTTCGTCGGTGAGTCTAAGGGATGGACTCTCGAGAGATAGTTGTCGCTGTGCAGCTCGCGGGCCTGAGTTGGAAAAGGAGAATGACACTTCCGAAACGTGTCTGGCGTCTAGCTGTATGTGGCCATCATCGGAATTCTTGTAGTCGTCTTCTGTAGCATCCTGTTTGTGAGGAGCTGTTATGCTAACCTTGCGTCGTTTCCGCAGGCTCGACATGTCGTCTCGCAAGCCATATTCGGCAGCCTTGATTCTCACCAGGCTTTGCATTGTCGATCCCAAAATTTCGGTTGTAGGGGTATTGGGCAGAGTCGAGGAGCCATATACATCATTCGTGTCCCAAGCCGAACCTCGCGTTGCGTCGGTGTCGGCACGCTTTTGCTCTGGCAGTACCTCCAGGACCGTGGCTAGGATTTCGGCACTCCTCTGAGGGTTGCGGTGAGTGAGTACGATGTAGTCGTTAGCAAAGATCTCATCGCTGTTGTCCTTGCTCTCGTAGGGCCGGTAGGATTGCAGACCATTCAGGCTTCTGTCGCTCTTCTGTGGTACCATAATAGCAAACACTCCGAGCTCGTCATCACCGTCAAGCGGCATAATGACAAGCTTCTAAATATCGTCAGCATATCGCGACCGGCAGTTGACAGAGACGGTCAAGGGTAATCACTGCTCCTGGAAAGTGACTTACAGACTTGCGCCAGAACTGAATCTCCCTCAACTCGATCAATGCCGAACTACTCTCGGCGCATCCTCGACAGACACCATAGCGGTTTTGCCCAACTGAGCCTTCTATCGCTGGAGGGTGTGGTCTGGTGAACTTGGAAAAGTTTTGCTTCAACTGACTGAACGAGGGAAGCCCCCGAAACGATTTGGCCTGCCTGTCTGGCGCTAGGTAGCCAATCCAAACGCCTCGTGCGAAGAGATGGTTGGCTGAGTAGAAGTGTCCTCCTGGATTAGGAAGGGGATTGAAGCAGTCTTGGAAAGCGCTAGACTGCTGTGAGCCAAGTCTCTGGGGTTTTTGTACCGGTTTAGCCTCGCTGGTGAGACATATCTCTGGTGTAGGCAGCCTCGCCGACATGCCTGGCGAAAACAGTGTGTTTTGATTAGTGCTAATCTGCTCAGAGCTGCTTGATCCAGCTTGTGGTACTTCCTTTGTGCTGCTGCGTGACGCCTGCGGGGGGGTTTCCAGCGTTTTTGAGATGCTGGTGTTGCTGTCAGGCCTGTAAACAAGGCTGGCACTTCTTGGAAGCATCTTCAAGCTGTATGTGCGGCATGCACCCAAGTTTTCGATTTCGGTATATGGAAACCCGCATGCGAGATGTTCGGGGCTTTCTCGGCCGTGCTGGTCGTAGTAGTGGCCGTCTAATGCCAACCAGTGGAGACAGTGAGTTGTAGTGAGGTGGGCAAGTGGACTGTGTTGTGGCTGCCTACGCTAAAAAAACACCCTTGTCACAAACGGCGGACCCTGATTTGCCCCACGCCCTACTTGGTAGCAACAGGCAGGCAGCACCGGCTTGCCGCGCGGTTACTTACCGCTTTCCTCTCACTCTTGCTCTCTTTCCACATATGCTGGTGCTCTCGCCACAACGCCACAACGCCACAACACCACAACACCACAACACCACAACACCACAACACCACAACACCACAACACCACAACACCACAATATCACAACACCACAACACCACAACACCACAATATCACAACACCACAAAGTCTGGGCCACCAAACAAGGTTCAAGCCACAGCGGTGAGCATTGCTCTTGGCCACTAACACCGTATAGCAACCTAGGAAGCCGCGTATATATGCCACACTAGTCCAGCCACACATGGAGTGCGGCCCAACCGTTCAAACCTTATGCCGGATGGTCGGACATGAGGTTCTGAACACGAGCCTACCCATCCAAGAGTATCCTCTGAAGCGTAATATCACAACTTGGCGTACGATGCAGAAGACCTGGTATGTCTGGATCTTAGCCCAAGGAGATTTGGGCTGGTCTCGCAGTACGTTCCATGCCCTTACGCAAGCAATGAATCTTCTCACGTGAGAGTACCGTCCTTCATAGAGCAACACTCATGTGAAAATGCCGTATGGCACCTGTTCATTTAGTCGTTGACTTTTCGACTCCGTATCTATCATACATGCCTTCAAGGCCTTTTTTGTCCTGCCTACATCTCCAGCCTTTTCCCAACCTCGAATGCACAATTATTCCTTTTCCTATGTTCCCTGCTTGATTAAGAAAGCTTCCGAAGCTACAAAGCCGCAGTCAATGGGCCGAGAAGAAAGAAACGAGGACCGCCGCGGTCACTTTTAAAATACCAAACGTATGTGTCGAAAACTTGCACCCTTTTCTACTGCTTTTGCATCCAGAGGTCGATGCAGCAGACAGTGCGCTTGATCCATCATCGATGTCGTGAACTTCTGTTACCGACCACCTTTCCTCTCATCCACAAAGACACTCCAGTTCTTCTGCACATTGATGCCGCTCACCGTATTCCTCTGTGCACTATCGTCGCTCACACGCGCCAACTCGATCTCGGCATTGTTTTTGCCAGATTCATCATTCGCAAATTTGGTTTCTTCTTCATCATCCATCCTGCTCATGCCCGCCAGCGTGGAGAACAAGCCGCCAGTAGCGCCCTTCTTACGCGGCCTAGAACCCGACGAGCCGCCAGTCGCGTACTGGTGTGAGGCCACTGGAGATTCCACGTTCGAAGGCCGAGATGAAGAGAAAGAGAAGAGTTTGTTCAGTCCCACCATCTTGAATACAGGCTTCAAACTGGGCAGACAAGCACACGCCAGACCCACGTTGACCTCAACGATCGACCACATAATGATCTCGCGGAAGTTGTATGTCACATCGCCTTGCGTAGCAATGGGAATCTGTAGGAAGATGATGAGGCGCACGAGGGACACGACGGCGATGAATGTGCCGAGCGCAAACATGCCCGCGAGCACGATGCGCTGCGCGAATGGCGCGTTCAAGCGCCAAACGTGTGGTAGAGGCATGAGAACGATGAAGAGGTCGAGGAAGACATTGGGGACTGAGCCGCCGAGGTAGATGCCACGGAGGGCAATGCATTTTGCGTCTGTGATGGTGATGTCCCAGGCAGCTCGAACAGGGAGGCAGCTGAGAATGACACAGAGTAACTACAAGCACAGCTTGGTTAGTATCTCGACGCTCAAGATCCTGAGACCCAGGCAATCTTTGCCCGGTGAAAAAGCAGGCTTACAATGGCAATACACCAGGCAACTGCAGCGGCAGTGACAACGCAAATGGTGATTCGAGCCTTGATTTCGAATAACCGCCAGTAGAAAGCCAGCACAGAGAGCTTGATTGTCGTGATACTCAGGGTGTAGAGTATGTTGCCCACGTAAACGTTCTTTAGGAAAGCCACGATTTGGAGTGGGTTCTCAATCTCGTTGATGTGAAGGCCCAACGATTCCCGCATACCTGGAAATGCTATCATGAGCTGCTATTCACCCTCCACTAAGATCAAGATAAGACATACCGATAATGCACACGTAAAAGAAGCCGTTTGCAATTGCTAACGCGCCCAGAGCCATGTAGTCATCCCATTGCACGTTGCGCCACCCCCGATGGCGGTAACGACACCAGATTCTTAGAGGAACGAGCACCATGATCATGATATAGGTAAATATCGAGACGCCATCAAGGCGATGGCGGAAAGCCTCACTGTGCTGCTGTCAGAACGTGATGTTGTGCAATGTTTTTCGTTGCGGGCATCGCTGGGAGCCCATAGATTATGGGAGCCCAATAGCAGCCTCGTGGCCTGATTTAGGGGTAGACAAGAGGGTTGCCGTGAACAACTTACATGCTCTCTTGAGGGTTGACGATGGGCGCCATGGCTCAGGATACTTCCCCGGCCGTCGTCGAGGACAGGCTCGAGTGCTCTTGCGTTGAGAAAAAGAGAAACAAACAAGCCGGCAGGATGAACAACAGGTATGCAACCTTCGTCTGATCTGCGAAATGATGCGCAGTTACCGATATTATACTCAACAGAGGATACTCAGGCGGGCCTAGCCATACGCCCCAGATGCCAGCGACTCGTTCCGCTGCAGCCACTCCCGGCGGTGGACGCCTTGGCTGTCCATTGTGACATTTTTGCTTCTGAAGCCCATAATGGACCAATGCGAATAACAAAGCGGCAACGAGTGGCACTCACATGCTCAGTTTTCGCCGGGCTTGTGGCTGTTGGGCAAACTCTAACCTGCGGAAGCCAGGGCTTGCCCTCCCGCTGGTGCGCTAGAGAGTGGATCCCGTTTCTGGGCTTGCATAGGCTTTGCTCCTCGGGGAGCTCCAGCTTCGCCTTTCGCAAACAAATGGGCGTGAATCGTGGCCCCCAAACAGGCTGGAGTATTATCCTAATACGCTACGCTATGGCGGGAGCGAAATGAGTGCCTTCTCCACATTGATCATGCACAGTCGATGCACTTAGTCAGAGATGTTACTCGGAAAAGTAAGCCGCGGAGCCTTTCCTCCAAAAGAAAAACGATGTACACTCAGGTGTCGCGGTGAGATATATTTGGGCGTGTAGGCGGGAATGGCGTGTATATGTTGGACGCAACCCAGGCGCGGTGCGCCGTCCTCGCCGAACAGAGGCAATGAGTAAACAGCACGTTCGCGCTGAGAAGGATTATCCAACGGCCATCGCAAAATTCACATGTGATTACTTGCAAGCACCTGCTTCATTGCGAGGCTCGCTGCCGTGCAAGCTGCGGTCAAGGAGATCAGTTTCCTCTTCAGTGTGGAAGGAATGCCTTGGCTGTCCATTTGGCGCCCCTGATCTTCGTTACCGGATCTCGAGTCAGAGTAGGCCTCGGTACTTGCAGGCCACTGTCAGCCAATTGCTGGGAGCCGCTGCATTCTACTGACAATCGGTGTGCGTGAAGGCGTCCATGTCGTCTTTTTCCTTGAGCCCATTTTCGACGGCGAGGTAGGGGTGAAGCGTATGTTGATTAGTCAAAAAGCAACTATACATATCCATGGTGCATCTGTAGTGCGTGGCGTACGAGCCAGATGTTCCCTGTGTCTGTATCCGTAGTACCAATCAAGCGACGCATGCGCCTCATGGGTAGAGTCGCGGAAGCGGAAGAAATATCGCGCCCAGTCTGACAGCCTGCCGGAGTTGAAGCCACACACACCGTCGCTTTAGTCCCTTTTAGCACTGCACGCCTGAGTCAAGAGCTCCAAAGAGCCCTATCGGAAGTTGGTCCTTCCCACCCATACTGTTTCGAAATCGACCAGGAAGAATGCAGTTCCAGTCCCATGGGGTATAGCGAGCGATCCATTGCCACGCGATTCGCCTTTTCATCTGGATGTTCAAACATCCGGATGTGAGGTCGCCGAAACATTCAAAACCGATGACACTGCGGGATTGGTGGTTCTGCATGTAGAAGACATGGGTGTGTATGTGTCATCGAAATGTGTAGTAATCGACAAGAGCATGTGAGGGACGGGCTGTCGGGAGCGGCTCGTTGGCCCCAATTTTCGCGCCAACCGAAAAGCAAAATCCACAATTCTTCGTCCATCTTTGACAGGAACCCCTGGCTCAAGTCAAAATCCGAGGCCTTTCAGACTAATCAACCAGGCGCTAATGAACGTATGCGGAATAGACGCCAAAGTGTAGGACAGCCGGTACTGGATAAACCACGAGCATAAGATGCGTAGAAAAATCTCCATGATGTCCGCTTCGCTCTCGTGTCCTTGACCTTTCTTTTTCTGACCCAATAAAACTCGTGCATGATGAATTATCAGGACTCTCTGGGCGGAGGGTCATACCCAAGCCTCTTTGCGCTGTGCCTGTCTTCGGTATTGGCGTATGTCGTATTTACCTGCATATACCGCCTCTATTTCCACCCACTCGCATCGTTCCCCGGTCCATTCTGGGCTCGCCTAACAGTGTTTCCATCATGGTGGCACACTCGCACTGGCGACAGGCATATTTGGATGTATAGCCTGCAGGAGAAATACGGTATGCTTGTGTCCCGCATACTCATAGCCTAATTTGTTGACGAGTAGCAGGCCCTGAATTCCGGTACCGTCCTGATAGTGTCGTTCTCAATACTCCGGCTGCTTTCAAGAAGATATTCGGACCAAAAGGCAATGTCAAGAAAAGCGACTACTACAGTGTGTGGCCACGCAATATCAAGTCCATCAACACCTGGAGCAGCACGACCATCAGTCTTCACGCTCGCAAGCGCCGTGTGCTGAACTACGCATTTTCCGATGCAGCTTTGCGTGATGCCGAAGTGTTCCTGCATTCGAACCTGGACCGGTGGCTGGAACTGATTGGCCAGCAAGCCTCAAAGGACGGTGAATGGACCAAGCCAATCAACATGTGTGACTGGATGAATTGGCTCGTCTTCGATATCCTTGGTGACCTATGCTTTGGCAAGAACTTCAATATGAAGGAGCCTGAGAGCGACCTGCGCCACATTCCGGAGGTCATGGCCTATTACCTGGAAGTCATCCACCCAGTGAGTCCTTCCTCTCTGTGGTCTGTGTAGGCAGCACTAACGAACGTTTTAAAGATTGCCTTCAGTCCATTTGCTGGTTGGTGGGTATGGCTAAAGCCTCGGGGTCTTGATTGGCTCTTGTCCGTTGCATCGCCCCCAACTGTTGTAAAGTGGCAGGAGTTCGTAACCAAGTGTCTTGAGAACCGCTCTCGGGAAGAGCAAGAGTTGGAGAGAAACCCAAAGCCCGAGGGCGAGGTCCGAAAAGATTTCTTCCATTGGCTCTTCAAAGCTGTTGATCCGGAGACGGGGAAGCGCGGCTATGACCTGGATGAGCTGTATGCTGAGTGCGAGCTGCTGACCATTGCCGGCTCAGACACAACCTCGATCGTCCTATCTGCTGCCTTTTTCTATCTTATGAAGAATTCCGAGATTCAGGACAAAATCGCCGACGAGATTCGCTCGACCTTTGCAAACTACAGTGACATCAAGTCCGGCAGCGAGATTATGTCGTGCAAGTATCTCACAGCCTTCCTCCAGGAAGCTATGCGCATGACTCCACCTCTGGCTGCGGAGCCCAGCCGAGAGGTACTTCCAGGGGGCACCAGCGTCGACAACCACTTTTTCCCTGCTGGTCTTCATGTGAGCACCGGCATGTATTGTCTCAGCTACAATGAGAACGTGTATCCCGAGCCCTTCAAGTTCCGGCCGGAGCGTTGGATCGTGGACGAGTCTGGAAAGGAGGGTTCTTCAGCGGAAAGTGTGGCCCTGGCGGAGAGCGGCTTCTGTGCCTTCTCCTTTGGAACGCGTGGCTGCATCGGAAAGAACCTCGCCTGGCTTGAGATGCGGCTTGTTCTCGCAAAGACGCTCTGGATGTACGAGGTGCAGGGAGTTGAAAACGACAATCTCGGTGGAGGCGACCGCAAGGGTCCGCATGGGCGGCAGCTGGAGGATCAATACCAGATTTGGGACATGTTTGTGGCCAACAGGAAGGGCCCAATGCTGCGAATGAGAAAGAGATAACTTTGAGGTATTACATACCGAAGGAGTTCGTAGTGAGGGTGTAGCATGTACCTGCAGACGATGGGCGGCAGTCGTAGGCAGGCGTCTGCATTCGTCCTAGTAGTGTCCTGACGTCAATTGTGAATGCCGGGGAAGGTACCAAGCCTCACGGCGTCTTCTGGCTCTTGCCCTCCTTGTCTCTACCTACAACAACATCATCATCACCATCACCATCGCCATGGCCTTGCAATCATCCATTTCTCAGCGCACCCGTGCACGTACCCTGTGTGCCAAATCAGGATGGGTTTGGCCCCCAACTGTCTCCCGCTGATGGCGCCACAAAGCAAGCCAAACCTAGCTGCGGCGCGCCGTATATTTAGCAGCACCGACTCGCAATGTCCAACAGCACATCATGCGCATGGGAATTCACCTTGCCAACTCCGAGTTCCCTATCTGTTTCTTTCTCCTTTCTTTCGCTTCATTGGACCGTATCATCGAATGCCACCAGGCAACTTGGCTCCAGTCCGGGTTGAGCCGTCCCTCCATCTTCTGAAGCGCTGACGATACACGCGGACAACTCAACAAGTGATTTGCCCACTCTGCAATTCGCAAGTGCCCAGACGAGCTAAAAGAAACCCTTTCCCTGCAAGTTTTATGGTAAACACCTAGATGCGCTATTTGGCGTGCTGCGACCAGGCTGAGGGGCGCGACGCTCACGCTAGAAAGCCTCTTCAGCCGCAAGCCTAAAGCCTTTGGCGGCCTGTTGTCCCGCCCATTTCGCTCATGACCGCAATCCTTCTTTTCATTCTTGTTTACCGCAGCCTCACGTTCGCTACCAAGTCCGCCACGAGTTCAACCTATGAACCACCATAAGAAGTGGTGCTTACACTACTCAGGCCACCGAGAACAACCATGGAAGAGGTGCCGACTATCCTCCAGATAGGCTCCCCCGCTACAGGCAGGCGCCAACCAGAACATTCGGTTCCTTCTGCCTTGCGTATTGGCTCTCCAACAACAGAGGGTCCCTTACCGTCCCAGACTCGACCACCACTCGCACACAGGACCAGCTCTGGTGTCTCAAATAGAATTTCTCGATTGTTTCCCTCTAGCAGCAGCCCCGAAGAAATACCACAGTCGTTACCTTCGCCTCCAGTGCCAACTCCCGAAACTTCGAATCGCATACCTGTTGCGGCTACACCTCCCGCACCAAGGCCACTCGCGTTTACCGAGGAGACCGCGTATAATCCTCTTGCAAATATATTTACCCAAGAAAATGCCTTGCCACCATTGCACAAGAGCAATAGCAGGACTCGAAGGGTGTTGGATAGGCTCGCCTCGTTGAACAACGGCTCCTTTAGGGCCCGTAGCTACAACCGCTTAGATGATGTGGAGACAGCATACACAAAGGAAAGGCTCAAGGGTATTGAAGAGGAAAACGAACCGGTCGGATATGACCTGAGTTCTCTTGGAGGTCTGCCAGTGAAGGGTGCCGAGACGCGATTCACTGAAGTCGGCACAGGCCAAGCGAACACAGGGGCCCAGGAGCTAAATGAGGCTCGTCATGCTGCAGAATACGAGAGTCTCGAGGCGCAACTGGGCGCTGGCATGACTTCAATCTTGCACAAACCATTTACGCACACACCCGCGGGGCCAACACCAGGGTACTTTCCAGGCCATCGGCGAATACTATCCGCCGACGATGTAGTCGAAGAACAGGCCAAGGACGCTCAAATTGAAGCTGAGAAGACTGGGCAAGTTATTGCTGTTGCGGCAGAAGTTCCCGTGGACATTAGCGATTTCGAGGGCGTTGCGCGTGACTTTGAGTCAATGGCCAGTCTTACAGCTGAAGCTGGCCTTGTACGAAAAGGCGCGGAAACTAGTTATTTCTTTCCAAAAGGTACGATTTGCACGTCACCCTCGACATCATTAATTTAACAACTCTGCAGATCCTCAGATGCCAAACTGGCGACCGGCCACGATGAGCCAATTGTGGATACTAATGCTTGTTTTGATTGCACTTGCACTTGCTGCCGTACAGGAATACCTCTGTCAGCGCTCTATGAACGAAGTCAAGAAAAACCACGAAAGCGGCGGGCTGTTACAGTTTGAAAGAGTGAACCGAATGGGCATCACCACGTACTTTGCGTGGCAGTATGCGCCTATCATGATCCTTGTCTTTTACGGCGTGCTCTGGCAAATGACGGATTTCGAAGTCAAGCGCTTGGAACCTTTTTACCAGCTGTCCAAGAAGACGGGAGCGACCGCAGGAGAGTCTTTGAATATGGACTATCTGACTTTCATGAGCTGGTTGGTGCCCCTCAGAGCCCTCCATCACAGACAGTTTGCCGTCATCTACAGCTCGCTGGGCACATTACTTGCTAGCAGTCTGGTCCCTGTTTTGCAGTCTCCGTCCATTATCATGCATACATTTGAAAAGGACGGTAAGACTGCACCATTGAAGTCGATCAGAGTTCAACCAATTTGGTCGAGGGCTGTTTCGGCATGCCTCATTGCTGTCGCGTGTTGCGGTGCAGCATTGATGTATGCTATGCGGCGAAAAAGCGGCTTGCAGTCAGACCCCAAAGGCATCGCGGGCATCGCAGCCATGGCTACCAAGAGTCATATCCTTAATGACTTCAAAGGGTTGGATTGTGCGCCATTGGATCAGATTCACAAGAAGCTTCGTACTCGAAGGTACATTCTGCACAAGAGCTCACTCTGGCAGGGTGAGTACATCCGAAATAACAGAGAAAAGATACACGAACATGGCTCCGACCCCAGGCCTATCATGCTGCGGAAGCGGTCTGGAATACCCTTTGTCGGATTCCTCATAGCGTTCACTGTAATGGTACCGCTAGTTACATTTGTCGAGCGTCTGGGTTTCGTGTCAGAAAAGCTTCCTTGGGTCATGACCGGTCTAGCAACAATGATTCGGATCCTCTGGAATACGATGAATTGCGACGTTCGCATGCTACAACCTTTCTACATTCTTTCTCTCCGACACGCCCCAGCCAAAACCCTCACCCTGGACTATGCGGGCACAAATCCACTGTGGCTACCTTTCAAGGCCTTTTTCAATGGCCACTTTCTGGTCATGAATGTTGCCCTCGGCTCAGTCTTTGCCGAAATCATGACCGTCTGCGTGTCCTCTATCAGTGTAGATGGCAAGCAGTTCATTCCCGGGCTCTGGGATAGCAGCAACAATCGCGATCAGCATAATCAGCCCAACACCGAACAAACCTTCCGCAGTTTCTGGACGAGCTTCACACTGACCATGGCCATTCTTCTCTATCTCATCAGCATCGCGCTTCTAACCTACGTGAGGCGTAGCAAAAAGTTTATGCCGCGCCAGATCGGCACCCTGGCTAGTGTGCTTGCTTACATTCACCAGTCCAAGATGCTGGTCAGTTTTGTGGACACCGAGACATTCAATTCGAGCAAAATGACGCGGCATCTCGAGAAGAGTGGGAAGACGTATGCGCTGGGCTGGTTTCAAGGACGAGACGGGGATGATCATTTGGGTATTGACGAAGAGGAGATCCATAGTGCCTATGTGTATGGCAAGGATTGGACCGAAGGGAGGCTGAGGCCGGGCAGGGATCATACGTGGGAACATTATTAAACACGTCAAAGCAAGCACCAGCCCGTCTTCGGACTATGCTGTCAGCCTTGTACGGGACCGACAGGGGCGTTGCATGTCTGTGATTACTAAATCTGCAACTTTGCACAAGGTTCAACTTGACATTCCAAATGCCATCCAACACTGACTGCCCATACTCTTGATCCTTGCGCCCAAACGCCTTGATGCTGGTATAACCTCTGGAACGCGTGTGTGCCGCGTCATCTTCATGTCCAGTACTCTGTTGATTCTGTTCTTCGATCATCTCGACCCTGCTCTACCTCTGGGCTCAGTTGTTTCCCTCTCCCACGTTGCTCACCAGCCAATCCATGCCCTCCTGCACACCCCTTCCGTCGACAGCACTGCACGCGACAATGCTCCAATTCCTATCTTTGAGCTCGCCGAGCCGCAGCGCCTCGCTAATCTCGCCCGCGCCCTTTGCGCCTGGTTGATCCTGTTTGTTCGCGAAGACGAGGAGCGCAGCGTCGCGGAGTTCTTCTTCGTTGAGCATGGCGCGGAGTTCTTCAGAAGCAGTCGTGAGGCGCTCAATGTCGGTACTGTCAATGACGAATATTACGGCGGCCGTGTTGGCATAGTAGCAGCGCCAGTACGGGCGGATCGAGGTCTGGCCTCCTAGGTCCTGAGAGACCGTTAGAATGCTGCCATGGCGTGACCAAGGGCGGTCGGAAGACACGTACCCAGACGTTGAAATTCAGGTTCTTGTATGTTACCGACTCGACGTTGAAGCCTATTGTTGGTATTGTTGTGACTACTTCGCCAATCTGTTGCCCGTTGTTAGTCCTCGCTCTGCTTCGCGGTGGAATATGCACACCTTGAGTCTGTATAGTAGTGTTGTCTTGCCAGCATTATCCTGCATTGGTAATCAGCGCCGTGTACGCCTTTGGCCTGGCTTGAAGCTGTCTCACAAGCCCCAGAATCAATATCCGTATCTCCTTCTTTGCCCATATCAGCTTTGTGAACGTTGATAGGTATCCGCCCATTGTGTTCTCCCTATGTCTGGTCCGCCGCTATTGGTATGTGTATACGGAGTTGCCGCCACTGAGAGCCGTTTCAAGCAACGAGACGCGGTCGGGGGTGTTCGGGGCGGGTTCACTATGAATAGAAGTGTGATGGAGAGTTGCTTGAAGTAATGGGCGTAGTTGCAGTGCGCGCGAAGTAGTTAGACGTGACTTGATGCTGCTGTCTGGCCAGAATGCTGGCTACTAGAGATGCAAACAGGACAAACAACAAGGGCCGTCGGCGGTTGGTTTTGCCGACCCGCGTTCATCGTCACTGCACCCCACATGATCAGCTTGGGAGTGTCCTACCCCGGAGAAAGTTGCTTGATCATGCTCCAAAAAACTCAATGCGTGGATAAGCGGAATGATTGTTTTAATCTCACGGTCCGAAACTTAGTAAGCCGGTGCATTTACAGTTGGTCACGTGATATCGGCCGTACCCTTCATTTGTGTAAAAGTTGATAGGAACGGCTGTGAGTCTTATTGGAAGGACATTGCCATATCTGCCTAACCAGTAGCTTCTAGCCATGCATCCTATGTATTGTCTGCTTATCCCGCCGGCCCTATATTGCTCTGGACTAAACCCGAATTTGGCCAACATCGGGCCGTTGTTCACGGGAGGGGATGCCATTGTGCGTTTCATTCGCAAGAGAAAGGAGAACCCGGATTTTGATAAATAAAATTCATGATTGGAGTTAATGACAGAGGATTGAGAAGCTGTACATCCCGGTGTGCTTGATAGGCGCGTTTGTTGTAATTGGATAGAACTTTGACGAACCATGGTTCACATGAATACAAGCAGTAAAACTAGTGATAGTAGCTTGATCTCTTATTGATATTACTCGCTGCCGCGCATCTATGGTTTCTTGAGCAGCTTAGAACCAATCAGGAGACAGACGTATAGCCTTGCTTACGTACCATGGTTGTAGATCCCACAAACCAAACTTTGCATTCGTGTCTCCCCAGCACACTTGAACCTGCTAGATGCCTCACGTTTTGATTATTTCAATTTTCATCCAATCATAGGTGTTTTATATAATTCTCATTACCGCTTACATACAAGTAATCCAAAGGTTCAAGGTAATAATACTGTTAAATCCTATGATTTGCTGGTTAGGTAACATGTAAAGTCTTTTCACGCTTTAAAATGAAAGCTGGATGATTGGGTTAACGTAACGTCTATCGATATCTGGAATTATATATTTGACGCCCAGCAGCGTCCATAACTACGTGCTCTTTCAGCATATCTTCATCACTATCCCTTTCTTGTTACGCTTCTCTATTCAGATATCGCAAAAGACTACTCTGCACTAAGAGACCCCCTCTAGTCTACGTTGTCTTCATTACAAAGCAACCCAACCTAGCTTTTCGATAACAGCTTTTACGGGAAAGCAATCAACAACAAATACCGAAATTTTCATCCCAAAGATGTCATCTTTCCTCTCTATCCTCCAGGAAGCCAAGGGGAAGCCCATTTGCAGCCGCAAACCTGCCTCGAAAGCCCCCGCATCCCGGACGACTGTAAAGAGATCCAAGAATGGTCCAACAACTACGCAAGAGGCATGTACCAAAGCTGATCAGATGATTATCGAAAGGATTCTGGTTGAGAAGACAGAAGAGCTGAAGCCTGCTGCTGATGCACAACGGCCAATCTCCATGGAGAAAGGGAAGCGGAAGTACAGTCAAGAGTCTGATTCTGGATACTCTTCCAATTCCGGCACCCCACCTAGACTTCCTTCCTGTACCGAAGGGGAGGGAATTCGAATCAGGAAGCGTGTTCGTATACCTGATGATGAGGAGAAGGCAGAAACACCAAAACCTGCCTCACTAACCAAGCAGTCCTATATCACGCGATCCGAGCGCAAATCAGCAACAATCCCGCGAGCAACTCCAGCAAAAAGGCCTGTTCAGGTTAGCAGGCCTCGTACGCGTGGAGAAATGACAAAAACCAAGTCAAATCATAAGCTCGTGGGAGATTCTGACGAAGACGACTTCGTAGTAGATGACACAAGTTACAAGCCTAGAAAGTCAAAAGTTGGTGCAATGGTCCGATCGAACTTGTTTTCAGGTATGAGATAGGGCAGAGTTGCTTGGAATGTATGTAATCTTCTGCTGTTGTAATATTCTGCTATGGACTGGAGGTGGTGAGATTGCTCCATTACGAAACAAATAGGAACCGAACACCACGTAATCTGATATCACATGACACACATTCAACATCGAAACACTTTGGAAATTTTAGTCATACAGCCATCTCTATGAGGTAAAGTTTGCACTTAATACTTATAATGTAGTTTATAAAACCAAATTCGGCTAAGAAGCCCTGTTTGAAATTTTATTTTGTTGTGCTAATCGTCCTTTCATGCAGATTCTATACAAAAACTCTTCTGGACTTAACGACCCAAGTAAATGCTGGACCAAGCAGACTTCTAACCCAGATCAATGCTCGTTCAATACAATATGCGTATAGTACACCTAAAAGTCAAACGTCTATCCAAGTATCTCCGGTACCTCCGTCTTCATCCTTCGTACCTCGAACGGAACCACTGGGTCAACCATTCTGTACACACCCATTTGCATGGGCTTCGATTGATGACTGTTTGCCACGCGGATATCATATTTAAGGAGGATGTGAGCCATGGCGAGTTTAAGTTCGTTGTTGGCAAAATAGCGTCCAGGACAGGTGTGGCGGCCACCACCAAATACGCTGTAGTCTGGGCCAGACTGGACGAATTGACTGAATTTGTCGCCCGCCTCGCGCTTGCGCAGGAAACGGTAACCGTCAAACTGCTCGGGGTTGGGATATCCGGCTGGGTTCCATAGATCTTGGCAATCGACCATGATATGTGAGCCACGGGGAAGCTTGTTGCCATCGGGCATTGTCAGATCTTTCAAAGCTACGCGTTCGAGCCCCACTAGATTGGATACGTTAGCAATGGCATAGGATAGAACGAAAGCAAGCACGTACCGCAAGCAGCCGATAACCTTTGGGACTCTTTCAGAACACTATCCATCAAGACCATGTTATTGGTGGCAGCGACCGTGATACCATGTGTCGAAATCTGTTGCAAAATCTCTTGTTTCAATGGCTCAATGATGCTAGGATTGGAAGCAATATCGATCAAGACCTGCCGAAACAGCTCACTGGTAGTAAAAAGCGCAGCCATTGCCAGTGATAGCTGGATCTCGCCCGGATCCAATGTAGAGTCAGATACTGCTTGCGTCCATGTCAAGGCGTCGTTGTACTCCGGGGGAGCCCTGCCCTCGAGCTGTGCCTTTTTGATTTCTTTTTGCCTTTTTTCGAGCAATTCCTTCGTAATGACACGAGCCCGGGCCATATACTTTCGACAATTAGCTGCGTTTGGCAGAAACCTCTGTACAATGGGTCTCGTCCATGCGGGATAGGCGTGCAACTCATTGACTGCCGTGAAGAAAGCACCGACGTAGCCCTGGATAATCTCCAGCCATTCTGGGTCATCACACAATTCCGGGCCAATAAAGATTGAAGATGCTGCGCGTGAGATGATGCCCGTTGTGTCCTTTTGCCAGTCGATGGGATGCCAGTCCTCTCCCTCCCCGAAGTGAATCTGCATGGCTTTTGCCAGACTAGCATTCACGGTTGGCATTATGCTGTCATTTTGGCCCAACTTGGTTCGAACCATGTCCAAAAGCAGGTCTCCACGCGAGTGCAATGCATCCTGCACCTCAAACCCCGGTAGCCCAGCATAGAAGTCTTGCCGGACAAGCTCTCGATGGTCGAGGTCTTTGTTGGACTTGACCCAGGCAGTAAGCGAGGCTGGTAGGATAATTTTTTCCGCATTGGGGGCGCGGAGGGTAATGGGGCCTTTATGTTTTGCGAGGCCTTGGGCGATTAATGACTCAGCATTCTGGCTATACTCGCGATACGCTTTGCGGTTAAGAAAGTCGCCTGGGTATTGGTTGACAGGGGGGAAGGGTGATCGTCGTCTTGAGCGGAATAGGTACGTGCTAGCCAAGATAAATACCAATGTCCAAGTGCGGAAACCGAAAAGAAAGTCGAACGACATTTAGGAAATATAGCATTGGTCAGTTAATATAGAATAGACAACGGTGAATGATGTTTATCCAAAGGAGGTGTAAAGCAGCTTATATGGCGACTATAAATCTGTTCAAAGACCAAAGTAGAGTGCGATTTACTCAAAATGAGTCATTATGAATAAACATACATGGGTTATTAGTACACTGGATACACAGGGGGCTTCCGGTGGGGCCGCAGTAAAGGGATGATCAGTTTCCAGTTGAACTTTTTTTGTTCTGTGCGTTAACGAGATCGCGCCAACAGGTGGGTGGTCTGAAACGGACCGAGACACTCAATGAAGACTGAAATGTGCCATGGGACCATCCCATTGGGGATATGTGTTGAGGTGCTGCCACTCTGGGTGGATTTCTTCTTGTGCGAATTTCGGATGGTCAAGGATCAACCTCCGATAAAAGCTCCATCGCTGATGTATCGTCCTTTCGGATAAAGCGCCTTGGCATAAGCTCCAACTTCGACATCTTCGACAAGGAAACTGAAAGGCCTGTTGCTATGCTAGAATAACAAAATTAAGATTTCAGAGCACTGAATGTCCAAGTGAGCTCGATCGGGAATCTGGGTACGTGAATAATCAATGAATTTCTTGTCGTCCAGCTAGGTCGAGCCCATTTACACCTGTTGAACTTCCAACACTGCTAGGAATCGTCTTTCTGCCGAAAATCAGGTTGAAAGTAGACGATACAGGGTTTATGGACATCTCAATTTTGTATACTCCTGAATTTGTAGGTACCTTGTTAAAAACCGATCACCTCAGGCGTCACCGCAAGACCAAGACACTCTCAGTTTAACCTTTTCAGTCTTTGCCTGCTCGGTTTCCAAGCTCGGTAGCATCCTCAGTATAATTCACAGAGTGCTTTCGCTGCTCCTCTTTCATGCTCGCTTCAACATCCCGGATACGTTGCTCAGCTGACACATCTCCAAAGAGAATATCGATTTCTTCCAGACTCTTGCCCTTGGTCTCTTTGATGAAGAAAGTAGCAAAGACGCCCATGGCAAGGCAGAAGATTCCAAACATCAGGAATGTCCTCCAGCCGATGCCGTTGACTGCGGCCGGGGTAATTTTGGTGATGACAAAGTTGAAGAGCCACTGGGTCGATGCACCCATTCCTACGCCATAGGAACGGAGACGGGTCGGGAAGATCTCTGAGAGATAGACCCATGGAACTGGGCCCCATGAGGCTGAGTACCCAATGACATAAAGGTAGATCATGGCTGCCATGGCCATGGATGCAGAGCTGACAGAAGATGCGCTAGGATCTGGGGGATGGGTTGCGAGCACTGCTCCAATGATAAACATCATAGACGCCATCCATAACGCACCAGCCATGAGAGACTTTTTCCGGCCGATAAAGTCGATGCCTACGATGAGGAAAATTCCAGTCGTGATGACTTTGACCGTACCGTAGATACCAGTCGCGAATAACGAAGCATTGGACTTGGATACACCGATCGCTTGGAAAATTTGCGGTGCATAGTAACCTGGAGAGTTAGTGAGTCTTTTTGAATCAGGACACAGAACACTTACCAATCGAGTTTGTTCCACTAAATTGCTGCCAGAACATGAGAACAAATCCGGTTATGAATCGATATCGGTTGCCGGGGAGAAGACACTCTTTCCATGTAATTCCCTCTGTTTGATTCAGCTCCTCTTCAACCGCTGCGCGGATCTCGGCCAGTTCCTGCTGTATCTCTGGGTTGTCGGGTGTTTCGCAGCGAATGAAACACAGAGAATCGACAGCCTCTTCATGCCTTCCTTTGGACATCAACCAACGGGGAGACTCCTTTAGAAAGCATAGTCCGAGTAGCATGAACCCACCGGGAATAAGCTGAATCGATACAGGAACTCTCCATTGCTTGGTGGTGCTAGGCATGTGTAGGTTCACACCGTATCCGAGCCAGTAGGCGAATGTGCTGCCGATGACGAGGAATTCTTGGAAGAGTCCTGTTATGCGTCCTCGGACGGCTGGAGGAGCGCTCTCAGATACGAACACGGGCGTGATCGAAGACATCCCTCCAATACCGAGACCAGCAATGACGCGACCAGCGTAGATCAATCCGATTTCGTGGTGGGCACCCGTCTGGATGGCAGCACCGATGAGGAAGACCAAAGACAAGCCCATGAGAGAGTACCGTCGGCCGAAGCGCTCGTTAAGCCATGCGGCTCCGATGGCACCGAAGAAGCATCCTGCTGTAAGCAGCGACACCACGTTGGAAGAGACTGAGGCGTTTTTCGAGTCGGCGAAGCCAGACGAGTCTGTCGGTAAGCCAAAGTCCCTTTTGAAAGACTTGAGCGCAAGAATGCTGCCCATGACTCCAGTGTCGTAACCTGTTGTGACATCAGCTTCGTGTTGGATGCGACTAGGGGTTTGTGGACGCACCGAAGAGCAGCGAGCCCATGTAGGCAACGCCCGTCAGCAGGTAGACTCTGCGGTTCTTGAAGAATGTGGACGGCATCTTGGCTATCGTCGCAGCTCACTGGGTTGACTGGCTTGCCTGAAGAAAGGGAGAGGTCGGCTTTTCTATGGCAAAAGCCTGAGGCCTGTGTGGCGGCATCGGCAAGCGTTTCCCCCCGGCATCTACGTCGCTATCGTCTAGAGGAATGTTGCCGACCCCAGACTCCACCTTTGGTGGCTGTTGGGGGATGGCGATCTCCGCAGACCCAATTTTTCTGTTCTTCCACCAGTCATCGGCTGCTGCCTTCTATGAGCGTCTGGAGTAAACCACAAGGGGTTTGTCGTAATTTTGTGGGCGTGGAGCCATTCCCACTGGTCGTAAGCAGTCTCATGGTATTCTCAGCAACCCGACGACGCCATGTGGCGCAAATGTATAGTAACAAGCCTTGCCCAAGCCATGTCTTACGAGAACGCCCCGATGCTTGTTGCTGCGGAGCGAATGCACGCGCTGAGCCTAGTGCATCATCCTGAGTGGCGGGCTTTCTGTTTATCAGCGGATAAATTGGCTTCGTGGAGATCTCGAACGTCCTGGCTGCCAACAGAGGTAAGGCTCGAATGCTTAGGCCCCTTTGGCCTTCCGCAGGCTCATTGGTAGGTATTGCTCTCCTTGCAATTGGAAAGACTCAAGATGGGCATGTGAATGACTCGTGCTGAAGTACAGGCACAGGCGAAAATCCATATCACCCGGACCATGCAGTGGCTGGCCTGGCAACAGGCAGACCGCCACCAACACGATTCGAGCGTCATAGCGGGAGTGCATAATCACGACCGTGATAGTGAATACGAGGTGTTGCAGGATCCCTGCGTGTGGCATGACGGAACGATGGTGGTCTCCTCGCACAACCCTTTGCTCCGTTCGATTTGGTCTTGCCTGGGGATAGACTTGACCAAGTCTCGATACTCGTGTCACGTTGACCTCAACACAAGAGGGCATGTTTTTTGTTGGTTCTGTCCTCTGTTCGACTCACTGCGGAAAATAAAACATGTGGCGCAGCCAGGTCAGCCCCTCAGCGACACTCGCCACATATTCCAGACCCGCGCCAGCCGCGACAGCAAGTCAAGTGTTGCCTTCTGGCGTTGAGCCCTCGTTGGATGAAAGTCACCGTGATCGACACTTGACCAAATTACCCAAACAGGAAATAAAGGATTCGGACTTGAAACTTCACGCACTGAGTGCTGGTTCCTTTGAGTGAGCGTTAGTGCTATCGCTTGTGATGGTACGTATTGGATGATACATGTAAGGAAGATAGAATGTCGCCGTCATGTCGTGCCATGGATGCGAAAAGTAATGATAGAAGACCGTGACTCAAGGAAGAGGGCCAAGAGTCACAGAAACGTGTCCACGGCAACTAGAAAGTGATGTTAGCTTGCTATAACAGTAAGATCATTCCATAGCTCACCTCGCATCTATAATGGGGCCCCGTTGATGTGGGTGTCAGCATCGACGTCGACATCTTCGCCATCTTTGTTCATGGGCTACGCTCATAACCCACTGCATATTCCAACGAGACACATGCAGCAGCACTGTACCATGAACTTTGAAAGTGTACTCAAAGCTGCTGTTAGCTCTTGGTAATGAGACTTCCGATGTTTATCATGTGATTTTTGCCAAGGTGGCAGTCCGAGCATGCATCCATCTTCATGGGAATCGCGCCAATGACCAGAGCAACCAACCCAAAGATCAAACCAGGGCAGAATAAATCTGGTCAAAGATCCCCATGTAGGACGGGATCACAGGGATAGGCCCTGATAGTTACGACTTCCATCATCAAGGTACGGCGTAGTCATCTGCCCCGCAGCCTCGCAGGCCTTTCTAATATAAATTTCTTTACTTGTTTGTGCGTTGCAGATATCTTCTATTGCTTAAATCCGAAGGCATTGCGTAATCTTGAAGCCAAGAAAGCAATCTCGGAATCTAATATTGACGTTGGGAATGTTCGGAGTAGTGGCCTTATTCCGACGTGCATGGATACACTAGCCAACGGTGTCGTTGGGCGTGCGGGGCATGCCCAGAAGGGCCTTGACAAAAGGGCGGTCCGCTAGATAACCTTTTCACCGATAGGGCGTGCATAAAGATGCACATGTAGGGTGTTGTCAACGCCTAACACGCTCTCAGTGCATTTGTAAGGTGGCATCGCTGGCGTTGTCGTAGGCTGCCAAGCACCACTCTACTAGATGTAGTATAATATTCCGGGCCACAGCTTGCAATTGTGATGTAAAATGTTTGCGGACTGGTCAAGTACCAGAATCTTCTCCCTTATAACTGTGAAGATTTTTCTAGAGTCTGGATTCATACTGTGGACGCTTGACGCAACCTTAACCTTTCGATAGACCATCAGATTTTTCGCAGGAGATAAGAGAGGGCGAATTGGCACCAGTATGGATCCAGTCGCGAACCCAACAGTTCAGATGCAGAACATGCCGAGCGATGGAAGACCGTATACAGAGCCCGAGGAGATTTGGGATCCACTGCGACGAACAGTGTCGAAATTGACGGGTCGATCGAGGATGGAGACGGAAGCTGAAAAGAAATCTTCCCATCAGGAAGCAGAGATTCGATCCCATGCACCCACACGATCGCATCGAACTCGGCCTATAGATGAACTGGATGAAGAGTCTGGAATACCGGTTGTCGATGCTGAAGACGACTTCCCCGAGGGCGGGCTGCGCGCATGGCTCGTTGTCGTTTCAGCATGGCTGGCTCTATTTCCCTCCTTTGGCTTCATGGTTTCGATAGGTACGCTGCAAGACTATTGGGGCCAGCATCAGCTATCACATATGTCGGCGCGAGATATAGGCTGGATTCCATCCGTGTTTGTCTATCTGACGCTTGGACTGGGCATCTGGGTAGGACCGCTATTCGATCGATATGGACCCCGATGGATCGCACTGACGGGAAGCATGACATTCCTGATCATGATCTTTCTGTTGGCCGAGTGCGATAAGTTCTGGCAGATGATGCTTTGCTGTGGCGTCCTGGGTGGCTTCTCTGGCGCAGCACTGACTACTACGAGCTTAGCAGTAGTCGCGCATTGGTTCAAAGAGCGACGGGCTCTCACACAAGGTATCGCCATGATGGGTAGCTCTGGGGGCGGTTTGATCATTCCCCTGGTGCTGCGGACAACTCTCCCAAGATACGGATACGCCTGGTCGCTGCGCATTATTGGTTTCATGTTCCTGGTTTGTCTCATCATCGCCAATATTTTGATGAAAGCTCGCATTCCACCCTCAGCGGATGCGAAGAAGAAAGCCATCATCTCACTTTCAATCTATGGTGACCTCAGACTCAGCCTGTTCACGCTCAGTGTCTTCGGCTTCGAAGTTGTTCTCTTTGGAGGCTTGGGCATCATGCCGACATACGCCACGCTCAGCACAAACTTCGCGCCTGATACCGGATTCTATCTGATTGCAGTACTCAACGGAGTCTCGTGTCTTGGGCGTTTGCTTCCCGGATACGTCGCTGACAAGATTGGCCGCTTCAACACGCTCTTCGTCATGATCCTGTTCACGCTGCTGTGGATGCTGGTGCTCTGGTTGCCTCTTGGTACTACGTCGCTCGCAGCACTGTATGCTTTTGCAGCCCTCTTCGGATTTGGTACAGGCTCTTGGATGGCCCTTACACCTGCATGTGTCGGACAGTTATGCAGGGCAGAAGAGTTTGGCCGTTACTATGGAAGTATGTATTTCATTGCTTCTTTGGCAACCCTCGTCTGTATTCCGATTAGTGGTGAGCTTGTGCAGTCGGTTGGACCTCAGCCAATGGTGGCCTTCTTTTGCGCTGTTCTTGGGTTGAGTTTGGTGAGCTTTCTGTTTAGCCGATGGGCCTGTATAGGAAGGCGATGGGCGGTGAAAGTGAAGGTGTAGATGGCTGCCCCAATCGTTGGTAAATCCATTCACAAATAGTAAATTGACGATGTAAAATCGGAAAATCTTGAACAACGGCGTGACATTGCTAAGTTGTACCAAGGAAAGTTGTATCAATATCTTTTAGCAGCTCAGTAGTTATGGGCTGTCAATGCAGCAGGCATTCCACACATATGTGAACCAATCATTCACTGCAGGTGTTCGCACCTATTCGCTCGATGGTCCAACCTTTCTCCATTGCTTCAAGTTAGTTGAATCAAACAGCCCTACCTTTTCTTCGGCCCAGCAGTGCAAGAAGATGGCGCCATCTCCAGTTTCAGGGACGTATATACTGAATGAGCGCACAGCAAGGCCGTTTCATGTTGGCATGAAAGCCTTTGAGAGATATGTGTGAGGAAAGAGGAGAGGTGCAAGCAGGGAGGCACCACCCAAGGTGGTCCTTGCCCCGCCAAGCGGTTTGCGCCATCGCTCCGTAAAGAGCGACAGACACCTACCCCAAGCTTCCCTCTTCCTCCAGAGATGCAGATACCCAGCGCCTTCGATACCAGCCTATGATGCGGATAAGTATTTCGTATTTCTCATTATGCATTGCGTTTTGGAAGAAATACGCTGAGCGGACCTCATGATGAAGGGGCGATGGGATGGCAACATAGAGCCTACGACGTGGCATGTCTAGCCAGACAACGCCATCAGAGAGGATAAGTTTTCCACACCCAACTCACAAAACAGGGCCCAATGGCATGCTCCAGCCTGCATATACATACCAACACAGAGCAATACCTTCACTCAATCGCGCCCATCCAAGTAGTAAGTCTTTCCTTTGTGGAACTGGTCTTCTTCGCCTACTCTGCTCGAATGATGAATATTCAAAATCACAAGTTTCAAGTCGGATCTGAGAGGTTTTCACGGACCTCCTTGAACGAGTATTTCCATACTAAACGAGTTGCTTCTCTTGCGAATGACGCATCCTCATTAGCATACTTGGCTGACAAGCAAGCAGGCAATCACAGGGAACGGCGCATATAACAATGATGGTTCATAGCACGCATTCAATATACCTTTTTGTCTTCAGCGTATTCCCTTGTCCCACCTCCCATAAAAAAGCGAAAAGAAACATTGGCAGGACTTATTGTACAACAAGGGAACAGAAAATAACGCGACCAAAGGAGCAGACGAAAAAAAGACCCGACCGAAAGCGCCGCCGCCGTCAGTGCCAATCCATCCACCCATTGCCGTTACTTCATTTCGGTTCTCGATTGTTATTTTCTGCTCTCGCCCACCAACTTGGCCCAAGTGAACGCCGCGTTAAACAGTGTCCGACTCCCATGCACGTTTCAAGGGATTTGAAACTAAAAGGCGGGAATGCATTTGTCGATGCTGAAGCTCGCAGGATCAGAGGCCAGAGGCATGTATTGGCTGTTTAAGCCTTGTTCCTGCCACTCCGGCGCGGCGTGCCGTCAGCAGTGGCGGCTTTTTTGGGTTCCCTCTTCTTTGCGGGCTCCTTCTTCTCCTTTTTGGGACGGCCACCCTTCTTGGGCGCTGGCTTGGCCTCGGCTTCATCCTTACCTTCACCCTCAGGCGCAGCCTCGTCGGTTTTTGCCTTCTTTTCGGCGGGCTTCTTAGCATCAGCATGGCTGTCGGCACCATTGGTCTTCTCGGGCAACTCGTCGGCCTTGCGCTTGTCGCCAGCCTTGGGCTCGTCCTCTTTGGCATCAGCTTCCGGTTTCTCGTCAGCCTTGTCCTCTGCTACCTTGTCCTTATCGTCTTCTTTTGACTCCTTGGACTCCTTGGACTCTTTGGGCTCGTCTTTGGATTCTTCTTTGGAATCGCCATTTGTTTGAGCTTCCTCCTCCTTCTTCTCCTCGGCGGCAGGCGCGTCCTTCATTTCCTCGTCCTTCTTCTCGGATTCAGCCGGCTTCTCGTCGCCTTTTACCTCCGCTTCTACCGGCTTTTCGTCTGGCTTTTCAGCCTCTTCCTTTTTCTCTTCCTGCTTCGAGTCGCCGTTGGCGCCTTCGGCTTTCTCGTCAATCTGGAGCTCGGAAGCGCGCTTCACGACATCGTTGCCTGACCTCTCGACATGAACTGCAGGGTTTTCAGGATCGGCATTTTTCTTGATGGTGTTACCCTTGTTAGACTCAATGGCAATCTCGCCCTGGTCCTTGACCTCGGCAACGGTGCCGCTGGGTTGTCCTGAGCCCCAGTTCCACGAGACTGATAAAAACGCGTCAGCAATCGCATTCCGTATCCTCTGAGATGTCATGTTTGATGCGACAAATACCAGGTGAACGCGCCGGGATGCGCGAGGGATGCGCGTTCGTGAGCGCATTGCGCATGACGGGACGTGGCAATGCGCCGGCGCCAGCTCAAAAGCTGCGCGGTCACAGGAGGAGGGGAATACGCGTACCTTTGTCTCCTTGCTGGATCTCTGTGCCAGTCATTGTGTGTATCACGCGGCTTTAGAATGGCAGGTGGTGGTATGAGATGACGTTATGCAGCGCAAAATGGCTTCTGGCGTCGCAGAAGCGGGGTAGCAAGGAAAAATATGCGCGTTGGGCTCGAAACGATGCTTGGGTAAGTAGAGAAGATGGGTTTGTAGTGGTTAGAGACGCGACGTGAAGATGAGAGAGAAAACGGAGGAATGGACGTCAGGGCCCTGGGTGCTGGGAAGTGAGCTGCAAGACCGGTAGCTGTGAAGCTGGGCGCTGATTGGCCAGTCGGGCCCACACGCGTACCATTTCATGGGGAAGGTGGCTGGCCGATCGGGCCACGGCGTCATCGGCCAGTCTGTGCGCCGTTCGCATCGCCCAAGACATCCCTGTCCTGCCTTTTTTTGCTGCGTTTTTGCGCTGAAGCGCAGATTCTAGAAGCCCACCGAAGAAGGAGAGCGAGCCAGGCGACGCTGCACACCACAGAGAACTCGCCCTCTACGGCTGTATGCGTTCATTTTTTCCCTCGAAATCCGAACCCAGTCCAACGCGCGTTGTCTACTGCGCAGCCGCATCCCATCGCTACATAATACGGCTACGTATATGGCCAGGCGCTATGGCCCCGTGCTCCCCAGCGCAACCTTCATTTCGCCCACTCTCTGGCCGTGCTCATAATCAAAAGCCTGAATGAGTCCTACGAGATGGCTTGCGGCTGCCAGGACGACCAGCACATGGAAGATCTGGTGGCTAGAGCCCCAAATGTCGTATTTTCCTGGACTCCACTTCTCGGGCACCCTGGCGGCATAGATGGCAGCACCGCTAATGTACAACACGCCCTGCAGCAAGACCCAGTTCAGTCCAATGCTCTTGCGCAGGTGCTGGACTCCATACAGCCGAGCCCCGTGAAGGACGGGAAACACGGCGGAGAGGCCCATGAGCACAAACATGAGCGCTCGGAACGGCCTCAGAGCCGGCGTGCGGAACTTGGGATGCGTCGACACAACCGATGTCCCTGCCGCCAGCGTCGTAATCATGGCCCAATATGTTTTCCTCAGCTCGGGCTCATCTCGGAAGGCATAGTACAGCACTGGCACAAAGCTCCCCCATATCAAAAACACGATGCCCAGATAGTCCAGCTTGTTGCCCCATACTGCTACCTCGTGCGAATGGTTCTGAATGGTATGGTACGTGCCGCTCATACCGAGACAGGCCACTGCTCCGGCAAAGTAGCACCCGAATGCCCATACGTCCTCTCTTGTTGCTGTCTCGTATCGCGGTTCCAGTATGATGTACAGAGAGATGCCGGCCACGACTGCCAGCAGGGCGCCGACGAGATGGGTGTAGATGTTGACCGTTTCGTTGTGCAAGTATCCAAGGCTCTTCCACGACTTTGAGTAGGAATTTGACGGTGCTCGGTAACCAGATCGAATGTAGTGGTTGTCCTGCTGCCACGGCGAAAGCTCATCCCATACGAGTATGAGCTTTTCCTCGACCCTTTTCTCTAGTGTTTTGCTGGCATCTGCCACCTTTGAGGCTGCTTCCTCGACCTTGTCCATGGCGTGCTGCGGAGGGGGAGCCTGAAGTAAATTAGAAGATTATCGAGTGTTGGGAATGCCAGGTTACTTACCTTGGGGACTGCTCGAGCCAACTGCCTACTATACTTCAGGGACCATGGGCAGGCTATGCCTCATTCAGCGAAAACAACACATGGCCTTCTGGCCATTTCTCCAAGAATCAAACCCCCAACAGACGATGAATGGCATCTGCTGCCTAGATCGCGCCGTCTCGGCAGGGCGGCGGCGTGGCCCACGCGTCGTCGAGCTCGGGCGCTTGCCCCTCCATCCCACCTTGCGTCCGTAAGTACTTACCTCTTGCGTCGCCCGACTGCTTTCACCCAAGCCTACCATGGGTCGCAATACCTCTCAGCAACGACCCAGGCCGACGCTGAGAACATCTCCCGGAGTGACGTGACATCTCTCCACCCCCTGTCACTATATCCATTGCCGGCATGAAGTCCACCGACCCCGTGCGTCCCAGCAGCCGTCGCGCTGCCTCTGGCGCATGGAACCGCCTCAAGCCTGTCCGCGAAGACATTCTCGAGACATATGGGCTGCCCAGCAAAGGCGAGACACGGTACCATGTCCTCAGCCTCATGTTCGGCAGCAGATGCTTATAACGCAGGCTCAATGACTTCAAGACACAAGAAGTCTACTTCAACCGCATTACCGAGCGCTACATGAAGCTCTGTGCCCTCAACCGCGAAGAACTGGACCGTCTGTTCGCCTCAGTCAGCATACCGCCAGCAGCTCCGGCCGATTCAAAGAGCAGCGATGCCACCTCCAAGCTCACAAGCTCCTTCTCCTCGCTGTCTCTCTCCAAACACGCCCCTCCCGAATACCAGAACACCAGGCCGCCTCCGCTCACTACAACCTCTACCTCGGCCTCGGCCCCTGCCTCTACACACTCGATACCACAAAAGGCTTTTGCGCCCTCGATCCAGGAGCTAGCTACAGTACTCGCGTCCCTTCGCAAGCTCCGTGAGGCCATCACAGCCTCAAGCCGGTCCGACGCCTTTGCCCTACGCGCCTACACTTTTGCCATCCACGTCAGCGTCCTGTGCCATGACTGGGCTTCATATCTGCCATCGCTGCTCTCCCTCCTCAACACAATTCACCCGCGGAACCCCCTGCCCCCTTCGACGCTCCATGAATTCGTCGGCCTCCTGATCCTCGACCAAGCGTGTCGCCAATCGGATTTCGCTGGCGCCCGCCAGACGAAGCTGCAATATGGCTACAAGGACTGGAGAGTCGAGACTGTGCTCAAATGCCTGGTTGCCGATGATTTTGTGGGGTTTTGGAGGGTGCGTAGGGCTGTAGATGGGTACCAGAGGAGTGTTATGGAGTGGGCGGATGGCGGAGTCCGAGTTCATGCGCTCAAGTGTTTGGGAAAGGCGTATCTGAGCGCCGATAGGGCGTTTGTCGAGCGGGTGACTGAGAGGCGGTGGGAGGAACTGGTGCAGGAGGGCGTGGGGTGGGAGTTGAGTGCTGATGGCGAGAGAGTGATTATCAAAAAGCCAAAGGTGGCTTGAGCAACTGATATGCATCTGTACTTTCAACCCATGTATGGGGCATGGACGTGATGGCAAGCGTCGACCGGGGTATCATTAGACTTTTTACATCAAACCACATCAATCACTCGTCCATTTCCTCGTCCTCATCTTCGTCGTCCTCGCCCTCGCCCGCGTCCGCTGCATCCTGCCAAACATCGTCATCCATGTCGTAATCGTCAAAGTCCTCCATCTCCTCGTCCTCCTCTCCCTCCTCTCCTTCCTCAGCAGTCTCCGCCTTGGCAGCCTTTTCCTTTTTCTTCCTCTCAATGTTCTCGCGCTGGATGCGTCTTCGCTCCTCCTTCTCCTTGTTTCGCTGTGTCCACCTCTTTTCCAATTCTTTTTCTTCGGCCTTGGTCTTGGTGATGAATTCGTGCCAGAGCACCTTGCCGCCGCAGACATCTTCTTCGACTTTGGTCAGGCGCAGCTGCATGCGGGGGCCGAGCTCAATGAGCTTGACGGCGCGCTTCTCAACACGCGGTTTGGAGCCACGGGCGCGGGCGTGCGAGGTGGCGTCGCCGGCTTTGAGCTTTTCCTTCTCACGTCGCGAGAGGACCTTTTGCCGCACGGGTGCTGTGACTTCGACCTCGGCATCCGTATCCTGTTCCGTGTCTGAGACGGAGGTGTAGCCGGCTGCTGAGGGGTCCAGCATGTAGTCTGCCACATCCTCGAGCTTTCCGAGATTTGGCAGTGCACTCTTCTTCTTCTCCCTGCTTCCGACGAGCTTCTCGGCGGCATATAGCCTTCGGATAGCCTTTGGTATTCCCACCTGCTTCGTCGTAATCGCATAGTGCCTCAGGCTAATGTTGATGGAGCCGGTCTCGCCTGAGGGAGCTTCTCGGTTGAGGAGGAGAACTCGTTTGATTGAATGGAGAGGCGTGGTGTGCGGCTGTATCGGCGGGAAAAGACCCTGGAACATGTCCGTCACAAGCTTCTCGAGATGCTTTGGTGGCGCCTTTTCTCCCAACCTCTCCCTCTCGCTGTCGCTGGTCAGGAAGTTGTTCATGACTAGCAGCGGCGCAACCAGGTAGTCGCTTGCGCCGGACCGTGGACGCTTCATCGCCTTGATAATATCTTTGCAGAGAGAGTAGTTTTCCACACGGAAGTGGAGCGTAGGGCCTCGTGGCGTGCGCGCGAGCCGAAGGTTCGTATTGCCGCTCTCTGATCTCGAGAAGAGAAGCAAATGACTAACACCTAGCGGACCACACATGACCAGGTAATCCTACAAGTCGTCAGGGCCAAGCCAACAGAACGTGCAGCTTGTAAGAGAACCTACCTTGAGCTTGTTTGCGCGCCGCTCCTTGAGCCTAATGGCTGTATCGGGTTCCAAGCAATGCCTGACATCGTTGACCAGGTCTGACACGGATTTTCCTACTCTGAAGTTTGTGAGCGACCTGACGGAGGCTTTTGCAGAAGCCCACTCACTCTTGTGCTCCAATGCGAATCACCATCGACTTAGGGCCCGCTACCGACTTCTTGGCCAACTCCTTGTCCTTTGCCGACTGCTTCTTCCTCGCACTTCCTCTTCCACGGGCCATTGCGACGGCTCAATCGGTCGTCCTTGCTCTGGGCTATAGCTTCAAAGCTGAGCTTTGTCTCGAAACCGAGTTCGTTTCCGTATCGCAGGTCTCGGGGGATCGGACGGCCAAATTGTGCAGATGTGCACAGCAGTTGCTGGTTCGTGGGATCGACTGGGGGCGTCGTCAATGTGGTGAAGATGGCTCTCTGTCGCGCCCAGTCGCGGACTGGAAACTTTTCTGTGGGTCCGACCCGCTTTGCCAAGATTTCGAAAGTTCATGGTCCCGACAAGTCGGAATCACCTCGACTTGCGCACGACTTTTCAGAACTCATTCTTCACAGCAAAATGCCCGGCTTTGCGAAAAGAAAACGGAACGAGGACGCGCCCGCCGCGGTAGCTGCGTCGTCTTCGAAGAAAGTCCGACCGTCGAATGCGCCCGCGAAGAAGGCTGCGGCGAAGCCAGCACCACCGCCAGAGCCCGAGTCCAGCGATGACGACGAAGAGGAACAAGAGGAGGATGGTTCAGACAGTGCTGGATATCAGAGTGCTGCAAGTCACCCTGCATCTGAGGGAGAAGCGGATGCTCCTACAGCTGGTGCAGACGAGGCGAAGAAGACGTTCGCTGACCTAGGCGTACGAGAAGAACTTTGCGATGCCTGCGAAAACCTCAAATTCAAGAACCCGACGCCCATTCAGGCCCAGGCTATACCTCTAGCGCTTGAGGGACGCGATGTCATTGGACTTGCTGAAACGGGATCTGGAAAGACAGCTGCATTCGTCCTCCCCATCCTCCAGGCGCTGCTGGAGAAACAACAACCACTCTTTGGGCTGATTCTGGCGCCGACGCGAGAGTTGGCATACCAGATTTCACAACAGGTGGACGCTCTCGGCAGCATCATCAACGTCAAGTGTGCGACGCTGGTCGGAGGCATGGACATGGTCCCTCAAGCCATTGCTCTGTCCAAGAGGCCTCATATCATCGTTGCCACGCCCGGTAGGTGCAGTATTCATACGCTCTAACACAAACTAACAATCGCAAGGACGTTTACTCGACCACCTGGAAAATACCAAGGGCTTCTCCCTGAAGCACCTCAAGTACATGGTTCTCGACGAAGCCGACCGATTGCTCGACCTTGACTTTGGCCCCGTACTGGACAAGATCTTGAAGGTTCTCCCTAGGGAGGGACGGCACACATATCTGTTCTCAGCTACCATGAGCAGCAAAGTCGAAAGCCTGCAACGAGCTGCCCTGCAAAATCCCGTCCGCGTGAGCATCAGCAGCTCATCGCACCAGGTTGTTTCGACGCTGCTCCAACGATACATCTTCCTCCCACACAAGAACAAGGACCTGTTCCTCATCCATCTCTTGAACGACAACATTGGCCACCCCACCATCATCTTCACCCGTACCGTCAACGAGACACAACGCATAGCAATCCTCCTCCGCACTCTGGGCTTTGGCGCTATTCCTCTTCATGGTCAGCTTTCGCAGTCCGCCCGTCTGGGTGCGCTCAACAAGTTCAAGTCCAAGAGTCGTGACATTCTCGTAGCCACCGACGTAGCAGCCCGTGGTCTGGATATCCCCGCTGTCGATCTCGTTGTCAACCTCGACCTGCCCAGTGATTCACAGACATATGTTCACCGCGTTGGCCGAACAGCACGTGCCGGAAAGTCGGGTAAGGCGGTTTCCTTTGTCACACAGTACGATCTAGAGATCTGGCTACGCATTGAAAACGCGCTCGGCAAGCAAATTCCTGAAGAAGTCATCAACAAGGATGAGGCAATGGTATACATGGAGCGAGTTAGTGATGCACAGAGGATAGCAGTCAGAGAAATGAAGGATCTCCACGAGCAGAGGGGTAAGGGTGGCCGCGGAGGTAGAGGTGGCGGTCGGGGTCGCGGCGAAGGCGGAAGAAGAGGACGTGACCAAATGGATGCGGAGGAAGGTTAAGACGGAGACTATATTCTTCGTGCATGCCTTTGGAGTTTGGTGTTTCCGTGTATACCCTGCAAGCTGCGCGATACTGTCAAGTCTTGGAGGAGATGGAAGTCTCGGCCAGGCGCGAAAAGTTATGTCTGTTGTGATGTTTTGGCGGGCGAGCGATTTGTGTTGGTAATGATATGCAGGCATGTTACCTTTACATCTTGTGTCACCTGACTATGCATTCTCATGCCGCTCCTTCCATTACAGGACGGTTACGTCACAAGCTACCGAGCGGTAGTGTCGAGGAAGTCACAATCAAAGCTTCCTTCTGCTCCTGCTGTACTACGTAATCGCCCGTCCACAACAACAAAGCTTTCACTCCCCTTCACTCTATCCACTTCCTACACACGCAGCTATATCGGCGCTTCCCCATTTCCCCTCTCCATCTGCTTACACAGCTTTCCCAGCTCCTCAATGACAACTTGGTGGTCATCCCACTGCTTCAAGCCGCTCACGACAACCACGGCAACAGGGCCGTCACAGTTCTTGATGAACACGGGTACTCCACCGCCGTGGATGGCATAATCCTTTGCCGTCTCGCCCAGCCCCGACTTGGCCTTGAACGCCTCTTCGTCACCACCAAACTGGTTCTGCAGACGCCATGTACTGGCGTTGAAGCGGATGACGGCTGCGCGTTTCCGAGATACCCAGAAGTCATTGTCCAGCGCTGTGCCGGAATGCGTTACCTGTTTAGTTGTTAATACAACTGATTTCCTCGTTTCGCAGTCTGTCCCTGTCCAAGTAGTAGTGGGAATGGGTACTGACGGCGTGGAAAAGCACATGGGGCGGTGTGCTGATGGTGGAAATATCGACAACAGCAGGTCGCTCTTGGGTAAGCAGCCTTGTGCGAAGGTTGTACCCAAGTTTGAAAGCAACGTCCGGGTTCCAGTATGGCAGGATTGAAGCCTTTTCCTGAGCCCTGATGGCTTCAACATCGCGGGGCGCTTCAGAGATGCCCACGTGCTGGGGGATCATCACGTCATCCGTTGCCATTGTGAGACTGTGTATCTTTTCCTTGGTGCTGAAAGTTCCTTGTAAAAAAAAGTTGATTTGAAGGGCAATGACGGAGACAAGGAAATATGGGATTCTCAAGATGCAGATGCAGATAATGGGGGAAAGGTGGGCAATCTGTGATGCAGCAGCACCCCTGTTGGGGATGGATAGGAAATTCCCATCAAATGCCGATGCCGCCCGTTGGGTGGCAGAGCCTTCATAATTGTGGTTCTGCGGCAAAGTGGAGGCTCCGCATTGTTGCGCCAAGGTAGGCAAGTACCCCACGATCATCGATCTTCCGCAGAGCCGCCTCTTACCGATTGCTAGAGAAATCTCGATGTAATGAGGAATGGAATCGCACGTACGAAATATTTCCGTTTTTGACTCTGCTGTGTCGAAGCTACATGGGATGCACTTTGCAGATGAAGAAAACAGACTTGATGGTTCAAAAATCATCCTAGTACCAGTTCTATATAGAATAAACACAAACATTGTTAGTGTGAACATGTCGAGTATCAAAATGATTGATTGGTATCATTGCGTATTAAACTACTAGCTTTCCCTGACCTTTCCAGTAATCATACAGAGCGTAATTAAGTATAGCTTATAAGTATCTACATGCGCGTTACACCGACACACGCTTTAGCCAGCCTGGTACAGACCGAGAGCAACAACATGAGGGTTGATCATGCTGAGGTTGAAGGGAGTCAGGAACGGGTCCGAGTCGGTCAGGGCAAGGAACATGGTATCGTTGGCGGCTGGGTCGCCCTGGTAGACCTCGCTGGCAGGCTGGTACGTGTATCCAGTGTTGTTGCCGGTGATCTCGAGGGGCGTGTAGGTGAGGTTGAGCTGCGAGACCCAAGCGACAAAGGCGGGGGCGCCGGCAACCGTGTCGGTAATGTAGGACATGTTAGGGCCGACGGGCTTGCCGGGGTTCTCCCACGTCAGGTTGACAAGCTTGCCGGGGAAGGAAAGGGGCTCGCTGCGATTGCGGGCAACGGCAGGGCCACAAGAGTATCCGGGGTGCTCGGTGCCGTTGACGTTGACACAGCTCTCACCAGGAGGGATGGTCGAGTCTGAAGGGTCCGAGGGGCGGTCGCCAGCAACCTCGTTGGGCTGGGTGTCGTTAGGAGAGAAGCGGTTGGGGTTGGGCTGGTTGTCAATGAACAGAGCTGGGAAGTTCTGCCATGCGAGGCGAGTCGTGTTCTCCGGACAGGAGCTGATGTACGGGGCGAGGTAGGTCCATTGCCATGACTGAGGAATGCCAGTCTCGAACCATACGGGCATGGGAGGAAGGCCCATCATCTGGCGGAAAGAGATTTGTTGGCGGGCCTCGGTAGCAATCGACTGGGATAGGAGGTTGGCAACCTCACGAGCGTCGAGGTGGGCGAGGAAACCCCAGACACCAGACTCACCCCAGCGGGTGACCTTCATGTTGAAGTCGAGAAATTCGCGGACAGTGCGGAATGGGTAGTTGTACGTGCACTGGGGAGGAGCAGTCTCGCCAAGCATGTTGGTAAGAAGAGTGGCATGGCCAGTTTCCTGGATAGCCATAAAGGCAATGTAGGCACGGTCCTCAGCAGTAAGACCAGCGTCGAGGAAGTCCTGCTCGGAGAAGACGGCAAGACCGTTGTTGAACAGGTCAAGCTCAATCCATTCCTGGTACAGACCAAGGGTGATGGACTCGTAGTCAAAGTCGCTATTCACCATGTAGCGAGGTAGAGTACCGTTGGTGCCGAGTCCACCGGCCGGCATGTAGGGGATGGGCATTGGGTCCTGAGGCTTGCCATTGGTGTTGTAGTAGGTAGCAGTTGGGTTTGGTGGCAGTGGTGCTATGGCAGTACCAAGGGTAGTAGGCGCCTTTTCAGCTCCGGTAGTAGTGGGAGTGCCTGAGTAAGGGCCGTGGCTGGTAGCACCAGTCACGTCTGAGCTCCTGCGAGGAGGTGCTGAGCCGGGTGCGGTGGGTATGGCCTGAGGAATAATTAGCCGCGCTCAATGATTCATTAATATACAATATACTCACAGGAACCTGGGAGGCAGGGCCAAAGACTGTGGCCGGTGTCTCGGCTGGTTCAAAGGTGACCGAGAAGCTAGCATCCGCGTTGGTGTAGCCTGAGACGTTGCCATCTTGAGGCCTGGGAGCGGCCGCAGCGCATGCTGCAAGGATGGAGGTCGCGAAAAGGCTCTTGGTCAACATGTTGAAGAGGATTGTCGATTCGCAATGTTGTGCGGCTTGAAATCAGAGTGCCGCTCCCGTCGCTCTTATACAGATGCTGAGCATCAGTGACCACATCACTAACACGCAACTCGCCAACATTGTTGAATCAATGACCCTGCGGTATGTACCCCGAAGAGGCCTAGTATGCCATGATTTCATGACTGAGCAGATGCGGCAGTAACGGCCGCATTCATGGAGAAATGGGGCAGGGCATGTACTTTTCGGAATGCCATCGGGAAATCGGTGCGGACAAATCAAAGACGTCACCGGCGAAGATCGCATGCTCCATACTTTTGGGTCCAGTGAAAAATGCCATGTACGCAGCGTGAACGCGTGCCTGCAGGGGCTCAGATTTCAGTATTTGCCGCGTGCTAAGAACGTGACGACGCGATGACATGGTGGATCTCGAAGTTTTGAGCCGCTAGCGTATGCGCCCCGCAGACGGGTCGACAGCCACAACAAACGGAGTTGGTTCCAAGGTTTGGCGATCTTTTTGGGGGTGGTACAGCGTTTGATCGAAGACCCGATCCATGATTGATGCTGAGAAATCGGGCCCAGCTTTGGCCATTGTAGTCCGCGGAGCGTCTTCTCGCGTGGGCGCACTGGCGTTTGTCCACTCCTTTATCCACACCACCGTCATTTCGATCGCCTCATCCTATATATGCAAGGTACGGGTGCAGACAAATTTCCGCTTGGCTGCTGGTTGATGTGACCATGGGAGGGCGCCCTAGCTAACACGCCGGGTTTGTGAGTATGGAATATGGCTTTTACTAACAAGAAAAAACAATAGGCACATGTGCATGCGAGGTGTGCCAAAGAGACGAATTGAGATCTCCGAAGCAGCACGGGTAATTGTCGCCTTGGCTCTGGGCAAGGACTATGACGTTAGGTTTGCGCAACTCTTGCTAACACTAATGTATTGGTATAGTGGTGGAGGGAGAACATGGCGGTCACCGGCGAGACGATTATTGGAGGGAGTTTGTGCACAATGCAGAGTAACCTGGCAAAGGAGAAGGCGCGGACATGGATGCGTTCCTTGAAAAGTTGTCATTCGTTAACACTGAATCATTTTGCCCGCGACATCGGGCCCCAGTTTTCGCGTGGAGCCAGCTGGTAGCGGACGTATTTTCCCCTGTCATGGTCCTTGCCGAGCTTCTCGTCAAAGTTGACCTCGAACTTGGTGTTGAGGTAAGCAGGAAGTTTTGTCTCCGTTGTATCCGAACCATCAGCGACAATCTCCGCGTTGTCTGGCGCTGCTGGCGCCGAGGTGGCCGATACTTGAGCAGCCGTGTCTCGAGTATAGCCAGTTGAATTGGCCTTTTCCATTATAGCGTGGCCTGGGCTTCCTGTTTTGAGCGCATTCTTGAGCGGCGCTCGTTGCCGCACCCATTCAAGCATAATGTGCCAGATGTCTTTCCAGGATGCATCCGTTTTGATAGACCCAGGTTTGCAATGGCTCATAGTCACCCTGAATCCCGCGTGTCGGAGCGCACCACGCAGTGCTGCCAATGGCGGTGCGGAGCAGTGGACCACCTTGGCTACCGAACTGGGTATGAAAAAGAAAGGGTGGTGATCTAGCTCAGCAGGATCCGCTTTGGGAATCAGAGGATCTAGCACTTGCGTCTTTTGTGCGCCATTGGCCTTTTCCAGCTTCTCGCCAAATGTAATCTCCTCCAACGCAGTGTGCAGCATTCCCTCTATACGATCCATGGTCGGGTACGTCTGCCGGTCAACTTCATTCAGCTGCGCTAGTACTCTTTCGATGAAGCCAACGTTATGCAGCGGGCCACCGTACATGGGACCTGACAGGTGGGTCTTGTGGCCGCAGTGTTGGCAATGCTGGTCCGCGGACGGCCCCTGCGCGAAGCCATGCTTATACATTGGGTCACCGTTTTTGTTCTTGGTAACCTTATTGCGTGCCAGAAACTGTGTAGACCAGGCGCCGCAGCCACTCTCGCAGTGGTACACGAGCATGGTTTTGCCAGCAAGCAGCTTCACGTCGTTGGGTGCTTTCCGTACCCGCACAAACACGCGAATGTAGTAGTCGATGGAGAGGGAGAGCAGCGGCTCAATGGCCATGCCGTAGCGAGCGGCCGAGGAGGCTACGGCATGCAGGATCAAGCGCAGGCCCCCCTCGTGGCACGGCTCACCCTTGAAGGGCAGTCCGCCGTATTGGGAGTAGGTCTTTTCCAGGTATCCGTGAGAGGCGAAGATGGCAGAATCGGTGCAGGTTACACAGAGCATGCCATCGTCGTTGATGGCCTGGATGGCTGCATCGATGAATGGGGCTGCAGTGCCGTACGGGTCAAGATCAATGACATCGTAGCCCTTCTGGTCGCAGAAGCTGTACATGTAGGCTATAGCATTGCCTGTGTTGGCGGTGATTTTGTCTTCCAGTTTGTTATGTGTGACGTTGAGCTTAATCGACTCGACCGCTGTCCGAGACATGTCGTTGGCGGTGACGGCGGTCGCGAAAGGAATCTCTTGCGCGTATCGGAGAGCACGAAGGCCGGTTGCAGACAGCGCATCCAGGATGCTGAAGGATGGTTTCCAGGAAGACGTTCCATTTTGACCAGCTTCGTCGACCTCGTCCTCATGGTCTGCGTCCTGGCCAAGTTTCTGCTTCTTGGAAGGGCCCGCGCCATTCTCCATCTCATCTTCTGCCAGCTTCCTCTTCCTGGATGCGTCTTCCTCGACCTCGGACATTTCATGTCCTTCACTTGTAGGATTCGTAGCACCTTCTGCCACACGATTTGCCTGCGCCCGCAGTCTCTTCCGCTGATTCTTCTTCCGGAACTGCTCGTGCTTGTTCAGCTTTCGCTGTATAGAATCCTGGCCAAACGTCTTGATAGCCAGGATGCTCAGGTCGCGGTTGAACTGCTGAATGGGATTGTAGAAGACTTGTTGCTTCTGCGTTTCCTCCTTGGACAGCTTGGGATCCGTCGAGGTAGGCACGCCATGGGGGACGAGAATGTGCGCCAGGCCCTCCTTGATAGTGGTGTATTCTTTGCCCTGGTGGGATATATGCTGGCCGGCCTGGGGTGTTGCGTCAATGGTCTGCGCAGGCGCGTCTGCCATGCGGACGTCGGTGGAAGCCATGGTGGGCGTCGTGTGGAAGGCGCGCAGAAAAAAGCTACCAGCAGCCCATGCTTTGCGGGGGACAGCTGTCTGGACGGGCAATCCACATGTACGGCGGATCCAGAGCGTGGCGGAGGCCAGATTGGAGGTTGTGGTCAAGGCAGCAGCGGTAGAGGCACCGTATAAGCGTGGACGGCGCGGGTTGGCAGTCGCAGTCGCGTCAAGGTCCAAAATTTTGGCTTCGGGGTTAAGCCCCCCTATCTCCTGTTAGCGTCTCCGCATGCGACCCTTCCCCGCGCCGCGACAACCACCATGTCATCGCCAGCCACTCACCGGCATGTGAAAGCGCCTCTTCTTCACGAGCATTTGTATACCAGCCCAAAATAGCCCTGTGCGGCGCCGTCGTTGGGCCATGGAGTCGTGGCTGGAGACGCAGAGACTTGGCGCGTATCAGGATCCTCCACGCCAATGAATCCGCCGGTGCCTGAGCATGCGATTGCGACTCGCGTGCCGTATCGCGGGCCACCTGCTGCTCGCCTGATATACAGCTGACCACCGCCTTTCTCTCGCTCTTCCTCTCACTACACACACACACACACACACAGACCTCGCCATCGCTTCGCATATCCAGATTCAGATCCAGATCCGTCATAATGGGCAAGCTCCTTCAGCCACCACCATGCTACACCGACGACCCTGACGCCTTATCGCTCCACACCACTCCAGACGACTACCCATATGCCGACCTACCCGGGGCTTCTGGACTCCCGCCCTCCTACGACGACAGTGAAGCCAGCAACACTGCTGCCGGTGCTTCAGCAGTCCCAATCCACCATGTCGCTCCACCTACGACGCGAACCGACCACAACAACCCCAGCTTCAAGAAGGGCAGGCCCTGTGTGATGGAGACGGTCGACGTTATGGAGCCCACGTATGACACCGACCCGGCCAAGCTCGAGGACGCTATCCGGACATATGCTAGAACGTCACCCGTGCCCGTGGTGTACATCATGGGCACCCACAAGGAAACGGTCAAAAAGGGGGACAAAAAAGAGACGCAGGATATCACAGACTTCCGCCTCGCCATCAACCTCCGCCGCTACATCCACTACAACTTTGATGAAACAGACACGTCCACAATGTCCCTCGTCACCGCCTCCAACGGCGAGAAAACTCACCGCGGCACCATTCTCAAGAAACGTGCGCCGGGCGTCAAGCAAGACATTGAAGTTGGCAGCGCCGCAGCTCCCACGCTGACCGAGTGGTGCCACCGCTACTGTGCCTCGCCGCGTGCCCTTCGCATCTTCCGCCTCCGCCGCCAAGTCACCGGCCTCGACGAGACACACCTCAGGAACCGCATCGAAGGCCTCATCCGCTCGACAAACTACCGCGGCGACATCCGCGTCACATTCCCCGTTGAGGAGCGAAATATTGACATTTACACGTCCACCCGCATCAATGCTCTCCGCCTAAAACGCTGGGTGTGCTGGCTCTTCTACCTGACGTTTCTCTGGATCTTCTCCTGGCCAATTCTGTTCTTCGCTACAAAGCGATATGCAGTCGTGCGCGCCGAATGGCCTTTTTCCAGCGTCGACGAGCATGGCAATAAAAGGTACACGACTGTCAGCGAGGAACAGTGGTTCGAGATGTGGCAGGTGGCGATTCGTCGGCTGGTACTGGATCGCTTCCAGGGCGAGGCCAGCGAGGAAATGATGCGCGGTGTCATGCAAAGACCAGAGGACCCAAGGACTCCTGGGTCGCTGACGGGGCATGCGGGTGTAGATGGTGCGCTGGGTGTGCTGAGCCAGGGAATGAGGGTCGCGAGGGCGATCCAGGGAGGTAACGGGCTCGAGGTGAATTTTGGAAGGGGAAATGTACAGGGCGGATGGGGGTATGACTGTTGAAGACGAGAGGGAGCCGAAGGTGTATTTTGTAGACACTTACTATCGTGATTCCAAACCTATCGTCGTCATATCTTTCTCAAGATCCGATGTTATGTCCACTCCCAAACCTCCTCCACCACCCATTCCAACGCGCGAAACCGGACCTTGCCTCCTACTGCCAAAGCCCCCGGTCGAAAGCACACTGCGCAGGGTAAAAACGAATTTCCAACCCTGACTGTCCTCTGCCATTTTGCTGCCTCTTGCTCTCCTTGCCTCTCTGCGTCCCACTCCCACCGCTCTGCCGTCACCGCTTCACCCTGTATCACTATACCCTGGACATACTGCCCCACACGCACCACGACGCCCCTCACGCCCGCCGCATCATCCTGGCAGCGCATTACCACGCAAACCATCGTCTGCGACTCCGACGTAGACACAACCTCGACATCCCTCCACATCTCCTCATGCGTCTTGACCGCCTCAAGCGCAGGGTGAAACGCATGTCCCACTTCGAGCGTGAGATCATCTGCAAGCGGATACATGTCGCCCTCGTCCGTGGGGATGTCCGGGTCGCCGACGGGGAAGCGTGAATCGAGCCAGTGCGTCCACGTCGAATGCGTCACGTTTTCCCAGTCTGTCTGCTGCTCCTTGCCGTCAGACTGCACAGGGACAGACGTTGAACTCCCTGCGAATGCCCATTCGAGGCGCTGCAGCGAACCTTGGTTTGCGCTGTTGGCGGACGCCGCTGTCGCAGTGTCAAACGGCTTGTACACGCGTATATCGACAAAGGTGCGCAGCGGGCTGGTCAGCACGAGGGTGCTGGTAGGCTCGAATTGGTGGGACGGCAGGTTCAGTGGGTTTTTCTCGGGGAGGTAGATTGAGTATGGGATTTCGGTGCCGGCAGGCAGGGGGTACGGCAGGAAGTAGATGTACTCGCGCTTGCTGATGTTGGATGCTGCACCGCTGACGTTCTCGTACTTGGAGCTGGGGAGTGTGCCGTGGGATGCGGTTACAGTGACGCCTGGAGCTGGGGGTGAGATGTTGTCGCCGGTTGAGGAAGCCATGCTGCAAACGGATTCGGGGGGCGTGTAGATGATCTCGTCGGAGCTGACACTTGCACCATCTGAGACTTCGTCTAAAAGGCTCCTGCTGCTTTCGAGTGGATTGGAGAGGCTTGCCTGTGAAGATTCGGCGTGAATTTCGTTCCGGAGAGTCATGGTGGGCTATGGTCTGTTTCTCGAGGAATGAGGGAGTTGTAGATACCAATATTTACCGTTAGAGGTGTCTAGTTGAGCCTTGAAACAAAATTCATGAGCTTGAGATCTCTGGTATCAGTACGTGAGGTGAGGGGCTGTTTGCCAGGAAAAAACATGTAGTTTTAATTAACAAACATGAGTCGAAGCAAATACAGGCAGGGCCTACCTAGTGAACGTAGTCCGCAGTTGTTCTGGCGCACTACCACTTAATCAATTGCGTCTGGTCATCTGCATTCGATATCGGTGATGTGAGTGTAGAGAAGTCGAGGTGGGGAGGTTGATGGAGCAACGGTCCCCACCAAGTCACGGGAACAGCCGTTCGCCATCAGTCACTGTGACATTGGGGTGTGAAACAATTTCCGGAGCATATGAACTATTCTCATCCAATGTATTTCCTTTGAACCACCAAAAATCACTTTTCCGGGCCAAAACTTTGGCAAACGTACAGTCTACTGCAAAACGCTCAAAGGGGTATCAACAAGCTCAACCTAAAGCGCCAAACGACCTCAATGTCTCCCTACTCCGAATCAAATGCATCCCGTGTCACTTATCTTCTAAAACTCCACCCCCTCTTCCTGCCCATTACCTCGGTTTGAGACCTTGTCAATCCTGGCATGGGAGCACCCATGGTATCCTCATTGAAGGTTCTATCTCTCCTCTGGAAAGTTCTCGCTCGCATCGATGCCCGTTCTCTTAAACTTTCTCCTCCATCTGCAAGTTCCCGTTCGCGCTGCCTCCGCTGCTGCTCTTCGGCTGTTTGTTGCTTCCAGCCTCCTTCAGTCCTATCTTCCTGCTTCTCTGGCCAGAGAATTTGATGGATGACGACAGCTCGGACATTCATGGATATGACGAAAAACCACATGAGTATGAGAGCGATGGTCATGGCACAGCCAATGTAGGCGATGGGTTTGTTGCTATTGAGGCAGCGGGAAATGGCAAAGGTGGACGTCGTGAGGGCCGTGTTGGGGAAGATGAACGAGTACCACGTCATTGCAAAGTCCATCTTGCCGCGTCTGGCACACGACCAGTGGGCGCCGACACTGATCAAGAAGAACCAGAGGGCTAGACCCCACAGCCAGAGTCCGACAAAGTTTGCGCAAATCATACCGACCTTGCCTGCTAGTTCGCCATTGCCTGGGCCCATGAAGTCGTGCGCCACCCTCTTGGGCAGTTCTTGGCCCATCATGACGACGCCAGCAATCGTGAAGCCCGAGGGACCGACGCTGATGAACATACCGGGACGAAGCGATTCTTTGGGCAGCTTCTGCGTCATGAGTCGATAGATGAAGGCTGCATAGATCATGAGCGAGACCAGGAAGCCGATGCCCTGGATAATGTAGCCCGTAAGGATAATGATGAGAGAGATGAGGGGATCGGACACTTTGGGAGCTAGGTTGCCGGCGTGGGGACCGATGATTAGCAGTGGGTAGGCTGGGAAGATCCAGATGGGCGTCATCTGGGATATTGTAAATGTTGTCGTGGACCACCTGGGTTGATTAGCACTTGCAAGCGAAGCAGTTGTGGTAGACGTACATGAGCAAGTAGATACCGACGGAAAAGCAGACAGCAAGGCCGCAGTCCATCCAGAAAAGCACAATCATGCACCTCTCAAGCCACCTGCCCACGCCGGCATGGCCGACACCGTACTGGCTGACGTTGATGAGGATAATGCCAAAGCTAACCACGGCGGCTGGGATGAACAGGCTCTCGGTGGGATGCAGGAACGAGGCCTTGAAGGTGCGCGGATAAAAGTAGAAGCGACAAGAGATCATGGCGCAGTTGAACAGGAAGAAGACGATGTTGAGGATGAAGAATATGCAGCCAAGGGCGTAGATTCCCTGGAAGCGGAACGGGACGGCGTACAAGACATTGGCGATGCCTCCGGTCGCCATTGTCAGACAAAACCAGGTCCAGGTGAAGTGGCGTATCCGCTCCTTGAAGGTCAAGTTCTTCCTCTTCTCGGGCACGTCTCCCCTGAGGCTGCCTCGGGCCGTGCGTCTGCTGGCATTGGTGGTGACGGGGGCCAGCGATGGTTGTTGGTGCGGTTCCTCGGTCTTCTCTGATGAGCCCGACTCAGATGTGCTGGTGGCGTGGTACGGCTCCTCCTCTTCCTCGCGTTGGATTTGGCTGCGCACGCCGTTGCCGAGCGCCTCGCCCTCGCGGCTCAGCGGCGACGTCAGGGCAAGGTTGGGGTCGTCAAAGGGATTCTCCGCCGTCGGGTTGGGCAGGGGCGTGGCGACATTGGGGTGACTGCGCCACTGCAGCCTCTCCTCTGCGCTCGACACCGACTCGGTAGAGGCACGTGACTCCGGCTCGTGGATGGTGGGAAACGGCGGGAAGGCGTCGGCGGTAGGCAATCGGGGAATTGCGAGGTTGTTAGTGTTCCGGTTCATGTTGCCAAGTGCCAGGCCGCGGCGAACATGCGGGGCGTGGGAATGAGTCTCGTGACGGTAGGCAGATGGTGTTGATAGGCGTAGGGCGGCGGTGACGGCGGCGTGATGTCACTCTTGCTGCTTATTCAGCCCGCGTCTTCTCCTAGGCGGTCGGCGAGCTTGCAGTTGCACGAAACAAGGACAAAATGCTCAACGGGCAGCCGAAACGCAGGCCGGAGATACAGGCGCTCTATGTATCTGCCCTGCCCCTTCCGACCTGCGCCGCTACCTCCCTTCCCACCCACGTTCTGCGTATGGTCGATCTGCCGCATTTCCAGCTTGGACGAACCAAAAGCCCGCATCCTCGCCATGGCGGCCACACCATTCCGGCTATCTATCCGGCATCCCTGGCAGTCTGCTTTCTAGCGGAAACCCGACGCTGGAAGGCTGCCGGCAGCTCCACACTCACCACCTCAGCTGCAGCGGCCTCGATCTCTTGGTATGGCTAACGCAGCGATAAAGGGTCCGCTCCTGCATGACTGGCGGCAATAGCATGCCTTCTAGGCTCATACAGTTGAGGGTTGCGTCTCTCGCGGCCCACGAAGCCTGAGCCTGCGTGGCCGGCATCGACTCGGGATGGTAACACGCCACGGCCAGGCTCTGGCACCAGCACCCAGCCCGCAATTTTCTAGAACACCAGGATTACGCCCAACTCACACGAGCGTGTAAGCCCAACCAAACCCAAAAATCTTTCTCAAACCTTTTTCTCCTACACCGTATGTCTGAGTTTGACAGGTCAATATGTCGACGTCCTATCAGCTATGGCCATCTTCCATTGGCGAGCAGCCCCAGGGTCCGCGACGCGCACCACATCATACACAGTACAGCCATATTCCTCGAAACATCTTCTTGGGCCTGGTGTCATGTGTAGTGCACATCTCACGGTTAAAACGGCTACTAGGGTCAAATCTTATTTCGTTTCTGCTACCCCCCAACTTGGTGTATCTTGGGCGCTGGCAATAACGGTTAAAAAAAAATTTCGACGGCGGTTTTCTAATCCCGAGCATCATCAGCTTATTCATAGCCACAACACGAGCGTTTTGCTGGCTAATTTTTTCAGTATTAACACAGCAACCCTGCGTCATTGATTCTACACATGACTGGGCCAAGAGATTTTTCTTTACATATCGCCGATGACTCGAGCATCCACAATCCTTGTGCGAATTGCCCGGTCGTGCTCGTGCACAAACCACGCGAATCCTACACTAGAATTGCTTCTCCACACGGCCCGCAAGCGTGTTCACGTTGTCTTTTCCATAACCCCGAACGGGGATCGGATGTGTTTTGGCTAGCAGACCTCTTCCGAAGCGCCGGTACGCGCATCGTCATCCAGCAGCTTTGAATTCAGCCGTCGGTATGCTGGAAGTTGATGATGCCGTCTTTCCAGCTTCCAAGCAGAGACGCTTCCCACCTGTTGTAATGTACATCCGTGCTAACAATGTATTCAGTACGCGCGTCACGCGCCTATGATTTTCACATCGCTTGCGTGCGCCACCCCCCAATCCAAATATGATCGCGATAAAAGAATTGGACTCTTACATCGGCAACCCTGCAGCTAGGAAGTTCTCTTTCGAGCCTCGCACACTAGGTGTATGGTAACCATGGTTTTGTTTCCATGCCATTGGCCACGCGACACGTCATTGCTCCCCGAGAAAGGAACAAAAACCAGTCAGTCCCAGGCCCACATGCCATGCATATCCACACGATGACAGATTCTGAATCATGACACTGGCGCCAAACTAGTCGTGGCATTGCATCTTGCCCATCACTTACTGACACTCCCCCCACCCCGCTTCCGCGCAGTCACACTTGGTCATCTTGCAGATGAATGGGTCTCTCCACGCATTGGTACCGGCACCAGCACCACAAAAAAAGAAGCCCGGAAAGCAAAAAACATACAACAGCGGGGATTCGCCAGTGGTCACCCACCTGACTACTAATCCGCCGGTCTCCAGCTTAAATATTACCGAGCGAACGAGAGATATTGGTTTCTGGAGCCTATGGTCGTATGTGAAAGGAAGGAGGTGACGTGTGGGTGAAATTCTGGCAGTCGCTCTGTGAGAAGTACTGTGGCATGACTGGGAGAGGGCTGTATCACGTTTTCTGGTGAGGGGTGGGGCTATGGATGTGGCAAGTATAACGTCAAAAATGGTGGAGATGTGTGTAGATCTACATGCAAGTCCCATTGTTTCGAGACGCTGACACGAACATTGCGGTATTCGTGGGGGCAGGGGTGTGTAACTAGGCTGGAGACATTACGGCACTCTACCATCTTTTGCTTAGTTATATGTGAACACATTTAATTACTAAATGAAAAAAAGGGGATTGAAGCATGTTCAGGCATGACTGACTGACTTTGTATTCATGAGATGCCTATAAGCAAATACATACATACATACATGTGTAATTCCAAAGCAGCCAATACCAAAACAAAAAGTTGTAAATTATCGACCCAGTCGATGGATAGAAAAGCGCAAAAACCGAGAAAAAAAAAGAGAGAGAGAGAGCACCGCTCGCTTCCAATGCCGCGCTGAACATGGTGAAATGCAATGCATCGATGCCTTTAAATGTACATGCAGAAGAAGAAGAAGAAGAAGAAGAAGAAGAAGAAGAAGAAAGAAAAAATCAAAACTAACAAACTCGTTTTCTCTCTCTCTCTCCCTATCTCTCTCATACTTTGTTCTCATTTTCCTTTCTCTCGCCCGCAGCTAAAACCGCATATTTGAAAGAAAGAGAAGAAAAAAAAAGGTAAAAGAAGATGAAGAAGTATCGGAAAAAGAAAAAAACAAGATTACAAAAAACTCCCATGCTATGCTACCACGAACCCCTCCCCCTCCCCCTCCCCCACACACACATACATACATTCCCGCATCGCCAAGCAGACCGTGAATTTAGAGAGAGAGAAAAAAAAGGCCGTTGAGTGTGATAAGAAAGTAAGTCCCGCTGAGAACCAGAACCAGAACAAGGAAGAGAGAGAAAAAAAAATTGCATGACCATGTCCATTGATAACCCAGTATACCGGCACGTAGAAAAAAAAAGCCCTCTGTCGCTTGGCTCCCCCCCACAGCCCTGAAAACCCAAGATTTTGTTTTCCTACCAGAAGCTGCACCAGCCAATGTAATGCTGGCACAGATTTTCCAAGTTGGTAGCCTCCTTGATGAGCCTATCGACTTGCATTTCCGTCTTGAGTTCTTCGGTCTTGCCGAAGTCGCGGCCGGTGAGTTTTTCCTTGACGCGGCTGAGGACCTGGAGGGCACGTGCATTTTGGACTTCCTTTGCGTCTGCTTCGTTGTTTTGCGGTGGGGCAATCGAGGAGCGGTGGCGCGGGCGGCCGACGATGCTCGACATCTGGTGCGGGTCTGTTGTTCCGGCGGCAGGGTCGGCACCCATGATGGATTGGCGGCGTTCAGAGGGGTAGTTGGGCTCTGCGGGTGATGCATCGCGTTGGTTTAGGCGCCAGGTTAGGAGGGGATCGTGTATGAACTGTACAGGTGTTAGTATCAATCTAATACTCAATAGGGTGAATACAACTTACGGCTTCAAGAACCGCCATGACACTCTCCTTGTTGCTTCGCAATACCCGCATGACGTGCTCGCAAGTCGTTCGGTAGCTACCCTCAATATTACTGACTTCCATGGCATACGTCAACATGCGTGTAAGACGGAACGGCACCCGCTCGGGATACTTCTCCCGGTGCATAGCCACCTCGAAACAGTCTCCAAAGTCAATGTGGATGATCTTGCCCGTGACACGATCCAGCATCAAGTTACTGGGATGGCGATCACCCAGGCCCAGAATGTACCCGACCATGGACATGACGGCAAGCGAGCGCGTGTAGTTTGTGCGGCGATCAAGCCAAGCCTCGGACGACTTGGATTTGAGCCAGAGGACGCGGTACAAGTCTTGGCCCGTCGTGTTGTCGAGTGCGTAGCCAAAGACTTCGACCTTTTGCATAAGCGTAAGGCAGTCATAGTCGGGTGCCATCTGCAGCATAATACGGTGCTCAATGTTGAGGAGAATCTTCCTACTGTCTCGGTACTCGCGAATGAGCACATGAAGCGTGTCGCTATTAGGGACAAAACCGAGCAAGCCGGACTGCGTGCTAAGCGGGACTGCGGCATAGCGCTGGATGTTAAGATGGCGCTTGCGTGATTCCACGTCGTTGGAGAGCAGAGTGTTGCAAAGACCAAAGAGCTGCATGACACGCTCATCTTGGCGAATATCTTCGTGTCCCTTGAGAATGTGCATGTGCACCTTGCCGTCGCTGCCGCGCATTTCCAGCTTTCTGGGTCGCTGTTTGGACTGAATGACGCTTGCAACAGGGTCAAAGGACATGATGCGGATGACTGGCTTGCCAACTTGGTAGGTTCCCGGGACCGCCAATTCCAGGTCGTGCGCATCTTTGAGCTTGGGCGAGACATACTGCAACTCAAGCGTCATGAGGGATGGCAGCTGACGGGCGATCTTGCGAAAGACTTGGTAGTAGAGATCCCACGCCTGGTTGAGATCACCTATTTCGCCAGACGTCCTGAACGTATTGCACCAGTCCCGGGCCTCCTGCAGTTCGCGACCGAAAGATTGGATAAAGGAGATTTCCCGTAGTGTCTCTGGGCCCTTGTCGAGCATGGCGTGAAGAGGCGCGAGTGTGGCGAACATGCCGTCTATGTTATGATCGCCAAAGTATAGCCTACTGGCTTCTTCGAGCCCCTCATGCCACTGCTCATGCCACAGAACAGCGATGCGGATGAGTTCGTGACTGACAAGATCAGCTTGCTCAACCAGTCGCGGCGAATGCTCGCGCATAGCCTCCATAAGCTCCTTTGCGGATCGCTGCCGTCGCGACACATCAGACTTCATCGACACGGTCAGCGGGAAGACCAGCGCCTGAGGATGTGCTTTGCCGACTTCGATGAGCAGTTGATGTATCGATTGCCGGACAACAGCGTTTGGCTGGTTGATTCGAGCAAGCAATTGTGGAATGACCTCCAGCCAGGTATCGATTGGGACCGACTTTGTGCCTTCGGTGATTGTGCGGTTGACCCCCTCTCTGCCACCATAAGTGAACCACAGAGTGAGAAGCCTGAGCGTATCTTGCAGTGAACTAGTTGAAGACAGTGCAATGGACTTGAAGAAACCCTGGATAGCCGGGATGACGTGGTCGTGGATAATGTTATTAGGCACCTCGGTAGCCTCCCGGTCCGACTTGGACGTGATGGAGTTGATGACCTCAAAGTTGGCGAGTGCCCAGGCGTGCCATGCCTTGTACCAGTCCTTGTTGTAGCGTGTGGCGGCAGCATAGGCAGCGAGTATTTCATGCACGTACTCGTGTTCCCATTCGCCGTCCTGGAGCTCTTGCTGCCAGTCGCCCTGCTTCAGGTAGCACTTGGCCAGCAAGCGGTGGCATTCGGCGAGATCGGCGGGCGAGGAACCTGTAACAGATCCGTTTAGCATACTTGAGCCATGCATGCCATTGACTCCGTTGTGTCCATTGGTAGCAGCAAAGGGGTTCACATTGTTGAACATATGCTGACCATTGGACATACCGTTCATGCCATTCTGCGCCATCATCGGGTTTGCCGCAGCCCTGCTCCTCATAGCCAGGTCCTCTGACAGTCGCCCAGTAAAGTCCTTCATACTATCAAGAGCCTCCTGCTTGTGGTTCTGGTCGGCCCACATGTACTTGTACGTGGTGTAGGCCACGGGGTGTGAGATGTCATGAGCATTGTGGCGTACGAATTCAACCACCGTGCTGTCGCCAGTGCTCTCAATGTCGAGCAGCTTCTGGAGAGCCTTGTTTGCAAGGTTCATCCTGTTGCTCTTTCTGCAGAGATTGGTGTATTTGATCCACATGTCGGTGCCTTCTTGTGGTGAGATGACAAGCTGACGCACCTTGATCATACGCTGCCAGACCTCTGGATTCGGTTGCAGCCCTCTAAGCCGCTTCATCCACGTCTTGCGCATGCTCTTTTGCTTCTCGACATTGCCCTCGTTCTGCTTGTACTGCATGATCTCCTCGAGCTCTGCAAGCATCTGCACACGAATCATTGGCAAGTAGGCGCGCTGGTACGACTCTCCCAGGAGCGAACTAAGCTCGGTATCTAGGCCCTTTCGAGCCTTTGCGATTTCGTCGACCGCAATCTCGAAACGGTTGTTGTGGATGTTGAGAATAGACGCAAAAAAGGCACGATCGGGCGACTGTTCCTTCATGACACCAAGGTAGTTGTCCATGTCAGCGAACTTGCCCAGGCCCCACGCAGCCGTTGCAGCAAGCGGGGCTATCGCCTTACGATACTCCTGCGTGGCATTGGCCCACTTCTCCTTGGACAGACTGGAGAGAAGGTCCCACTCGCCCAGAGCGTGCAAGCACCGCATCTTGCCCATGGTCACGTCGAAAGAATCGGGCTCCTCAAGCTCACGCCTCTGGTAGGCAGCAAGCGCCTCGTCCCATTTCTGCAGCTTCTCGAACCACGTCTCCTTGAGTTCGACATCGTGGTAGTTTTGTGCCTTACGCAATATACCAAAAGCCGCGTCGGTCTGCTGAAGCTGGTTGTTGATACTGATAAGGGCTTCCACAGCGCTGGAATTCTGCTCCGCGTTGAATTCGAGCTCCTTATAGTGCAGTGCCTTTGCAAAAGCATGGCATTTTCCAGCGTACATGCCGAGGATCCGGACATCGATTGGTAAAGCCTTGTCGTCGTGCTCCATGAACTCTGCCAGGTTGAGCAATACCTGTAGGATCTCTGGTGGGATGTTTGGCGAAGTAAGCGCAGTCTCAATGGATCGAACAAGCTCTTCCTGATATTGGTCGTAGAGTTCAGTCCAGCACGAGACAAAGGCCGAGTTGAACAGGGTCCTGGCAATTGGATTGTACACGCTTCCGAGCGGCGTGCAAGCGCGCAGGGCCTGTTGGGGCGATTCTCTGAGAAGCTCGACGCTGAACCTTCGCATCCATTCGATCCAATCTTCCTTGGTAGTTTTGTTAGAAGCCTCCCAAGCCTGCTTAAGATGCTGTTGGTTGACTGCCAACTTCTTGGTGAGAATTTCCGCAGGGTTCAGGTCCTCGTCGTCCTCTCCATATCGCTCATCTGGGCTGAGATCCTGAGGTAGAGGCTCGCCCTTTTGCAGCTTCGACACGATGCGCCCGTAGTTTTCGTGAGGCACCTTGTGTGCAATCAGAATCTTGTTGACCGTCGGTACAAAATGAATGTAATCCGGACCGAGCTGGAAGATGAGCGCGCAGAGCGTCTCAAGAGCAGTCTGCTTCAAAGTTGGCTCGTTGCCAGAAAGCACACGGCAGAGAGGATGCACGATGCGGGCTGCAAACTCGGAGACGTTGACCTGCTTGGAGAGTCTACCCAGTGTCTCAATTGCGTGCCTTCGAATCTGAGTAGGCTGGCCGGGCTTGTCGAACATTTTGACCATGACAGGGATGATGAGATGCATGTACTCTTCGGCACTTGAACCAAAAATGAGGAAAGCATGCAGCACTCTCTCCGACGGCAAGCGTTTGCCGGTTTGGTCTGAGTCGAGCACACTAAGCATGAGTGGCAGTACATCGGCGAGGTAGATTTTGAACTCGCCCTCGAGCGAGCGCGCAATAGCCTCAATTAGAGATAGAATGGTGGCTTGTAGCTGTGGGCTGCTACTCCAGTACTCTTTGATGGTTGAGAGGATGTTGGGTAGGTAAGGGCGAATGTGCTGGCGGACAATACGCACGAGCTGGCTTAGCTGGTTGAAGTAACCTTCTGAGCGTCCGGCTGGCGTCGATCTGATGACGTGGAGGAAGCCGGGCACGACTTGGTTGAGGAAAGGAACGCACTTCAAGCCCATGGTGGCGTAGATGTTCATGACAGCCTCCACAATGGCAGTGTGATACTGCATCAGCGAGGGATCTTTCAGCAGGCCCATGAGCGTGCTGATGACAATGGTCGGGTAATACTCTTCGTTTGAAGGAGTGATGCCTTGCATGATGAGTGACACATCAGTGATTGCTTGTGCTTCCAAAATCAGATGCGTATCCGGTGACTGCTCCATAATCTTCTGATACTCGTCCGGGTCGAGAGCTCCGAGGGTGCCCATGAGCCTAACAGTCTCCCTTCTGAGCTCTCCTTCTGGTTCCGTCTTGGCAATGTTCATGAGAATGTTCATCAGCTCTGGATACTCGCGGTATGGTTCTATCACATATCCGGCGTTTGTAGCTAGCTGTCCCAGGGCTTTCAGGGCAGAGAAGCGTTTGGCGTCTGACGTCTGGTCTTGCATGAAGTCGAGAATGACAGGCATGAGGTCCTTGATGTACTTGATCATGCCCTCGCCACCGACCGTCGCAAGGTCACCAATGGCTTTGAGCGTAGTGGAGGCGACCTCGGGATTTAGGTCCTTGCACTTTGGAAGCAAAACTTCGACAATGGGATCTATCAGTGGCTTGATCAGGCTGTCTGCTGCACCAACAAGGCTACTAATCAGTTTGGCACTCTCTTCTTTGCTGCGCGGACTGTTGGCGTAATTCACTTCGGTCAGTAGCTGCAGAAGGACTTTGCGGAGCGAGGGAAAGACGTATGCAGGGTTGACAGCTGTCAGCCGCCCAATGATGGACATGGCAGCCTCGCGGATACCAAAGACCTCATCGTTCAAGGCGAGAAAGAGAGTACGGACATTGTCAGCTTTACCAAGATGACGGTCGAAGCGAGCGTCCAATGCTATGAGGACGTCCCATCGGATTTCGGGGTCAACATCACCTACACCGACCGTCAGGAGCTTCTCGATGATGTCACCAACCACCTTTGTCGCGTGAGTGCTAGTCTGGTGGACGATTGGGTCTTTGACAAAGAGCTGACAGCACGTCAGCGCAGCGCGCTTGCGGATCTCGGGGTTGTCCGCTTCGACGTAGCGAATAGCAACGTCGCGGACAAACTCGTTGAGGACGTGGCCTGTAAAGTCGAAACTACCGAGCGTGTGCAGGGCCAGCGCAATCTCTGCTTCTCGCTGGGCAACGATCTGCGGGTCCTTGTGATCGCGGGTCCAAATCTGTGGCGGTTGTGAGACCTGGTAAGGACTGCCCAGGGGCAGGAAGTGGCGGCCGGCAAGAATCTGGCTGAGAAGATCTAGCAGCTTTTCCTGAATCATGGGCCGTGAAGGCGGCACGTAATGAGCCATGTCGACAAGGGCTTGGAAGAGAGAATCGCTCAACCCGCAAGAGAAGATGGGATCCAACAGGCGCTCGACGGATTTGGTGAGTGCTTGGCCAACCGCAGCCGCAATCATGCTCAGACATTGGAATATCGGCGCCTCATTTATAACGCTCTTGTTGCGTGCCTTGGCAATGAGGCCTTCCTGGATGAAGCCCAAGATGCCCTCCAAGTATGGTGAAATGGCGACTCCGACCGCATTTGCAATCTGGCCGATAGCTACGAATGCCTTGTCTCTGTCGCGGTCCTTTCGTATCAGACCCTGGAGATGTAGCATGCACTGATGTAGATATTTTGTCGCAAACTCGGTAGGCGAATAGGCGGCAAGAATGGGAATAATGAGCACCACCTCTCTCCGCACCAGCGCATCGCGGTGCTCTCTGTACTTGAGCACCTGCTCAACCGTCTCCTTGTACTTTTGGTCGTTCATAAACATTGCACTCTTGTCAAGCAGCTCCTTCATAGTAAGAAGCGAGCCGTGGATGGCCTCGTTGGTGTTGATGGTAAAGCCGCGCAGGATCTCGTCGTACACCTTGCCGAACCAGAGCTGGCGCATCTGCGAGTCACGGGGGGATATGATCTCGAAGCAGGCACTGATGGCCTCGGCGGCCGACTCGCGGATGAGGACTTTGGGGTCGCGCAGGGCCACCCAGATGACTTCGAAGATTTGTGCAATCCATTGGTACATGAGCGTGGGCGAGTTCTTGGCGAGCTCGCGCAGGATGAGCACGGCGGCGAAGCGTCTGTTCTCGAGGCGCTCCAGCTGCAGCCACTCGAGGGCGCCCTTGACCTCTGCCTCGACCAGCTCGGCCGTGAGGGTGCCGCCGGGCTTTGCGAGGCGGCCGAGAGCCTTTGCTGCCACGACCATGGCTGTGATATCCTGGCCCCGCATGACCGCCCTAAGGTACGAGGCAAACCGCGTCGTCTTCTGGCCCGCATCGTCGCCGCGGAAGTCGATCAGGGCGTTGAGCGCGTGGATGCCGCCGATGCGTTCGTTGGAGTCGCTGCCCGTGACAATGAGGCCCGAGATCTTGGTGTAGACTTCATTGTTGAAGTTGGTGAAGAGATTGGGGGCGAGCTCTGCGCATGGTCAGTCCAGGTTCCCGCATTGCTTGGGCGGCGGGGGGGCCGTGTGCATGGCGCTGCTGCCTCACCTCGGTGCGCGGCCTCGACCGTCTGCCGCAGCGTATTTGCCGCCCGCTGGCGGGTCTCGTCGTTCCTGTGCCTGTTGTCAGCGTCGCGCGGCAGCATGGCGGAGGAGGCCAAACTCACTTGGAGCGTAGGTCGTGGACGATGCGGTCCAGCGTGGACGAAAGAGGACTCTGCTGCGCCATGTCGTCTGCTTCACCTGAAGCCTCTCGCAGCAAGAGCGGGGGTGGTTACTCCATCCATACAAAGGAAACAAGAGACTGACAGGCGGGCGCGCGTCGGGTGGAACTGGTGGGTTGCTAAAGTTGACTGCTGTCGGCCCAGGACGTATGTCACCAACAAACGCGGACTAGCGAGCTCAGACCCACCGCGGCCTCGCGCTAGGCCCGAACCTGCCCACCGGGGAACCGCTTGCCAAGCCCTCACCACCGGCGGTGAACGTGACGAGATCACCCATGGCCCGTTTGCAACACGCCTGCAGTCTGGCCCGTGTCCATTGAGCCCGCCAGTAATGCTATGCTGGGCGAGACGCTGCAGAGACGCCCTCCCGAGACTATGATACATGTCCATTCACCGCGTACCACGCATCGGCGCACCACGCCCTATCCGCCAAGCACGCCCTGCGCCGCATGGCCAACCAGCCCGCCGATTTGCCCAAAGAAGATGGACTTGAGAATTGTCTCGCCCTCGCCCACCGCCCACATGCCTGCCTCGCTCAGCTTCTGCCGCCATGCATTCTTCTCCTCTCTGCTCAGCTCGTCCCATTTCCTGGCCGCCACGTGCTTCTTCAAAACCTCCTCGTCCCCGGCGTGGATTTCCGTGCTAAGGGCCCCGTCAGACTCTGCGTCGTGGTGAATCACCAAAGCTTTGGGCTCAGACGCGGCGTCTGCTGATTCCGCATTGTCGGATAAGACATGAGGGAGGTGGATATGCAGTAAATCGGCGATGCGGTGCGACGCCTTTGCGACTGGCGAGTCGGCACCGTTGAGAATCGCCTGGTCTTGTTTTTCCCGCAGAGTCTCACCGAATGTCTTATGTCGGCCGGCTGCAGTCTGGAGGCTGGCGGGGAGGATGCCCTTGGTCAAGTTGCCTTCCGGGTCTATGAGCGACTGTATCATGAGCGCTAGCACAGCGACAACCATGGCGGCAACAAGGTACGTTGCTGCTGTGAACAGGTTCCTCGACTGCGCCGTCTGCAGGACATGGCGTGATCCGATGCTTTGCAACGGGAACGTTTCCACGCTGATCGTGTTCCCCAGGCTGGTGCTCGCCAGACGAAGGTACTGGGGCGGCGGCTGGCGGCCTTTAGGGGTCTCTGGCTTGTAGAACGGAGAGAAGACGACTTTTGTCATTTGCACATCATGAACCTAGCCGTCGTCAGCACATGCAAGCTGCACTCGCCCGTCTACCGTCTTACATTGTCATAGGTGTTGAATGAGTGGAAAGTGCTCAGTGAATCTCTGTCCGGGCCGTGATAGTCCATCGTGTACACTGTCAGCGAGATGTCGATCGCCGCTATCGCAATCACAATCTGATATGCGCCTTGGTCATCGACGTCGAGGAGACTGACATCCATATCTGTTGCCGCCTTGACATGCTTCGGTAACACCTTTCGTAGAGCGATACTACCCCCATCCTGGTAGAAGTGGAAAAGCAGCAGCTCAACCCCAGTCCTGTTGGGTTTGTTCGCCAGCAGAAGCAGGTGCTTCGGCGAAAGCCACCGTACACATCTCAGCTTGCTTCTCGCACCCTTTTCCAAGGTTGGTAATGTGTAGGCCTTGTTATGCTCGCTACTCGTCATGTTTCGCTTGGCAAAGTTGTATTTTACATCGTACACAAACACGTCCTGGTCCGTCACATAGGCTACGCGAAACTTGCCCTCCTCGAGTGTGAAGATGTCAACATCGTTTGCTTCTTGGCCTTTGGGCAGCGTAAAGCGCTCTATTACGTCTCGGGGCGCTGGCTTGGTGGTTGTCGCATCGAAGATGACCACCTCATTCTCGTCTCCCGCAAGGCTGGAGGCCGCTGCTCCAATCCGTCTGTTGGGCGTGCTTGTTGTTTTTTGTGGCGGCGACAACCGGATGATTCGCTGGTACCCCTCCTTTTTCGCGCCAACAGACGCTGGCGTAGTAAACAGCGACGTCTTGCTGAGAAACTCAATCTTGCCATCGGCCTTGCCCTTGGGAAAGCGTAGCTCAAACGCGCGCAAGTGCTCATTCTTTGCGGCCAGCCGGTCCTCCTCGCCACTATTGTTACCAGCGAACAGAATCAGGCCATCCTTGGTGGAGAGATTGTCCAGACACGTTATCGAGTCGTCCTTGCTGGCTTCGATTTCGGCAATGGCTTCTACCGTCGGCGCTCGCGAGCTAAAGTCGAATGCCGTGATTTGGTTCTTGACCCCGGACCGCCCAGCCTAAGCACCGACGTGGCGCGGTCAGTATACTCGTGCAGGTGGCTCGATCTGGGCATGCTTCTTACACCTCCGCCACCGCCTACTACGAGGACTCCGGGCCTATTGCTGGCAAAAGTGGCCGCGAAAATGGGGTAGCTTGCTGCGATTGTCAGCCAGCCAGCACCGGCGCGACCCCACGGGCAGCGCGAACATACTCTGAGCTTTGGAAACCGTAGGCCGCGACATTGGAACACTTGTGTCTTACGCGACGCACGGTGAGTTGCCGTTGTCCAAGCTTCGCGATTAATCTAACCGCGTGCAAATCTATCGGCGCGGGGACGGGGCCTTTTGGGGAATGCGAATCCGGTAATTGCGCGTCGCGGCGAGACGAGGCTTCTTTTGCGGACTCGAGCAAGGCGGTTGTGTATGGGACACGGGGTTGCGTATTTGGGGGTTCTGTCCACGTTTCGCGCGGGAAATCAACAAGCCACTCGCGCAAGCGTCATTGTTCTGGCCAAGGTACGAGCTGAGCCATGGCTTATCGATAGGGCTGAACCCAACCCCTCCCCCTCCTCTTCCCCCCGCAAGGACTGGCCAGGCCTACATAGAGATGGCGGCAACTGGTACGGTCACACAGCCATTGTGGCCTCGGCTATTGTAATAAGCAATCTCCAGACAAGTCACAGTGCAACAGGCAACCTTGTTGAATGGCTCCACAACACTTCATCCTAGAAAAGGGGGAGGGCTATCTACTCGTCTCTTTCAACAACCTCATACAATATGCGTCGTCATCCCAAACAATGGTTACCTCTCGTGGATATCGTCCTCCTCTTTTTTTTCGTAATCATTCATGCTCACACACCCAAAAGAACAACGCCAACCGACACCGCCCGACTACCAGCGGCCAGAACAAACCTCTGGCTCACCTCGTCTTTCGTGAAAAATCAAAACGCCAGGATGCTCGCTAATTGGAATCCAAGAAACCTCGTAGACCTTAACCTGCCTCCTTTTCTCTTGACACGTCGGCAATCTCCACCTATGGCTTCTGTCCGCTGGGCTCGCCTGCCATGCAAAGCATTCCCCCGAGGTACTGGAAACCGACGCACCACGACTAAAGCCGCCATGAGCCGCCATTGGCTGCTGCATTATGGTTCAGGGCGGGCATGCGTTCCATGTCGCGAACTCATTTCTGCATTGGCGCAAATAACGTGCTTGACCGTAATTCTACTGCGGCAGCGGTGCGAGTTGGCCGTTGGCAGCAGCAGCTCGTGCTTCGGCCTGCATCTGTGCGATAACATCGGCCTGGTGCACGGCGCCTTGCACTATTTGTTGCTCCTCCGGGCTCAGATTTTTGGTGAGATCTTCGTACAGCGCGGGCTGCTCTTGTTGTAGACCTATATGCTGTCAGCACACGCTTGGCTGAAGTGAATGAGGCCAACTTACGCAACAACGCATGCTTGAACATGCCATATGGCTCGACCTTGTCGAGAGGAGTCTCCAGGAGGCTTTCCTCTTCCAGCTCGTCGTCATCGTCATCCTCGACTGAGCTGAACTTTTGTGCCTACTGCTTGTTAGTCCCGTCCAGCGCATCAGGCATGAATATCTTACCTCTTCATTCAGGAAGTCGAGATAAGCGGCGCTCTCATCCTTGACATCCTCGGCCTCATCGGCTTCGTTGCTCCAGTCGGCTTCGTGTTCCCACTCGTCGTCCTCTTCCTCTTCGAATTCGGCAGAGTAGTCAAACGCATCTTCCTTCTTGGCTTCCTCACGGTCTACATATACGTTAGTACAGGCACTTGGGCGAAATATTGTTTCAAAGACTTACTCTTGAGAGCGGCGGGGAGCGTCTGGAAGAGGCGCGTAACACCCTGCAGCAGACGTGGCCAGCCTTGCTGTACACTGACAGGCACATCCTGAGCTCTTAGCGTGAGGAGCGCACAGATTGCCGAGATGCACAACTTCTTGTCATGGACTCTGGTGAAGTGGTCGATGCTCGAGAACCAGAGACTAAAGAACTTATTCGTCCAGCCGTTGCTCTCGAGAACATGTAATGCCAACGCGGGGTTGTAGTAGATGGAGTTGATGACCACCTCCATTAGATGTATCCGCAGGGACTTGACTTTTGGCTCTTCGTTTGTGAGCACATGCATCGTCAGCCCAATGAACTCTGGGATGTAGTCATCGACAGAGCCGCGCATGTTGAGCATGATAATCTCAGCCAGCTTGCAGCCGCAAATCCGGTCGACACCGCCGACCTTGTCATCCTTGAAAATAGTCCTGACCATGTCGACAATGGCATCGAGATACGATCGGTTCTGAACCAACATGGGAGTTCCGTAGTTGACAAAGTTCTCCAGTGCAGGAAGCATATCTATGATTGTCAGTGACTCAACCACGCAGAGACAGCTATAACATGTACACACCCTCGAGGTAGAGCTCAGCGCCAGCCTTGAAAGTCCTATGTATCAGCTCAAAGGCTTGCCACATGGTGCCCGAGATGCTCTTGGCGGCAAATGTGCAGCTGTCAATGATCTCAAAGACCTCGTTGTACAGATCTGAACACTTTAGTATGGGGACCTGCAGCGTATCAGAACTACTAACCGTAAAGCTTGTTCTCGAGCGTAATAGTAATGACAGGCATAAGAATAGTCTCGAGGTGCAAGAGGACGTCGGGAGTGCTCTCCAGAGTCAAAATCAGAGTACCAATCGTCTGCAAGACACCAAGCGCCGTGATGCTCTTCTCGTCGAGAAAGTCTCCGTACTCGCTGTCCTCGCCCTTTTCTTGATTTCTGGAAACCAACTCCCGCACAATGCGCAGATACGTGTCACGCAGCTGTTCACTGAGCGCTACGGCGAAGGGAGTCAATTCTGGGGCGAAGACTTCGACAAAATCCTCCATGACGTTTGACAGGGCGTCAACATCGACCTCGTTTGCGAGCTTCAGGAGCTGCTGCATGACCTGAGGGATATTTTGCTTCATGTTGGTTCGGATGACATCGTGACGGATGAGCGGCTGGAGCGACAGGGCGGCGGCCACGCGGACGGGAAGAGTGGGGTCGGCCATGGACTCGAGGATGTTGCGGTAGATGATGATGAGGTTGTTGGGGTCCTTGAAGTCAAGCTGCTCAAACTTCTCCAGGGTATCGCATGCGCGCGCACGAAGGAAACCGTGGGGACTTCGGAACTCGGGGAACACATGTCGTACGAAGAAATACTCAACCTGGTCTGCAATTGGACTCTTCTTGCCCAGGATGACGCCAGACAGGGTGCCAATCATACGCAGCGCACCCTCCTTCTCTCGCGGGTTCTTCTCGTTGTCAGGGGCAGCCTCGTAGCGGTTGACGACCTCGTTGACAAAGTTCAGCACGGTAAACGTCTGCTTGCGGCGGCTCTTTGTAAGCGTGACGAGGAAATTTGTAGCAGCAACATCGGGCGCGGTCACATCCTCGTAAAAGTTCAACTTCCGGTGCAGGTATTCTTGCGGCTCCTCGTTGAACAGCTCGATATCTTCATCCGACTGGCAAAGTACCGGGAACACGAGATGCGCAATCAGGTTTTCCGTGTGCGGCTTCAGGAGAGCCCACATAGTCTTGGGCTTGACACACTCGTCGAGGAAGTTGAGTGTGTAATACAAGCTGGCCTTTGACAGCCACACCTGCTTTCCGACCCACTTCTCAACCTGCTGCAGGTAGATCTTGAGAATCTCGGGCGCAAAGTTGGCGATAAAGTTCTTGGCAACCTCGGTGTAGTCAATCTCGTTGTTCTTGCCCAAGGCAGAGGGGTTGCCATATCTGCGTCTGATTAGCACTGCGGGCGTGCATTGTGTAGTGCCATGCCACGCACCTGACGTATAACCGGTTCAAGTTGGCATAAGACCACTTCTTCGCCTTCCACCAGTGATTTACTTCGCGCTCGTCGAGATCTTCGGGGAGGGATGACTCAGGGGGCTCTTTGCCTACTACGGTTAGGAAGAGTGTACACCAGCCAACCATGACCTGTTGCTCGCGGAGCGATGCGGGGAGATCGAACTACGTCCCAGTTAGCCCGCCATATTTTTTTTTCTCTGCCATGCCGCGTCTAGAGCCTTACGTAGATGGCGTGCTTGTACACCTTGAGCACGGTCCGTAATATCTCTCCCGCCTCCAGACTTGTCTCGCCGGCGAGCGAGTTGCCAATGTTGAGCAGCTGCGGGAACGACATGGCGACTATCTTGTCGAAGTCTGCGCGGTTCTCGCCCGACTTGAACCGGTAGATTTTGCATATCGCCAGCAAGCACTGCACACCCGCAAACACCGACTCAATGTTTCCGGCATTCAGCAGCTGGACGGTGATGTCGAGAAAGTCTGGCCATTTGGCGGGGAAGTCGTATGCGAGTATCTTCTGGAGGGTAGGAATAAGTTGTAGGCGCACCTGGGGCGGAGAGGCGACGAGGACGGGGACCAGGCGGTTGCGGAAGGCAGTCTTCTCCTCCTCTGGTATGGGCGTGGCCTGGCTGTACTCCTCGGCCGGCGACCAGCCCTTGGATATGCGGTTCTTGAGGTAGACGACGGCTGCAGACGGGGGGCGTCAGTGTGTGGTGAACAAGAGGCATCCGTGCACCGGGGCGAGCGAGGCAGGGCGCATACGTACTTGACAGACGGACGGCATTGTTCTGCTCCTGCTCGAGGATGTCTAGCAGGCCGCCAGTGAAGCCTGGCTTTTCCTCAGCCTGTTGTTTGGTCAGTCAGCACGCGATCTGTGTTGGGTTGCGCATGCGTCTCGAGTCGCAGGGCCACCACGCACATGCTTGAGGTCGAGCTCGGCTTGCTGTCTGACGACGGCGTTCGCGTCGAGTGTGGCCTGAATCCGGTCCCGCAAGCCGGCAACGTCCATGGTTTGGTGGGGGGGCTCGTGGTGGTGTTTGTGAGATCTGCGTTGGTGTTTTGACGGCCGACTAGGAGATGTCTCCGGGCGGGTGCGGTGAGAAAAGGCCAGTGGGGGGGGATGGGCGTCGGGACGAGGGCTGGTAGGCCTGTTTCTGCAGCCACAGGCACAGCGGCGGGCGAGTAAGAATTGGCGGGAGGGACAGAGGATGGAGAAAAGGCACGCGTGCTTTTTCCCTTTATTTTGCGCCTCGTCGGGCTTGTGCAGCTTGTGCGGGACGTGAGGATGGAGGGGCAGCAGTTAATTTTGTGTGGATCAGAATCGCCGCTTTCCCCCCTAGCAGAGTTAGCGCACGTGGCGGTCAATGCACTCAGCACTCTTCCTCCTCCGCCCTCCCCTGCCCATGCCAGCCCTTCCCTCCGCCCCTCGACCTCTTCGACTTGCCCGCGATACCAAGCTGCTTGTGAAACCGCACGCGCTGCACCAGAGAAGGAGCTGTGCCCAGCATCACCGCCCGCCGCGAGCTGTCCCCGTCTGTGCCTGCAAAAAAAAAGGCCGCTCCCGCACCATCCAGCATGCGCAAGAGGCGTACCTGCAGCGTTGACATCTTTACCAGCCCAACACAGCCGTTCGGATGGACCAAGGCCCTGTGCTTGGGCGCCCGACAGAAGAGAGCCCTTCCTGCTGGTGCCATGGACCGGCCGCTGTTCGTCTCGCCAGTCGTATGCATCTGCAGCACAATGGATTGTCGGCCTCTTGTCAACGGCACCCTTTGGTTCCAGCTTCCGTAGGACTAGATCTGTGGGCAAATGGCGCCATGCCCAATGGCATGCAGGTGGTCGTACCACACACACACACACACTGCCGGCCTATGACGATCCTTGGTCTTGGCCACTCATCGCGTAGGCGATAAGCAGATCGGCTGAGACGAGGGCCGCAAATCAGGGTCGTTGACCAAGATGCCGCCCCTCACATGCGAACCGGTTGCACTGCGACTGTGCTGCGACGTGCCCTTTTGATGGCCACGCACCAAAAGAGTATCATGCTACCAAAATGAGCGGGCCGGGCGAGGTGTGCATCCGCTCTGCTCTTCTGGGCCAGTGGTTTCGCAACCAGACTCGTCGACTGGCAACCTCAAACATGGTTCTTCCATGCGCCCCGTTTCAAGTAGCGACACCGACGAGGCTTTCACTGCTCGCTGACGGCACTCCAGCGCCACGGCACGTCCCGGCATGCATGTGATTGGCGCAGGACGGGCTGCCGCGAGCCTCTGAAAGAACAGTAGTTGTGGCTGACAGCTGTCAAGGCTGCAGATGACAAGCCGACCGACATGACCCATGCAGTCTGAGTTGAACAACCCGCCCAAAGTGACACTGGCATGTTTGAACCTGTGTTTTTGAAATCGACGCGGCCCGTCAAGTTCTTGGGATTGCAGTACATCAGATATGCGTTTTCTCAGACACGTTACGCTTAAGACTAGCCTCAGATAGCTGAGTGTGAGTGAATGGCTTTGTTTCATGGGCGGGGTGGGGGGGGGTTTTATTTTCCTGGGAAGTGCCATACTTATGAGAAGCAGACCAGCTTTTCCAAGTCAATAATACACGTCCATATAGTAAGCACAGCAAAAAAAACCGCCAACAAGGTTGTCATCTGTAGATTTGAATATATTTGTATATAGCTTGATATATATCTGCACCATGCAAAGATGGATTGTAATAAGGGAAGAAAAAAAAAGGAGAAAAAAAAAGAAAAAGAGATATCCTACGCCGTGTAAATGCCGAACGTTGCGGGAAAAGTAAAGTAAAGAAAGGAAGAAAAAAAAGGGGAAAAACAAAAGAAAATACCTTTGATAGGCATGTAATGCTTGTAGCAGCAAAAAAAGAAGAAGGAGAAGAAGAAAAAATGATAAACGCCACTAAAATGCCCCCTGGTTATATGTGCGTAAAACCGAACCAGCGGTTTCTTTCCTTTTTTTTGCCCATGCACATTCAATCATAGCCTCGTGACCCAACATTAACACACACACACACACACACATATATAGAGATACTTAACCAATGCTCTTCCCCCTCTTGCCCTTGCCGCACTCCCTCTTGCTAAGCGGCTCATCGGGAAAGACCCAGCCTCGCACGCGCTTGGCCTCTCTCTTCTCGCCAAGCTGGGGTTTGGGGATCCAGGCGTCCTTTTCGAGGAAGTTCTGGCGGGTGAGAGCAGCAGGGCCGCCGACATCCATGCGCCAGGTGCCCATGCCCTCAAAGGGGTTCTCCTTGGCGAGCATGTGGAGGTACCAGAGGGCGAGGGCGGCTGTGAGCTGGATGTCGCCGGTTTCCGGGTGGAAACCGTTGGTAGACAGGCTGATGGGAGCAGACGTCTCGAGGTACCCGAAGATGGGCACGCCTGTCTTGGCATTGACGGTTGTGGGGTCGGGAGTCGAAAAGTCAGAGGGCCCGCCGCAGCGGACGCAGAGGAGCTCAATCTCCGTCATGATGAAGCCGTAGCGGCAGCCGTGCTCGCGCATCACGCGGTGGAGGTGTGCGAGGCCCTGGAGGTAGAGGACTTGCTTTGGCGGCGACTCGCTGCGCATGCCCGTGTTCCATTGGTCGTAGCACTTGACGAGGCCAACGACGCGGCCGCGGCTGTCGCCAAAGAGAGTCTTTTCATAGTCTGAGGGGTAGTTGGAGACAAACTCTGGCTGTTGGCGTTGACCGGCCACGGGCTTGATGGCACGCATCATCATGTGTGTGTTTCCCTGGGCTACCTTGAGGGCGGCATTGACCTTGTTGGCGTAGTAGTTTGTGCAAATGTCTTGGAGCGCCGACTCGGTCTCTGGCTGCAGGTTCTGACGGCAGGGCTGGGGAAGGTAGGTGGCAGGGACGGGGACTTCGAGGAGAGGAAGCACCGAGGGGATGGCCTTGATGGTGGTGATGTTGAAGTCTTCCCAGCTGCGGAGGTTGCGAATGTCCCACCAAAAGTGGTTGTTGATGCCTCGAGGTGCGCTGGTGACGCGGCGGACTAGCGCTGGAGAAGGGTTGGGAGAGGACAGGTACTCAACCAGGGAAGACGTGGCTGGGACTTGTGGGAAGCCATCAAAGCCAAAGTCTCCAAAGGCAGGGTACTGCACAGCGGGGGCGGGGTCAAACTCGGGGACGGTAAAGTCCTGAGCGCATGTCGCAGTGAAGCTGTTCATGTTCTGGACAGCGGAGTATGCCGAGGGCAGAGATGTGACTAGGTTCAAGTTGGACTGGGGCATGGTTGAGGCAGTCACATAGCTGGGCATGTTGCGGTAGGTGGGGAAGCCATAGCGGCTGATGACCTGCTCATCGACACATCCAGCAGAGCCCGAGCGGGCATGGCGGGCTCGGTTGGCAGAGGCGGAGCGGGACTGCGAGCCGACATAGGAGGAGCGTCGAGAAAAGTCGGGCTGCTGTGGGTAGGCGATGGGCGAGTTGAGAGTGGAGAGGTTGAAGTCGTACGACGAGGCAGTCGACACGGGAGAGGTAATTGTGCTGTGCATGTTGTGGATGTTGTGGTTCAGCGGGCTGGATCCACGGCGAGCCATGGAGGCTGATCGGGAGTAGGGGCTGTAGGCATAGCCGGCACTGGAGTTAGACGTCGTCCTGCGATGTCTGACGGGACCAGTCGTGGGCTCGGATACCTGGTCCTGGATGCGGACCTTGGGAAGGAGGACGGGCCCGTACTGCCTGACTGGCGACCGTGGGGGAGTGGGGACAGCCATGTGAGGCTCTGGTGATGACGCTTGCGAGTAGTAGGTAGCGTCCGAGCCAACACTGCTGGGGATGTAGTTGAAAGAAGCATTCGGGGGGGTTGTTTGACGGCTGTACATGTTGGGCGAATGGGGAGCTACCAGACTGTGCTCGAGTCAATACAAATGGCTAGTGCTGAGCAAAAAAAAATCTTTGGCCGACGTACGCTGTGGAGTCGGAGAAGGCTGCTGGGGAAGAGATTATCGAATAGCGATTATTAGCAGAGAACCAGCTCCGAGTGTCTAAGACCAAACAATGCAACGGTAGGAAAGAAAAGAAAAAAGAAAACGAGACACGATGGACTCGTTGGGAGGCAGTGCTCTTTGTGGAAATGCAGCGCAAGATGGATGCGAGTGGTGGTTGCGGCACAGCCAGACTTCTTATCCTTCGTGTTGGCCGCGTAGAGACACGAGAACCAACGCCCTCGTCACGCTAGCAAAGCTGAAACATGATGCATCGAGGGGGGAGCAGGCCCGAAGCCGTGGACCGGTATACCAGCGGGCGTGTGGCGGTCTGGCGGCAGTAGGGCGGTGGTGTGGTGTGGTGTGGTGTGGTACAGTCGAGCGGGCCCGTCTACGACATGGGAGCCTCACAGGACGTCTGAAACATAGCGTAGCCGTTGCTTGGCCCGGGCGAGTACAGTACGTGGCTAGCGAACGACTTTCTGGAAAGCTATTCTTGAGCGTTGGCTGCCCGAAGCGGCATGGCGGGCAGGCCTGACAGCGTGTAAATGGCGGGGCGCCATGAGGCAGGCCACGGAAGCGGTAAAGCCGGCCAGCAAGGCGCTTGCAGCTGGGGCGGCTGGGACGGGGTGAAACCGGGCGCGGGACTTTTTTTCTCGCTCTCTCTCTCTCTCTCTCTCTCTCTCGCTGTCGGATCCCGGCTCTTTCTTTTTCTTGGTGTTGTAGTGCGGTTGCGCAGCGCAAGGGCGGCGGGGCGCGGGCGGCAGTTTGGGCGAGCAACGGGACGAATGGAGCGTCGTGGTGTTGAGAGGGTCGATGTTAGCGCCGCGGCGGGAGGCCCGTGCGCAGTCCCGCGAGGAGTGGGGCAGGCGGGGCGGGGGCACAGAGTCATTGCTGGGGAAGGCGGGCGGATGATTGGCTGAGGGCGCTCCAGCGTTTCGTTTCGGCTGGGCTTCCCGCAGCCCAAGACATGCACGAGCGAGTGACTCACCATGGGCGGAGAGAAAAGTCTCTTCACGCCTACAACACGTCCGCACAACACGTCAACGCGTAGACCGCGTTGTTGTCCGGGGCACGGCGGGCGTGACGGGGCTGCTTGGGGGTCTCTGGCCTCGCCCGCCCGCTGCTGCTGCTGCGCTGGATGCTGCCACGCCATGCAGCCCGCCCAGACTTCATGCGCTGCACTGCCTCACTCAGCAACGGGTGTTCGAGTACAGCGCCAGCGTCGTTCTCGCCCACCAGCCCGCCCGGCCAATCCACGCGCGCGTACGCTCAGGCGTTGCACCCGCAGACGCTGTCGTGGGGAAAGCGCACTGGCACTGGCAGCCTTGCTCTTGCCTGCCTTCGTTCCTTTCTGCTCGCTTGAGCCTCACGCCGCCTAGCGCGCTCCCACTCGCGTAAGCGCCCGCACTGCGCCCAATCGGGAAGTATTATGTCAGGGTAATGTCACCAAACTTAGGGCCCCCCGCCCGCTTCCAAGCCGGGGGCTCAAAAGGCCGTTAATTTCCCTGCAAGCGGAGCTTTAGCTGTCAAACGTCTCTGGGCTCACGACTGCTTCATGGAGCGCTGGCTTCGGATTGGCGCCAGCCGTTGAATCTACTACGCGCCCGTCTCGATACATGCTTTTTTTTTCCTCTCTCTCTCTTTCGGACCAACTCTCTTCCATGCTTGCCCTGCTCACCCTTCCCCCCCCTTCCCAGTGTTACCGCTGGTGTAAGCGTGACTCCACCCTCTCGGCCCACCACTTCTTCAAGTCGACCACCTGGCGCTTCGTTCGGGCCTCTTCAGCCGCAAACACCATGGCATGGCTCCGGAACGCTTCCTCGAGGTCGCATCCGAGGTACTTGCGCTGCGCCTCTGCCGCCGACAGCGCCCCCGAGTTGACATTGTCGACGGCCGTGAGGAACTGTCGAGTGAGGCCTTCGTCGCCGCCGCCGTGGCCGCGCTCGGCCACATGGGGTTTGTAAGTCTCCGTCTCGTCGGTGGCAAAGCTGTGCACCTTGATGGTGTGGCTGTCGTAGTCAATCTCGCCCTTTGTGCCGTAGATGCGCCCACGGCGCTCGCACTGCTTCTCGGTAAAGGCAACCATGTGAAACTGGGCCGTCTTTGCGCTGCGCCCTTGGATTACCGGCAGCCCACGCTCGTCCGTGTCCATGGGGTCGTCGTCCCATGTAATCGTCACACACTGATCGTCGCACACGTCGTTTGTCGACTCCCACACGCACCGCCCGTACCAGTTCCGCTTGTGGATTTCGCTGTCTGGCGTCCCGGCAGCGTAGTCCTCGGCCAGGTTCTTGAGCAGCTGCGCCTCGACAGCATCCCTGCCAGAGTGCTTGTACAAGTCTTCAATCTCCGGGTTCACCACCTTGACGGGCCAGTCGACGTTGCCGCTGTTCAGATGCCTCTCAATGTAAATCTTCTTGGCGCTGTACGTGCAGCTGGGCTCGTACGCACAAGACATGCAGTTGGTAGCCGACCCCGCCTCTTTTGGCTTTCGTTCCTTGCGGAAGAAGCGCAGTGATCCCGTCGAAGTAATGTGTGAGGGCAGATGGGGCACCGCATGCTTTGCGTTGGGCCCGGGCGAGCACAGCATCCACATCAGATAGTCGAGGTCATGGCATGACTTTGTCAGCAGCGACGGCGCCGTCTTGGACTCTTTCCTCCAGTTTCCCCTGGTAAGCGTTAGCCGGGGCCAATAGACAAGTTGCCAAACATGTTCCCTACCGCACATAGGAATGGGCAAAGTGCCACCATCCGATGGGCTCGACATGCTCGAAACTAATCACATCTCCAATGACGTCTTTGCCCAGCACCAGGTCCCTCAGCAGCATGTTGTGCGGCGTATACCTCAGGATATGGCAGATGCCGAAGATGGTCGGCCTCTGCTGCTTGGCGCCCTTTTCCAGCGCCTCGAACATGTTCATGCAGCTCTCGAGCCGCGTACTCATGGGCTTCTCACAGCAAATGTGCACGCCCATGTCGGCAATGCCACACACAACCTCCTCGTGCATCTCGTCCATGACACAGATGAAGACGGCGTCGATGCCTTTTTCCACGGCCTCGCCACCAACCGCTGCCCGCTCCCGCCGCTGCAGCTCGTAGGCTTTCCATTCACGCCAGTCGCTAAAGCAGCGCTGCTCCGCCTTTGTCGCCGCCGCCGCCGCACCAGCCTCGGTCATGTACTTTTGCGCAAACTCGCTCCGCTTGAAGTCATCCGGCTCGCACACGCCGGCTATGACGGCATTGGAGCACATGGTCACGGCCTCGCCATACGACCCGCCGCGGCTCCCAGCCCCAATGACCATGACGCGAGGGGGGTTGGTGAAGACGAGTTTCTTCGCCGGCTTGAGGAACTCGGTTCCGTTTGTTTCGATATTCATGGCTGGTAGTTGTAGTTGTTGTAGTCGTTGAAGTAGTCGTTGAAGTAGTAGTGATGGTGGTGGTGGTGGTAGTAGTAATAGTGGGGGTGATAAGTACAACACACTCAACCTTTTGACCCAAGCACACACACACACACACACACACAGCGTAACTAAGTAAATCAGTACAGCCACCCGTACGTTTCTCGCAGACACTCAATCACCCACGAAAGCAAGTGAGTAAAAAAAAAATCAAAAAGGCCAACACAACAACAAGGGAATCCAAGAGTTCCAGACCGTTTACTTTAAAAAGTGCCAAAACGACCGCGTCCTTCCCCCCCCTCCACACTCCTCCTAGTCCTTAATATATACTTTCCCCCGTCCACCCCCCCCCCCCCCAAGTCCTCAAGGGTACCTTTAGCCCCAAATAGCGTATGCACACTAACGCAGGGAAGAGAAGCCAGAAGCCAGAAGAAGAAGAAGAAGAAGAGGGGAGGGAAAAAAATTCAACACGCCTCTGGTACCCTTCACGCCGCCCGCTTTGCGCCTTATCCACGACCAACGTGGTCGCCCGCTAGCCAATGCAGCTAAGACGACAAATATTCCCGCGGGGTCCAGATGCACAAGCGGCCCCCCCGCCCCCCTGCCGGCGGCGGCGCTATCCTGTCCTTGCTTGCAGAACCGGCGTGTATGTACGTACGTATGTGTGTGTGTGTGTGTGTGTGCGTGTGTGTACAGAGATGAAAGGCAAAGCGTAGAGAAAACGTGTCTAGTATTCATCTCTTTGTTTTTGTATCTCTGCATCTCCATGTATATATCTGCGTAGTACATATCTATCTACGTACACATGTGCATGTGCATGTGCATATCTACGTCTAAAGTATATCCGACCCAAGTATCGATCCGAGAGTCCGACTGCAGCGTCCATGCATCCATGCATGCATCCATGCATGCTACTTACCTAGACCGGCAGAAACACACTCACACACACACACACACACACACACCGACACTCGCCACATGGAGACGTATGCGTATGTACCCAAGTATGTATATATGTATGTATGTATGTATGCATACCCAAGTCCCTGCTGCAGGGACTGCGAATCGTCGGATGAAAAATTACAAATACGGGATAAAAGGGAGTTGTGCACTGCATACTTACTGCATACGACGGGGCAGGGAAGGAAAGGGAAAGGGAAAGCGAAGCGAAGCGAAGGGGAGAAAGGGCGCGGTGCCGAGTATGTATGTATGTATCTAAGTATGTAAGTAAGTAGTTATGTAAGTAAGTAAGTATGTAAGTAAGTAAGTATGTAAGTAAGTAAGTATGTAAGTAAGTAAGTATGTAAGTAAGTAAGTATGTAAGTATTTGTGTGTGTGTGTACATGTGTATGTATGTGAATGTGTGTATAAATAAAGAAATACCAACTAAGTAAGTATCTACAGTACCTTGATGTGTGTGTGTGTGTGTGTATTCGGGTGTGGTGTGGTGAGGGTAGCTGTAAGCTGTGAGCTAGTATTGTCCCAGGGAGGGGTCAAGCACAAGCGTGCACGGGATTGCCACGTTTGTATGGGCAATTGGCCAATAAAGGCAAGAAGAGATGATGATGATGATAAAGGGTCAAAAGGGCGCGCGGCACGGCAATGCAAAATAGGCGACGCATACGCACACCCATGTTACCGGCGTGCAAGTGCGAACACGACAATGGACACCGCCAGAATGCAGAAACGAGACATCCTGGCGTATACTAGCTGGAGATAAGGTGAAGGGGGGGGGGGGAAATGAGCTTGCATCATTCAAAGCGGGATTTTTTTCCTACTTTTTTTTATGGGAGGTATATATATATGTATGGATGCATGCATGCATGGAAGAGGATTCGTAATGCCTGCTTCAAGCAGCGCTTCATGGCTTGGGCGTGTTCAATTCGTAAAACAACAGATAAACATCCTTTTGCATGTTGAGCACTTCCGACGTCTTGCTTTCCTTGACCTTGTCGTCGCTGATGCGCCACCACCGGTGGTTTGCCTTTTTGGATTTGCGCCGCATGGGATTCACATCGGCAATGGAAGATGCCTTTTCTGATGTCCGTTCCTTGAGCGAGCGTATGCTTCTTGACCGTGATAATGTCTCCTCTCCACTTGCGCCCCCGTTAGCAACGCCAGTGGATGAGGACCCTGATTGTGATGGCTCCGAGTCTGCCACTCGAGGAGCTGATGTCGGGGGTGGCCCCCGCGGCAGCGGTATGGTTTCTTGCGAAGATAGTGATTGCGACATGGGCGAGTCGGGGAGCGGTGACCTGCGGTCGATGTGGTTGGGCAGGTTGAGAGCCGAGATGTGTGGGCTTTGCATGGCAGACGGCGCTACGGACGGCGCTGCTGACGGGAATGGACTGGCTTGACGGCTGAATGCACCTTCTGTGCCAAACGAGACGGGCGTAGAAAAGGGTTGTCGTTGCACTTGGCGGCGGAACGATTCATAGTGGCCGCTGTTGTGGCTCCCCTTGTGCGTGACCATTGCGAGAAGGCGGTAGTTTTTGCGGTTAAGCAGTTCCCCCAGCGGAAGAGCTTCCGGAAAGGCGACCTTTGCCATGTTCTTCATCGACGTGGCACCAAAGGCAAAGGTAGAGCGCGACAGGTGTATCGCAAGCACCTTGGGAAACTGTGAAATGTACATGTGGCGGGCGATGCGGCTCTTGGGTGCTTGGCTCGACGGGGGAAGCTCAACATCGTCGGGCGTCTGCTCGGGGTCGTGGTCTATGGATAGCTGGATTTTGGCAATGTCCGACTGTAAGCGTTCTCGAACACTCGGGTCCGTGGCGGCCAGAAGCTGGCGATTCTTGCTCTGGAGCGCATGCTCTAGTCGGCAGCGCTCGCACCTAAAGTCGTCAATGTACTCGACCTTGAGCATGCCGTCGAGGCACGCATTGAGCGACGTGGACGAGGCTTGCGGCACATTCAGCGTCAGCGTGACAAATGTCGACACGGTCGGCTTCGGCTTGAAGTGGCACGACTGGCACTCGATTTGCGACTCAATCTTGCCCTCAAAGGGAAACCCTTCTTCCTCTTCGGAGACGTCCTCTTCAGCCGGGTCTTCGCCTTGGCCACCAGCGGATGGTTCGGGGAGCGCGACAGGCGACTGGACGTCGGCATTGTCCGCTCCAGAAGCGCCGTCCGCGTTGTTCACCGGGATAGCATCCAGCGTTGCGCGCCGCCGAGCCTTTCCGCCCGCATGGTATTCGTCGCACAGGCGCTCCGTCACGATCTGGAGGAACTCCTGGGCGTCTTGCTGCTGCCGGCTGATGCGCGTGCCGAATGCGCGCTCGAGGGTGCGGATAAAGGGCTGGGGGGAGATTGTCTTCTTGTAAATGGGCCGCTCGTTGAGGGCGTCGAGGATGTCCTTGAGGCCATGCGTGAGGACGCCGCGCTGCAGGCCCTCGAGCTTGGCGGGTCGGGCGGGCCCGTTGGCCGTGTTCTGTCGCTCCGGGTCGACGTGGTAGACGTCTGGGCCGTCGAGCAGGCGGCGGTGGGTTTCGCGTATGAGGTATATGCGCAGGTCGGGCAGGCCGGCGAGGGCCTGCAGCACCGAGTTGATGAAGCAGTCGTTGGCAGCATTGGTCAGCCCCACGACGCCCTTCTTCTTGGTGGTGGCGTCGTCGTCGAGAAAGTACGTGGGCCCAAAGACGTAGACGAGGGTGATGGCGGCGAGCGAGGCCCCGGCGGCGTAGGTCGCAATGGTCAGCGGCTTCTCAGGCATCGTGTGGCGCCTCCGCCCGCTCTCGCGCGGGATTGGACGGAAGTGCTCGTGGCTCGCGGGGGCGGGTGGATGTGCAATCAGGAACGGGGCGTGGGAGCGGGAGCGTGGTGGACAGGGCGTGGGCGGGGAGAAGGGCTGGCGGCGGCAGACGCCATTGTATGACTGCTGGCCAGCGGTGGGAAGATTGCACTGGCCGCCGCCGTCTTGTTTGCTTGTGAGGGCGGCGGAAGTAAAAGTATGCCGAGCCTGGCGGCCACGCGCACCGGCCACTGGCAACCTCCGCTTCCGCCGCACCCATCGCCACCATTGCAATTGTCCGAACCAGAAGGGTTTTTCCCCACGACGACGCGCACAATGGCTTCCCTCACGCGCCCGGCCCTCGTGCCCCAGTGCACCGCATGCATCCGGCGCGCCACGCTGCGGACGCTCGACGCGCGGGGGACGCTGCAGCAGCAGCAGCAGCAGCAGCAGACGCGCGCCCTCTCCAAGGCGGCCAAAGAGGCAGAGCGCAACATTGTCGTCAAGCTGCTCCAGGACGTGCCCAGGTTTGGCCGCGCAGGTACGAGGCGTCGACGACAAGTGCAGGCGCTCCATGGCTCATGCTAATGCTGCAAAGGCTCCTACGTGCCCCTCAACCCCTCGCTGATGCGCAATCGCTGGTTCCCCGCCCGCATTGCCGACTATGTGCCCATCGCGCAGCTCAAGCAGCTCCAGGCCCACGACGTCGACATGGCCCGCGACGCCACCTTTGGCGTGAGGCTGAATCTCGAGGAGGCTGCCGACGACGACGATGGGCCGGCGACGCAGCCCAAGCGCTACGTGCGGCCCATTGAGATTGATGTGCTCAGTGTACGCTGCATGGCCCGTTGGTGGTGTTGGTGGTGGTTGCAGTGCGCGTGCTAACAGAGAAAACAGCCCCACCGGTCCATGGAGCTCCTCGATACCTTTGTGCCGCCGACGATTGACTTTTACCGCCAGCGCATCGAACAGGAGGCTCCGCGAGAGCGCGTGGGCGCATCGGGGGCGGCAGACATCCTGACGGCAGCGGCCATGAACCGGGCAAAGACACCGGCCAATGCCATATACGGGTCTGTTTCGACGGCGGATCTGGTAGCCACCATCAAGGGCGCGCTGGCGCACAACGACGAGGCAGCGCGCGTGATTCTCAACGAGGCCGACGTCAGGTTCGTGTCAGGGCATGACGAGGGCGATGCGTCGCGCGTGAAGCAGCTGGGCACGTTCAAGGCCGAGATACGGATAGCGGGCGCCGACGAGGCTCTGGTGCGCAACGTCCGCGTCAGGGCGAAGGAGACGGAGGCATAGGCGGCGGCATAGGCGGAGGCATAGGCGGCGTCTACCCACGGGGCTGCAGGTAGTCACAAGGCTTCTCTCCCCCTCCGCCTGTCGACTGTCCGGCAAGGCCCAGAACCTCGGGAAACGAGCGCTACTCGGCGGCGTATAGGCAGATGCAGAGGGCTGGCTGTAGGCGTACCATGCACATGACTTGGCTTCCGCATATCGGAAGAAAAAAAATGGGATAACGCCTCGGGCTCAATCACCATGTCCATGTTCTGGGTCGGGTGAGGCAGCGTGAAATCATTGGTGGGCCCCTGGCAGACGGGCAGCGAGTGCGGTTGCATGGCGTGTTGCGGCGAGAGTCGGACACCATGTCGCCTGTGGCCGCCGCCGTGTTTGGTTGAGCGGGCGACGGCCATGGCAGGCCACGCGAAAAAAAAGAGCCCACTTTGCTTCCGCGCTGCCGAGCATAAGCGGCCCCGCCATGACTTCAGAGCGCGGCCGTGAAGCATCATCGTCGCCCACTTGCCCACCCCTCCATGGCGTCTGTCGTGGGCGCATTGTCTGCAACGACGGCCTGCGCATGCGTGCGAGCAGGGCGTGGTTGCGTGTGGCATTGCCAAACCGCACTCCGATGGCGGGCGCTGCGCATGCGCGGGCTGCAGTGTCATGTCGGCGTCTTTTGTGTCGTTGGTTGCTTGTGCTGGCCTGGCCTGGGCAGGGCAGTAGCTGCTGCAGCTGCGTCACTGCCAGGCGATTAGCGGGGGTGTTTTTCGACGGTCCGCCAACCCCACTAATACCGCGTTGCAGCTTGACTTCACCACTACATAGCTCGCGGCTCCCTGCGCAAACTTTCTCCCAACTACATCTCCTCCCCCCATCACACACGCATCACACACATCGCACGCATCACACACATCGCACGCATCACACACATATACCCAGAACCACTCCCACCACACCAGCAAACATGGTCCAAGCTACCGAAGTTCTCAGCCGCAAGTATGTTGCTCGCGACCCCGCCTGGCCCCTCATGGCGTGTTTGACGGGCCTCGACTGACATTGCACAGGACCGGCGTCATCGTCGGCGAAGACGTATGCCGCCCTTATCCCCAGCAAATTAACTCGAGCACGCTGCTGACCCTGCCCAGATCGAGAAGCTCTTCAAGCACGCCCAGTCTGAGGGATACGGCATGTACCCGACACGCTCAGCCACGGAGACCAATTGCTAACTTGGAGTCTCACAGCCATCCCCGCCATCAACGTCACATCTTCTTCCACAGTCGTTGCCGCCCTCGAGGCTGCCCGCGATTCCAAGTCGCCCATCATCCTGCAGCTGAGCAATGGAGGTAAGGGAGACCCGCAGAACCCCCACATGAAACACGTGCTAATTGCCTCTCCCAACAGGTGCCGCGTACTTTGCAGGCAAGGGCGTTGCCAACTCCAATCAGGAGGCCAGCATCGCCGGTAGCATTGCTGCCGCTCACTACATCCGATCCATTGCCCCATCCTACGGCATCCCCGTTGTTCTCCACACCGACCACTGCGCCAAGAAGCTCCTCCCCTGGTTGGACGGCATGATGGACGCCGACGAGGCCTACTTCAAGCAGCACGGAGAGCCTCTTTTCAGCTCGCACATGATTGGTGAGAGGAGTCGTATTGTCTTTTTGCCCACCTCTACTAACACACTTGTCAGATCTTTCCGAGGAGTCCAAGGAGTGGAACATTGGTAAGTAGGCCCAGAGAGGCGTAAAAAAGCCCTCAAACTGACATATACTGACTTGATTCCAGCCACCACCAAAAAGTACCTCCAGCGCGCCGCAACAATCAAGCAAATGATTGAGATGGAGATTGGTATCACAGGAGGTGAGGAGGACGGTGTCAACAACGAGGATGTTGACAACAACTCCCTCTACACTCAACCCGAGGACATCTACGACATCTACAAGGAGCTGTCCGCAGTTTCTCCCCTCTTCTCCATCGCTGCCGGTTTCGGCAACGTCCACGGTGTCTACAAGCCCGGAAACGTCAAGCGTGAGTGCCACCAAGTTCAAAGACGTGTAAAGACGTACTGACCAGCTCTCCAGTCCGCCCCGAGCTCCTGCAAAAGCACCAGGCATACGTCAAGGAGAAGACTGGCTCCAAGGACGACAAGCCCGTCTTCCTCGTCTTCCACGGCGGTAGCGGTAGCTCCGTCGATGACTTCCGTCAGGCCATCTCTTACGGTGTCGTCAAGGTCAACCTCGACACTGACATGCAGTGGGCCTACCTCTCTGGTATCCGGGACTACATTCAGTCCAAGAGCGGCTACCTCCAGACTCAAGTCGTGAGTTGAACCTGATACGAATGAGATTTTTGCAATGTCTGACATGTACACAGGGCAACCCCGACGGCGATGACAAGCCCAACAAGAAGTACTACGACCCCCGTGTCTGGGTCCGTGAGGGTGAGAAGACCATGTCTAAGCGCATCAAGGTCGCCCTGGACGACTTCTACACCACTGGCAAGGCGTAAAATGCTGAATAAGCCTGAATTGGTGTTTGGTTCAATCTCCCAGGGAGCAGGCGTTTGCGGATGAGCATGAGCTAAAATTGCGAGCATCGGTATGAGGAGTCAGCGGTCCCGTGATGAGTCTGGCCAGGGAGCAGACGCATGTAATAGACTATGAAGAAACGTTCAGACATGAAATGTAAAACAATTGATCAATGTCTTTGGTGCATTTGATGTTAGCGATTAAGACTGGTAGTATGATGACTATGAGAGTGATGAAGGGGTTTGCTCTTTGAAATCGACATGATGCCTTTTAGACTGAATTTGGCTGTTTACGGCGCTCTTAAGGTGGACAAGTGCAGGGTTAGCTTTGAAATGTCCGAGACCATGGCTGGATGCGATAAATGAACACCGAGTCCTTCACCGAGCAAGTCTACTTTACAGTCTCAATTTTGCAACGAGGCCTGCCACTACAAAAGGCAACAAGTCGCTTTCTAGCCTAGATAGACGACAAGCCATCTTCCTATACTCAGAGTCTACTTTTGTGCAATATACCCTTGATTATATTCAATGCCACCCTTGCTAGGTTTCTCGTTTTAACTACCTCATCCATCTTCTGCTTCTCTTTTTTTTTCCTTTTTTTTTCCTTTTCAACGCTTTCTGTTCCCTTGAGCAGAACTATATATATATATATATATATATATATATGCGTATCTGTACATATATATATGTATTGTTTAATCTTCATCTTCCACCCGCCTTTGATAACCATATGTAGCTATTCAAGAAAAAGAAAAAAGAAAGAAGGAAAGAAAGAAAGAATAATTCAATTCATCACTCTCCTCCTCTCGGGCACACCCTCCCACGAAACCGCAAACGTCGCCACCGCATGCGCCACGCCCCTCGCACTCAGCAAGAAGGCGTCCGCGCTCAGATTCCCAGCCGTATCGCAAGCCTTGTGATTACACCTGTCATGCGACACGCCCATTTGGCCGCCAAACAAGCGCGCTTCTTCCTCCGTCTTGAGCTCAGAGCCGCCCGTGAAGATGCCGCTGACGGGGATGCCGGCGTCTTGGAAGGACGCGTGGTCCGAAAGCCCTGTTAGGTAGGTGATTGGTTTGGTGTTTGCGCCGGCCGAGGCGTAGGATGCGTTGAGTACGGATTCTAGTGCTGCGCTGCCTGTTGGCGCGTTGGCGCTCGAGTAGATGCCGTTGATGTAGTTTGGGCTTGCAATCTGGAACCCGCCTTAGTATGTAAAACGTTTTGCGAGGCGTTGCTGTATCTGTTGTTCCTTCTCCTGGCTTTTTTTCTTGCTTGCTTGCTTGCTTGCTTGGGCTGGGCTGGGGGAAAAAGATAACAAGACTCACCATGTCAAAGTTAAGATACGCACGTATCTTGGCTAGGTCCTCTGCAGACAGGCTACTGACAAAGTGCTTTGATCCCACGAGTCCTGCTTCCTCGGCAGCCCAGAAGCCAAACACGACGGCATTGTGCACCTGGTACTTTGCGAGCGCTTTGGCGACTTCCAGGATCCCGATTGTGCCACTGCCGTCGTCATTGAGGCCGGGGCCCTCGGCCACGGAATCCGTGTGCGCACCGAGACACAGCTTGTTGGTCCTTTCTCCCGTCTTGGTCGTCGCAAGCACGTTGTACGTTGTCATGTTTTGGATCTCAGTCTTGACATTGATCGTAGCGCTGATGCTGGCGCCGCTTTTGATCGCAGCAACATATCCAACGCCAAGCTCCTGTGCAATGCCGATGGTGGGGATATAAGCACCCTCTGGCCGCGGTCCTGGAGATAAAGTCCCTCCGAGAGTGCCATTGACGTTGTTGTACAGAATGGCGGCTGCAGCGCCCGCCGCGCCCGCGAGTGCGGATTTCTGGCCAAAAGCGCATGTTCCGCGCGAGATGAGAGCAATCTTTCCGGCCACCGCAGATGGGTAGTCGGACTGTGTGTGCATTTGTCAGTTCATGTGAATCTTTGGCCGTGTAACATGATAGAATTGGGTTTCATACGGCTTCACAGCCCAGATTGGCAACGGGCACTAGAGTCGCGGTGACGGATCCTGAAGGCGAGTATTCCAGCAAGCTGGCGGTTACATTCGTACCGTTTACCATGGAGCTGTTGATCTGGCCGCTGACCTGTCTGACGACGCGCACTTGCTGCAGCTCAACATCGTAAGCGCCGGTTGCATCGAGCTCATCTTTGACCCAGCGAAGCGTGCTGTTGCATGCTGCACTTCCGAGGACGCGGGTGCCGTTGGATTGCGAATCGGCAAAAGTTTGTAACGTTTGCGCGCCAGCCATGAGGTTTTCCACTTTGATCTCGGCTTTCAATGCGTCCTTTTTGAAGAAACCGTTCAGCAAACGCACACACACACATGCGATATCACGTGTCGCGGGGAAACGACATACAGGTGTAACCAGCTCCTTGCCAGACTGCCTGCTCCTCAGCGTGGGATTCGCCGTCACCGCAGCTGCGAGCGCAGCAAAAATCGCCGTCCTCATACTCGCATAGATCCGGCAACCCGGCTCTTTTTCGTTTCGATAGTCGTGGTGGCGGGAGAGGGGTGTAGGTATCAACAAGAACCCACATTACCCTGCGGCGCAACCCTACTATATATGCGCGCGTGCAATCCCAGTAGTACAACCTGGTAAGCGTATCGGGCAGTCATGATAGTCGAGGTCAGCACTTTGTTGCTTTGGCTAGTCGGGCCCGATGTCATCACTGCCAAGCACGGCTCGCTCTTGGGGGATATGTCGTCGTCTGCTAATACTCTTTTGCCTCATCTTGAGGTACCCATATGGCACTTTCCATGCCCTATATGTCTTCTTGCTCTTCTTCACATACATTCGAAGCACACAGTCTACATAGTTCCTGACTGCAGGAACCCAATGGAGTAATAATAATAACAATAACAATAAAGCAAGCAGCCTTGGCTGCAGTAGCGGTGTTGTTGTTGATATGCTTGGCAGCCAAGGCGTAAGGTTGCTGGCCAGAAGCTTGTGAATATTGGAATGGGCAGAAGCTTCAAGTTATTGTTGGGCCATTCGTCCAAAGAGATATTCCAATCCAAGTATACAAAAGGCGTGATGGACCGTTTGCTTGAGGTTAAAGTAAAGCGGTTGTGCAGTGGCGGATACGGGCGGGAGGGGCGACAAGGATGTGCACCGCTTGTTAGTTTAGCGTGCTGCCGTTTCCCATCTCGAGACGTCGGCAAGGAAAGCTGCGCATTGTATGGCTGGTTGGTGAGGGGGCGTTGGGTGCCTTTTGCGCAATCGTTGCGTTCATTCGTTGCATTCATTCGTCCATGTACAAAGTGCATGGCGGATTTGACGTTGACGGGAAGTTGACTCTGAGCAGCGTATCAAGGGATGAGAAGAGTTTATGCTCCTATTCGGGGTTTTTGTAAACATCTTCTGCGTTCTGAGTCTGCGCCATCTGATGCGGCGGGTGAATGCAAGGTGTTGTATCGTCTAGCTAAGAAGGGTTGTCTCGAGTGAGCTATCTACTGGTATGATCATGTGATAAAGACCACCCGACGTCTGGGTCTGGGCTGTCCTTTTCTAACCCTTCTTAGCATGTACTTTCATACGTTACTTTGAGGCCTCGATTATCCTAGGCGAGCAAAATTCTCATCTAAAAGCACTCATGAATCGGCATCCAATCCTTGATACCGTCCCCAGCAGTCGGACCGGGGAGAGTCATCACGTGGCTCGTCTGCGTAATCATAGCATTCACAAAGCGTCACCAAAGCACATTGGCCCCTTGAACATCCTTCCAAGTTCGCCTTTCGATTCTTTAGCTTGCTCTTTGCCAACCTGGCTTTGGTCTGATGTAGTGTGTGTTCTCCCGAAAGTAACACCTCGCACTTATATCTACGTTACTTGTTTATTTTTGGCCCCTCACCCCTGCAGTCACGGATATACTGGTTACCATCTGGCGTAGGGGGGGTATAGTGCCTATCATATCTGCACTTCTTCGAAATTGTTCCTTTTTCATTGATGCTGGCGGCTGGCGCCGCTGGGATGAGGAAAGAGGGGTGAAGGAGTAGGAAAAGGGAATGTGAGCCGTGGCGGAGCAATGTATCCATATTCTGGCTTCCAGCTGGTGACTTCTTTCTTTACTGTTAGCCTGCCTTGCGCTACAAAGCATTACGATTCTGAGGAAGGATATAGACGGCGGACGTCTTGGCGAGCTGAGCTGTTGTGGCTGCTGCACCTCAGCTGCACATCGCGTGAGTGCGGGGAATTTGGGCACTGGAACGCAAACCATGAAAGCTGAAATGGGTTTCATCTTTGGCTACTGCCATCCGTTGACTACAACCGCCTTCCCTACCACGACCCATACATTTCATTCCGCAGAATCATAAGATCAGCTATCACGCACAACGTCTTGAGAGGTTCCAACGCCTGGCCCAATATGTCTTTTGGATGGTCAGCTGGTGATGTAGTTGTAGCCGTACAGATTCTCTGTCGTGTCGGCATAGCCTTGTCAGAAACTCATGGCGCAAAAGCACAAGTCAAGGAAGACATGGCATTCTTGGAACATCTCGAGAAAACATTACAGAATGTCAACAAGGCTGTTGGTAATGGTCTTACATCTACCGGTCTTCAAGGCAAGGTTGATGCGATTCACCAACCACTTCTCAAAACCAAATCCAAGATACTGTCTTACATGGAACTGACTCAAGACGGTAAGGGGGATGCGGTTGATTTTGCCGTCCGTTCTTTGAAAAAGATCATTTATTGCGAGTACTTTTCCAAACAAGTTGGGAAGCTGAAGGAGAAGATAGCAATACCGCTACAAGGAATCCAATTGGAGTTGGCAATGTTGAATCTCGGACGTCTACAGTTTACCCAGGAGACGCTGGAGAAAGGATTCGCAAGCACTAAACAGTTCCACGACAAGGAGTTGTTGCATAAGATTAAGGCGTGGCTACAACCAGTGTCCACGGTCCAAGATACATACAACACAAACATCACTAGCCTGCTCCCAGGGACCTGCGAATGGTTGTTCCAGAAGGAAGAGTACGTCGATTGGTACAGTCAGTTTCCCAAGAAAACCTCGCCATTGCTGTGGATTTCTGGCATTCCAGGAGCAGGCAAGACGACTCTGGCAGCAAAGATTATCCAGAGACTCGGCCAAGACGGGCAAACGGTATGTTATTTTTTCTCCAAAGGATCAGCCCAGCGGTCTGATGTCAGAAAAATTCTTACTACACTCTGTTGGGAGCTGCTCAACCAATTCTCGGAAGATGGCGAGTTCCTGCAAGAGGCCTACTACAAAGGTGGTGAGCCGACCGAAACGGACATGAAGGATTGCCTCAGCCTCATTTGCGAAAAACGGAATGCGGTGATACTTGTAGACGGCTTGGACGAGTGTACTCTGGATACGCGAAAAAACCTCTGTGCTCTCTTGGTAACTTTGGTTGCTCACTCCAACGTTGTTGTAATCAGCCGCGAGCTCGAAGACATTAAACAAGGCTTGGCTAAAATACCGAACCACCTCGGACTGGTACACATCAACATATCCGAGTCTGACACAAGAGATGATCTCAAAAAGGTCATAGAGAAAGAGACCCAACGACTGGGTTTATCTGCCGAAGAGACGAAGAAAGAAATCACCCGCAGGTTGCAGATTGGATGCAAGGGAATGTTTCAATGGGCGACGGAAATGATCAAATACTTGATCGACAGCGAATGCATGTATGACGACGAATACTTGACTAAGACGGACGACATGCCAACGGGCTTACACGATCTCTACACCAAGATTCTCCACCATATTCACAAAGGAAAAACTCAAAAAGTCGTGCGCATCTCGATGAGCTTGTTGTGCTGGGTGGCTTTTTCTCGCAGAGCGCTGTCTCTTGCGGAGACAGCGATGATGCTTCGGATTAGAAATGGCATGCAGGAACACGGAAAGATTACCGCAGCTGAACCTGCTGTATGGAGACAGAAGATCAGCAGCTTTTGTGGGTCGTTGGTCCGCTTCGTCCAGCGAGAAGGAAACGACGTGGTAATTCTTGCGCATGCATCTGTAAAAGAGTTTCTTCTCGGGCTCACAGACTACGAAAGAACCGATACCACGACTCAAAAGGAGGCTAAGATTGAAGCTGAGCTCGCCGAGACTTTGTCTCAATTATCTCTCCTTTGCAGATATTGAGCATCCACCATTCCAAATTACACGAGATGGCGAGTCCTGGGCATCACTGGAATCACGGTTTGAGCAGTATCTGGAAAAGTATCCATTCATGGACTATGCGGCAACGAATGTGTGGCATCATGCTGTCATCGCAGCCATGCAACCGACTACTCAAATACTCGTCAAGCGATTTTTCTCTTCGGAAACTGTAATCATCCGTTGGCTTCAAGTGTTCTTGCGACTCCGGGGCGACCGTGGTATATGGCGGAGCAGCAGTGCCTACGAAGAAATCCAGCTCATAAGAAAGACTTGCGAGCTAGCAAACTGCTCATCGGACGTGAGTCGCAGGCTGAGTCTTCTTCTAGGCCCAAATCACGGACGATTTCGTAGATGGAAGCGGTTCATCACTTCAGGCACTGCCAATGATTTCCTCCCCGCTCTTCATGTAGCTGCATTCTTTGACTTTGACGGATATTTGGAAAAAGCTCTCCGGGCAGGTGCCGATCGAATTGAGAAGAGTCTCGAAAAACAAACCCCACTCCATTTGGCAGCTCGAGGTGACTCTGTGAATTGCGGCAAGATTTTGTTGAATCATTGTGCGAATATCAATGCTCGAGGATGGTCAGGCACCACTCCACTTAGTTGGGCAATCGATGGTGAGATATACACGGATGCAGCTGGAGAGGGTCCCTTTGAAATGGCTTGGTTTCTTCTGCAGCACAATGCGGATCCAACACTCGGCCCAAGAACCCCACATGAGCATTCGATTCCCATCTCATGGGCCTGCGGATACCCCCAGCCAGATAACCCCTACATACTGGAACTGGTAAACGAAATGCTGGACCGTGGTGCTTCGATATACATCGATGGATCTCCAGGGTTTAGGAAGCCACTGCTCACCAGCGCAGTCATTGCCAAGTCATGTAGGCTTGTTGACCTTCTTTTGGCGAAAGGAGCAAATCCGAATGGCGGAAAGAACCTCGAAAACAAGGAGTATTCGAGGTTCAACCACCCTCTCATTGCCGCGCTGAGAGAATCACCAACCAACGCATCGTTGAGAAACTAGTCGACTCTGGCGCTGATCCAAACGCCGTAGGCCGCCATGATCGAAGGGCTTTGCACTTGGCCGCTAGCGTTCCATCACCCCAACTTGCAGCCAGCTTGACCGCAACGCTGGTCCAAAGGGGAGCAGACTGCAACGCCCGATCCAGCGATGGATCACTGCCTCTTCACGAGGCGACCAGATTCGGAAATCTTGGCGCAATGAAAGTATTGATTGCACAACATGAGCGCCATCAACTCGATACCGAAGACGACCTGGGCAGAACACCGTTCACGATTGCCGTCGAAATGAATTTCAAAGAGGGCGTCCAAGTACTGCTCGACGCTGGAAGTTCGATGGAAAGCAGCCTTTGGAAAGTGAAGCGAATCCAGAGAAGCCCGAGTCAGTTGGAGAATGCCCGCCACACATCGTATGAGGTTGTGGAAAAACAAGCCGCCTCGTTCCCGCGTACCAGGGAAGATCAATACCTAGTATATTTCCTGCTTCGTGGCGCGGCCAGGCCGACAGCGACTGCCAGCCCACGTTGTTCGAATGATTCTTGACGAAGCTGATTACTGGATCAAGGCGACGTGCGGGCGTTATGAAACACTGGAATACGACGAGGACGAAGCGAACAAGCGGGCTGCTTACCTGGTCACTGATGCCATTTGTGGAGCTAGTCGCTTTCCCGTTCGCGAAATCGTCGTTGTTGTTCGCAGCCATGATCAAGGATGGAGTGATTACCGACACCAGCATGGGAGTTACGAAGGATCAATGACATGGTTTGATGTGGTCGTGCAAAGACCAGATGGGTCGACACGCAACATTGGGAATCATGGCCAGGGTGTTATAACTAATGTCCACGCTTATGTCGAGGCACGAGTACACTTTGTCGTGTTCAAATTCATTCCGTCCAGAGGACGAACGTCGTGGCTGGGTCTGATCGAGCCCGGCGATAGGCTTGGTATCGTTCCTCAAGCTCGGTATCGGGGATGGGTAAACTATGTTGAGAGTGTGCGCATTGATGTTTTCTCGACCTTCATCCTAGAGCGCGCTAGGGGGTAAAACATCCTAGTAACTTTACGGATTCATTCAGAAAAGGCAATGAGCCGTTGTAGTAACTGCCATAAGCTTATGAGATTTCTCCTAACATGTTTGCTCTACCATTTGTGAGACTTCAATTCTCATCTATCATGTACCATGGAACGATCATACCAACTAGCTAGCCATATTTGCTGCCTTTCTTCAGCTCAGTTACCTCGGCGGTAGTTCCAAAAGCCGCTAGTTCAGTATCTTCCTTGACCTGGCCAAACTGTACTTCGAGATCCAAGAGGTCTTGCAGGTGATTGACAGATCCACCCAGACATGCCTGTTTGGCCAATTTATTAAGCATCGAGTTTCCATTCGTCGTGGCGCACAGTACTTGAAGGAAAATACCAGAGTCAGCGGCCACGCCGTTCTGCACGAGAGCGACCAGTCCAAGAGTTGCGAAACCAAGGCAGGTAGCCAGCAACGCTGCGTACGAAGCGATGAGACGTTCTGGTTCTTTGAATATGTATGCATTTTCGTACGAGATGGTGTTGACCATGGTCTGGGTCTTGTGCCTCGCGGCGTTGAAGATTGAGAGTGTAGTGTTTTGCATGAGCTCCTCGATAACTGCAGGTGATAGTTTCAGGCGTACATCGATGAACCGGTAGAAAGAGTCGTTGCGAATAGGTACAGCCAGAGGTGTTTCATGGATCACCGTGTCTTGGATTTCCTGAGCTTCAAGTCCTGTCCCGATAACCGTCAACTTTCTCCATTCAAGCCATGACCGCAGGGATAAAAGAGAAGCATGCGGCTCTTTTGGGACGAGCAATATCAGCTGACATACCGTATTCTTGAATGTATCCAGACAGGCAATATATCATTGCGTCGCTCATAGCCCGTACTTGGGTTCCGTGCATCAAATCCAGCATTTCGTTCTCCGTGTAATTTCCATACTGTGTTGGATACTTGACTGGATCAGTCTGCGGCCGAGAGCTCATGAGGTCGTAGAACAGTGACCCCACGACCAGAGGAGACGCGTTTTAAGGCTTTTTATCGGTGACCTTTACAGCGATGCTCTGGGTACCGTTTTTGTACTGCACCTCCACGTTGTACTTGGCGTCCATGGTCACGCAACTAATAAACCGGTAAGCGTCATCGTTTGGAGCCCGGTAGCTGATGACGAAGGTGAATGGGCTGTTTGAGGACTGGCCGAAGACCGCATCTCTTGATAGTATTGGTGCTGCCATATAATTATAGTGCGTCGGATCAGAGTCTTTCAGGGTTCTGAATGTATCTCCAAATGCTATGGGAAAGGTAGCAGACGTAAGATTTGGTATCATTGTCACCTCTGCACATTGCAGGCTTGGGGCCGCGAACGTTAGAGTGTAGGAGCAATTAAGCCCACAAGGTGAGGGCTGTGTAAGGAAAGCACCTTGAAGCAGTGTCTTCCTAGCTAGACCCTTGAGGCTATCGGCAGGCCACCTTACATGAGTTAGTTCCGGGCGTCATGTGCGCTCGTAAGATAGATCGCCAGAGTTGCTGGGGTCTTACCGATATTCTCCATCATAGCCAGTAGTAAACATGGCGTTCTGGAAAAGGGCAACAGCAGATCCATTGCGATGGTAGTCGATATCCAGTGTAGAAACCTCTGTCTAATTGGTTTGAGGAAATGGATAGAGATCTACAATCAGCGCACCAGTTGGGAAGATTGTGGTGATGATGGGGATCACAGGGAGGAAAAGCCCGAAGATCCAGAGGATCGGAACATGACGCAATATGTCGAGCCGATATAAATTCAAGGGCCCCGTGCTGAGTGAGAACAGCGCGTCAATCTTCGAAACTGACAAGCGCCGTCTTCGAAAGTACCACCAGAGGAGTTGGTTGAATGCCTGAGATGCTGAAATCACGAGGAGCAGAGAGAATATGCGAGCAAAGGCCATGGAGATGGAATTATTCCAACTTTGCGGCACAGTTGAGGCGACGCGCTTTTGATCAAGTTCACGGCAGTAGATATAGTGTGCCACTGCCACTAGCAAAGCTTTGTAGCATTTTAGCTCCAACAGACCCAAAGTATTTGTGTAGTAGACATACCCAAGACAAAGCTGCCAACTATGATGACAGGCGTTAGCCAGCCGATCGTCCACTTGCAGTTACTAGATGAATGGCGAACGGATTTGCTATTGTTATAAGCCGTTTGAGACCCATCTGACAATAGAGGATGGTTCACCCGTTCCTCTGTGCGAGTATCTAACTCGTACGCATGATTGTTGTAGACGGTATCACCATCTCCTTCGAGAAGCGATGGGCGAGAGGAGGTGGTTGGGCGTGTTGATGGCTTCGTGGATGACATGAATGGAACAAAACTGGGGATACATTAGCATGCAAAATAGGAGGTTCTCTGTGCCGTAGATTCCGATTCAAAAGAAAAGATCTTACCAAGGCTATGCATAGGCAGATTTGAAAGCAGATCAACTTGTACTTTTAAGCTTCGCACTAGGAAATAAGAAGCATATATGTTGTGTTGGCTGTATGTGGGGCACTGGATACATTATGAACACGCGCAAGGCTCAGCTGGTGATAGCATTGGGGCGAGCTGATTGGTAGATTGCCTACTTGATGGCGGAGTCGGATCGTCGGCGTTCTAGACTTCTTTTCGTTCACTGAAACACGCCATGAAAGGTTCTAAAGACGTGGCGCAGATGGCTGGCCATTGCCAACGAAACACTAGCGGCATAGTTGGAGAGGTAAGAACAGCAACTCGCATGTGTGTTGGAGCGTGAGGTCGAGCTGCTATCATTATATAATGCTCAGTTCAGTAGGCTCTCAAGCGGTGGGAAGGATCGTATTTCATGAGACATGACACAAGTGTTGTACGAATGTTGTACTTGAAGAGTTTTCCTTCTGTGAGGGGTCGGGTGCGGCTGATTGCACAACGAGAGTGTGGCGTAGCGAAGCTGAAATGCAGAAGTCGTGATACAATTGGACGCCAAGCCCCATGCAGCTAGGCTCAATGTGCTTGCGGCTGCAGAGGCTCAGAAATATGTGACTTGGTAAGTAACACTGTCCGGGAAGCCTGCAGACTGATAAAGCTATTCCAAGCACATTAGATTTACTGACTTGTTGCTGTTATCGTCATGTCTCGTCACGGTCGTAAAGCTTGGTACAACTTTCTCCTTGTTCCACTTGGCTCATTGAGTGCATTGCTGAGAGTGCATATATGATTAACAAAACACCAATAACAGCTACGCGACAACACAGGATTAATCTATGCAAAGGTACGGGAGACAACGAGTGGTATCCGCATTCATTCATAACTAGCCCCACCACAAAGTGCGCGCGACCACAAAGTGCGCGCGCGCCTTACAACCACCTCAACCTCAACGCGTCGTATCCCCACCACCATGGCTAATATTGAGGCTGCGCTTGCAGCTATTAATGCCCTAGGACCTGATGAGCCTTTTTCGTATACAGATATTGCAAAAAATATAGTGTTGTTCGATCTACGCTTACCCGAAGACACCAAGGCCTACACGCCTCACGCGCGATAGGTGGCCAAAAACGGCAGCTCCTCCACCCACAGCAGGAGCAGGCCCTAATCGCCTATATCAA